CCCACGGGATGGGTATGGGGTGCATAATAAAGAAAGAAATAGAGTTGAATTGGCCTGATTAAGACTTTATGACCATGTAATCTATGTTTTGCTCCACTACTTACTGGTTGAGTATGCATAACAAATAATAGCCTCCTTCGGGGGCGCCTTGTTTCTAAACGTGTTAGTCTTAAATCCTTTAATCTCAAATCTTGCTACAATGTACCTCTTAATATATGTTATGTACTCTCGCAACCCAATGTACCTTCTTGTATATAAATAAATAGATTTCAACTGTAAGGGGGGTATAGTTTGCACCTTGTTATTCTAGTAATGGATAAATAATTCTAATAATGGAAGCGCTAATTATATGAACAAGTGCCATGTATTTATTCAGACGAGAACAACAGCGAACACAAACCAGCGCATATACGAACGGAATGGTTTGTATGTACAAACTTCTCAGTGAACGAAGTTGTTTCTAGCCCGGTATCCGAAATTGCAGTATACGACTTGACCAGTCCCCACCCCGCTCAGCCTGGTTACGTCACATTGAACACTAAGACGATTATCCAACGGATTATTTTATTTTATTTTATTTATATATATACAAGAGTTTTTACATTCTTGTAACGCCCCTAGCATGCATATTGTTTCGGGCAGGTCTTTAATCCTAATTTTACCCCGGGATACCCACCAAATCGTTTATCAAGGTACTCATTCTCCTTATCATGGAAAGCTAAACTCTTAGACTTGCCAACAAAAAACTTTCTATGCCAACATGTCAAGGGGCCCACAAGAATGAGGGGGAACGATGAACCAGCCAGACTTGATCTAGTATTCACCCTGAACGAGTCAGAAATATGGGAAGTCAAATTAGAACTCCCCCATAAGCATTAGTGTTATAATTTATTTATATATATATATATATATATATATATATATATATATATATATATATATATATATATATATATATATATATATATATATATAAAATGTGTGTGTGCTCACCTAATTGTGCTTGCGGGGGTTGAGCTCTGGCTCTTTGGTCCCGCCTCTCAACCGTCAATCAACAGGTGTACAGGTTCTTGAGCCTATTGGGCTCTATCATATCTACACTTGAAACTGTGTATGGAGTCAGCCTCCACCACATTGCTTCCTAATGCATTCCATTTGTCAACCACTCTGACACTAAAAAAGTTCTTTCTAATATCTCTGTGGCTCATTTGGGCACTCAGTTTCCACCTGTGTCCCCTAGTGCGTGTGCCCCTTGTATTAAACATCCTGTCTTTATCTACCCTGTCGATTCCCTTGAGAATCTTGAATGTGGTGATCATGTCCCCCCTAACTCTTCTGTCTTCCAATGAAGTGAGGTTTAATTCCCGTAGTCTCTCCTCGTAGCTCATACCTCTCAGCTCGGGTACTAGTCTGGTGGCAAACCTTTGAACCTTTTCCAGTTTAGTCTTATGCTTGACTAGATATGGACTCCATGCTGGAGCCGCATACTCCAGGATTGGTCTGACATATGTGGTATATAATGTTACACAAGTTTCTAAAGGCCGTTCTTATGTTAGCCAACCTGGCATATGCCGCTGATGTTATCCTCTTGATATGAGCTTCAGGGGACAGGTCTGGCGTGATGTCAACCCCCTCTCTCTCTCTGTATTCACCTAGTTGTGTTTGCAGGGGTTGAGCTCTGCTCAACCCCCGCGTGTGTGTGTGTGTGTGTGTGTGTTATTGAATTTGACCAAAAGGGTAAGATTAATAATTCTAACACAAATCTTCTCAATATTTCTTATATACTTCTTCATTGTCGAAGGTGATTGATAAATTAACTTACCAAAATTCATTCTTTATTCTTGGCCTGAACATGTTTCGTAATGCTTATTACATTTTCAAAGACTTAGTTTACACATATTGTTGTTGTTTTAGATTGAGCTACTCAGAACGAAGTGTCCATGTAGCACGGGCTATGGTGAGCCCGTAAGTTTTCACATAAAATACATTCATACGTAAAAATTTCTTGTATGTATGTACCTTACCTAAATAAACATTTATTTATTTTATTTTACTTATACTCGTTTTGGGTGAGGTGATATGGCACAAAAGTTTTGGGTGAGGTGACAAATCTACGATAGAACACGAAACAATGGGCATGAGAACATTATTATGGAAGTAACTGCAGAAGGCCTATTGACCCATACATCCTCTTGCTGCTTCCATGTTGGTTCAGGGTCTAGAAGTGGGTAGAATAGTAGTAGGTAGTGGGTAGAAGTGGGTTTTGCATTAATTGGCTGTTGATTGCTGGTGTTGACTTTTTGATGTGATGTTCCTTGATGGAGTCCTGTTGTTTGTGCATAGTTAATTGCCCAAAAAGAGACGTTGTTGTCTTGCCTATATACCGAGTTCTTTGGGGCTTACAGTCCCCAAGCGGGCATGTGAAGGCATAGACGATGTTGGTTTCTTTCAGGGTGTTCTGTTTCGTGTCTGGGGAGTTTTTCATGAGTAGATTGGCCGTTTTTTTGGTTTTATAATAAATTATCAGTTGTATTTTCTGATTTTTGTCTGTAGGGATGACATTCCTATCAACAATATCTTTCAGGACCCTTTCCTCCGTTTTATGAGCCGTCGAAAAGAAGTTCCTGTAAAACAGTCTAATAGGGGGGGTACAAGTGTTGTGTTGGTTGACTCTTCAGAGGTTGCATGGCGTTTCACCTTTCTTTTTATGATGTCTTCAACGAAACCTTTTGAGAAGCCATTGTTGACTAGGACCTGCTTTACCCTACAGAGTTCCTCATCAACTTCTTTCCATCCTGAGCTGTGGCTGAGAGCATGGTCGACGTAAGCATTGACAACACTCCTCTTGTACCTGTCTGGGCAGTCACTATTGGCATTGAGGCACATTCCTATGTTTGTTTCCTTAGTGTAGACTGCAGTGTGAAAGCCTCCACTCCTTTCCATGACTGTTACATCCAGAAAGGGCAGCTTTCCATTATTCTCCATCTCGTAAGTGAAACTCAACACAGAATTCCGCTCAAATGCCTCCTTCAGCTGCTGCAGACATCTGGCATCAGGTACCTGTGTAAAAATGTTGTCAACATACCTGCAGTATATGGGGGTCTCAAGTCCATGTCAACTAAGACCCTCTGCTCGATGGTGCCCATGTAGAAGTTCGCAAACAGGACACCTAGGGAAGAACCCATGGCGACCCCATCTACTTTATTATACATGTGCCCATCTAGGGTCAAGAAGAGTGCCTCTTTAGTGCAGGCTTGGAGTAGTTTCCTCAGTATTTTTTCTGGCATGTCAAGATGATTGCAAGCCGGGTCACGATACACTGTCTGCTATCATCCCGATTGTTTCATCCACAGGTACGTTGGGTAAATTAACTGTGAACAAAAGGTAATATAACTGATGAAGTTAATGATGACCACAAACAGGATAACTGGGTTAACAGTATTTTACAACCGCTTGTAACAATCCTAATTAATGTAATGACTGGTAACAACTGAGTGCTGCGGATGTGGGGGTCCAGCGTAGCCCCCCAACCCCCAGCTAGCAGCCCGGCCCCTAGGGTGGGAGCATGAGGGTACTGGTGCTAGGAGAGGAGAGGAGAGGAGTGCACCATACCACCTCCCCTCAGTCGTGAATCACCCACACTGTTGAACTTGCCACAGTTGTGTCATCCGCCTGACCCAACAGAACGGCGAGGGTAACAATGGGGTGAAAGCCCATAGATCCAAGTGCAGGTAAGGCTCGCTGGAATTCCCTACATGTAGCCAGGCGGGTATCCTTACAGACGAACATGGGTCCCCGGACAGAACCAGCGCTGCACACTTTGATCAGAGGTCCCGGTCTGGGCAGTTGGTTCGCTTGGGTGACACCCTTTGATAGGGTGTAGAGCACACTGGGTAGAGGGCTCGCACCATGTGATGCCTGTGGTGGGCCCGAACTGTGCAGTACCTGGAGCTGGATCTGTTCTATTATCTGCTGGTGGTTGAGCAAAAATTTATCAGAATTTTAGAAGTTCCTTGACCAATGTTTGGTTATTTCCAGGTTAATTTTCTGTTAGTAATGTTATTGTTTGCTATTCTCCATTTTTAAAACTGGGTAGAATTAAGTGTCTGTCCAAGAAAGATAATATCTGGTAGAGTACTGGGTTTACTACATTATCAAGGATATTCTCTATCTTATGTATCTGCTCTGTTAATTCCTCAGCTGTTGCATCTGGTGGTGTGTATATATTAGAATAATAATTAGATTTATTTGTTTTATTTGATCCCAAATACTTCTACCACCTCATTTGTTAAGTTTAAAACTCTATGCATACAAGTTCCTCTTTAACATACAGAGAAACACTTCTGCATTTGACATATTTACTCGATCACATCTATAGAAAATTTTGGATCCAGATTTCACTATCCAAGTAATTTCTTGTAAGGTCTATGTGAATGCTTCAAATAATGAATTTGACTCTATTAGACCATTTATGAACCTAACTTCATTCCTCAATTTCAACTTTAGGCCTTATATGTTTGCAAATACAGTATAAAAGGTTTTCCATATTATGTGACACTTCTGTTAGGTTTTGAGAGTTCTTTTTCCTCCCCCATTATTATCCAGGGTTGTTGACTGGATAAAGATGGGGAGAAGTACTACTGCTAAAATTGGATAAATCATTTTGCAATAATTTGTCCAATTTTGGTATTAATACAGGAGTGTTGTGAAGTGAAATTTTCACAAATACTGAGGAGTTTCATAGTTTCTGTAGAACTAGAAAGAGAAATTGCATTTTGTCCTTATGGACAATGGCTGTATACCGATTTTCATTGAGAAGGGGGAAGTACGGGGAAATTACGGGGATTACGAATCCCCGTAATCCTGGACCGTCCCGGCGGTTGAGGATTGGGCCGCGGGGACGTTGAGTCCTGAAATCATCGCAAGGTAAGGTCTATCTCTTAACACATTATGCAGAACATGGAAGAATTCTGTACTGTGGCTAAATGAAAATACATTAGTCAATGTCAACAATTCATTTACCAGAAACTTTCTGGAAAGGTAGTATATTCATGCAACAAAAATACCGTACAGAATACAGTGCTAAATTTCAAATAAAAGCTTAAAAATTAATAACATATAATTATATATAAAAGTAAACATTAACAAATTAGAAATAATTTTGGATATATTAAATAATGACAAGCTTTATTGGAATTTCAAGCAGTAGTTTGCATGTTACAATATTTCCAAAAGCACTATTACATTGTAGGTTTTCCTACAGAAAAAACTTGATCAATGTATCTCTAGTGCACTTAGTTACATTGCTTGTTAAAACACTTTAGCATTCTGATGACGTTACAATGCATCATCTGTACAGTACTTTGACAGTAAATGTTCCGATGACTAAAGCATGTTATGCATCTCAAAATTCTCAAATCTATTTTCTTTTCTTAAAAAAATAAAAAAGATTAATACAAAAAATTATAAGCAAAAATAGCTTATCTGGGAACTAACAAAAGCATCAGGGACCTTTCAGAGATCATCTCGGCCAACCACCCACCACTCAAGATGATAAGTGCTCTACTTGTGAATATTTTCACTGCTTTGCACAGTGAAAATTATAAAAGTTTTGATGTTTTCATTTTATAGCAACATAGACTGATTATATGCACATATTTCCATATTTTTTATTTTGATTTGTGTTGAAAAATAAATAAGGAATGTTGAAACATATACGAGGAATGTTAAAATTTTCATGAACATTTGTATATTTGGCACCATCACACACAATCTAATATCAACACACATTTTACCTCCATCTATATTCAAGCATATTCATTTGTGAACCTTTTGACACCAAAATTATAGTTATAACCCAAGACCTAATTGACCGGGACCTTGAGATGCCCAAAATGTTTATGGTACAGTACATGCTGGTGGGTCGGAACGTCAAACTGCTGATACTGTACAGTACAGTATTGATATTTTTGTGTGTCTATATTTTTTACCAATGCATGCAGCATATTATTTAAAAATTAATACATTGTGATCAAGAAGAGCTGCAATGGTAAATTATTGCACAATATTACAAATGTATTGAACGCTGATTCCATTTTTTTATGTACTGTATTTTTTATACAACACAATCATTATATTGGTAAGGAAGTCTACCAACTGTGATAAATTACATGCGTTGTCCATAGGCTTTTGCCCTATAAGTAAAGTGTAATGGTTAAAAATATGCAATTAATACTAAGTAATAACAAGTCAAAATAATAATAGTAAAACAAAGTGATTGACACTAATAAAGATGATGATTATTATACTAATTGTGATAATACTATTTTGCCTAAATTTACCTGTCACAATTTCTAGTATGTTTATATAACAGTGACTATGGGGAAATGAGGTCTAATTCTTGATGCCTCTCATAATAGCCTTTTTTTTTTTTTTTGTATCTGGAGCATTATTTAACTTTCCTGACATTCAAATTCTTTGTCATATCTGTCCTTGAAATTGTAGATGGCAGTGGCTTTCATAACTTCCACTTACAACATTCCTCTTATTGACCATCCACAAAGTATGAAAATTTTATTTTTTTTGTTTCATTGAATCATTTACATTTCTCACTTCCAAAGTTCTATGTATGCTAATTTAAAAAGGCATTTTTTGTACACCTTGTCTATTTTGAATTTTGTACGAAGTGATCGTATTCGCTCTGCTTCTTCTCTCCTTTAAGGCTGTGACATGGACTTCCCGTACTATGTCCTCATAGTTTAGTCCTCTTAATTCAGACAATAGCCGTATTGAAAACCGCAACACTTTTTTTAAGTTTAGGTTCACACTTTATAATGTGCAGATTTGATGTTGGTACTGTAGTGTGTACTCTAAAGTATGGTCTGGGGTAGTGGTTTGAATTGGTGGCAGGGAGTAATAGGAGGGTTACAGAGAAAGCCTATAATATCCCTACCAGTAATCTTTACCCTACCAGTATAATACTGGTGGGGAAAAAAAAAAAAAAAAAAAAAAAAAAAAAAGAGATGTCAAAGGTGTATAAACAGTGAAACTATTTGAAACTGGTCACAATGCAACTAGAATAATATAAATCCATTCTAGGTGGTTAATTTGATTTCCATTATCAGGGTATAGGAAGCCTCTTACAGTAGTAATTTTTTAGAACTGAATTATAATTGTCTTATCTTTGGATTGAAAGGCAAGTTGGATGAATTCTTAGTAATGGTTGTTTTTTTAAGAATGCTTTCTAGATTGACTGACTTACACAAAGTTTCCTTCCATTCTCTTAAGATAGTACTGTATTTTCAATATGGTAGTTTTGACATGAAATGATGTTACCCAGATGTAGAATCTTCTGTATTCTATTGTGAATAGCATTTGAAAAAAGTGTCAATTTGGTTCATCTTGAACCATTATTAAGTAAATAGTCATCCCTTTTTCATGTCTTTTAATGTGTGGGTTAAGTCTATGTCTGAATTGAGTTTGCCCATCTATTGACCATTTTGTGAAGTTTATGAAGATACTAGTAATTTGGTATGGAAGTAATGCTCTGATTGATTCATATTTTTTTATAAATCTTAAATAAATTTGATGATGTGGTTTGAAATCATTCTCTCAATGTTGTTAATCTTAATTACAAAAAGGGTATCCCAGAATTTATAAACTTGAAAGCTACGATCTTTGGAGTCAAAAACAAATTTAAAAAATATAAGTTTCCATGGAAGATTTATTAATTATAAATACATGTTGTAATTGACAAGATTGTGTGTTGTAAGGTGCTTGGCTAATGCTTTTTTCTCTTTTAAGGCACTTTAAGTGCCTTTCTTTTAAGGCACTTACATGTATGTATATGAGGTTAGGCATGATGCAAGTTTTCTGCTGCACCTTTCCTAATGATTGGGGAAAATATTTGCTGATTTCCAAGCCAGAGGCACCCCCCTTCCTTGGTCTAGGGATTTCCTGAATAGCAATCTTTATGGTATACACAATTCGTCAAGTACATGTTTATAATTTTGGATTTAAGTTATAGTAGTAATAATAATAGTAATAATTATAATAATAATCATGATGACAATTATGATGATAATATGACAATGGAAATGGATACTGAATGATGATGATGATAAATAACAATAAAAGAAGAATTCTACTAGCTAACTTTATTGGGAGCACCTGTGGTACATCCCAGTCAGGTTTCAAGTAATTCTACCCAGTGTGGTTTCAAAAAAAATTACTTGACAACACAAAAATGAACCATAACACTAATCTCAATATAATGTGCAACAAGCTAAATGACTTACTTTATGCAAAAATGTTTTAGTGAACCAAATTCTTTAAAACACATTTCAATTTATACTGCTGAATCTTTCTACTATGTAGCTTTTATATCTAAATAATACAACTTTACATACTGTTTATAAAGAGAAAACAGCCTCGGAAACATATCAGGTACACTAAGAAAACATTGAATACTAGGAGTGACCCATTTCTGGATTTTGTCGCGATATATTTACCTGCATTACAAAAGAGCTCGCAAGGTATTTACCGGTACAGCGACAGTCATCTTAAAACACAAATTAGCACCATGATTGGCTCCTACTAAGCAGCATTTGACACCAGTAGTAGTGCATAATCAATTGATTGTGTTGCTAGATGCTCTTACCAAATTAGGTAAAAGTGTTTCCTGTATAAACAGAGTTACTTTCATAGACTAAAATAAGACTGGAGTTACAATGACTAAACTACATTTAAATACTCTATTAATATTAATAACTAAACCACAGAATGTGGAAAATGCATCAAACAATGGCAAAGTAGCAAATGATATTATAAAGTACAGCAGTAAAACTTCATGATAATTTAACAACTACCCTGTAACTTGGTTATTACATATTTATACAGCAATGTGTTGTGCATCTAAATATAGAGGTAGCAATAAGAGGTAGTCATTGTCTGGCATTAGTAACATTGACAACATTTTTCTGACAAAAGTATTATCAATCTAGCCTTTCAGAGATGGTGATGTCAACAAAATTTATCACAACCCTATTATACTTGTTTAAACATTTTATACATATTAAATAAAAGAAAAAGTATGAGATCATACCAATAAATAATACTATAAGATCACAGCAATATTATGCCAACTGATGAAGTCCAATACGCTTAAGGAAGCTCTTTGCCCATGTTGGATTCAGCTTGACAGGTCCACCATATTCCTCCAGCAGACTAGGCTCATACTGCATCAAGACTTGTTTAGCTGTTGCGATGGCCAAAAATGAGGAAACCTGTGAATACAAATTTTAGTTATACAATAAGCTCCTTTCTGAGCAGGATCATTTAGCTGCTTCCTAATTTAAGCTCCATTGCCTAACCAACATGTTCAAATAATGTCATCAGTTAGGCAAGATAACATATTAGCACTGGTACTACAGGGAACTATTTAAGTGGTCCTTGTAGGGTCATTACAGGTGTTAGGAAGTCACTGGAGAACATTAAATCCAGGTCAGAATGACTGACAAGAGGTATGTTCACAAAAATCTAAAGCCTTTCTGAAACCTGCCTTTGCATCACAGGTGACTGCCAAACGAAGTCTGCCACAAACTTCCAGTTGGCCTGTCTGGCCATCTATGCCGACCACCAGCAGGTATTAACACTATTCACACCTATGGTTCCTTGACTGAGCCACCCCCACTTCTGATGACTATTATGATGATAAAGATGACAAGGGAAATGGATACTGAATGACGATAATAGGTAACAATGAGGGAAGGATTCCACTTGCTAACTTTCACTCTTCTCAAGTTCTCTAAACCCTCCCCAAGTTTTCTTTTATATACTGTACTATTAAATTCTTTAATTAAAACAACAATGAGAATAGACTTATTGTCAATATGGATATAGCAGATCCTGTCTAGATTCTTGATTTTGTATTTTATAAACAAGTAGAAACTATGCATATACAGAAACAAAAATACTGAAAATGTGAGCATACCTTTTCTCCATCTTTGACCAATTCTCTTATGCAGTCTTGAACAATCTCATCATATTTTCCTAATCGCATAGGCCTTCCTCTTTGAGCAAATCCAATTGATACTACTTCCTTTTTTCCCCTTACACGCTTAATCAAGTATTTGTCCTTTAAGCCTCGAACAGTGCTCTCGGGTATCTCAAACCCTAATTGCTCCTTGAAGTGCTGAACTGCTGCCAGATTACCATGTTCTGCTGCATACTTTCCAATTTCAGCACGAAGTTCCGGACTGTATGAAGCATAATTACCTCGTTTACTCAAACCAGTGTTTCCTTTTATTCGAATTCTAGTCCGGTTTTTATGTCTTTTTTTCCTTGGTGTGGGTGGATCACTATATTCATCTTCATCTTCAATGCCTAGAATACTACTGTCCTGTTGATTTGATGGGCCAGGTTGTTCTCCCATGTGACCGAGACCTTGCTGGGGTGCAGACCCATCTGTGCCAGGACCATGTAGACTATCATCTCCTTGGCCTCCTAAATTAACCCCAGTAGTCTGCTCATGGGTTTCCTTCATGAGACTAAGAGGTTCATTGTTCAGGTTAGCTTGTGCATGTAAAGTACCACCTTCAAAATTAAGAGAGCCAGTTAGAGGTTGATGGAATGAGGCAATGAGCTGGTGGTGAGCTGGGTGCTGTGCTCCACTGGCAACAGTATGAGGAACAGTGGTTGCTTGAGTCAGGTGAGCTTGACTTACAGGAACACCTACACTGTGATGACTCAACTGTGACATGTGTGTTGCTTGTGCCCCACTCATAGTGAGTGGCAGTGGAGAATGTGCCATACTGGTAGCTGCTACACTTGTATGAGTCATGGCAAGGGGTGCTATTTGTCCATGTGTTGTTGTTACCCCTGCCCCACCACCCTGAGTAAACCCAATATATCCTTGCTGAAACCCTGTTGGGGCTTGATGCGTAAAGCTTTGGTTCATTATTACTGAAGATGCAGGAGGTGCTCCAGGCTGCTGGTATGAGAGAGGGGCAGCCATTCCTTGATTTATGACGCCACCTTGATGGAATGCTAATGAGTTGTGATTCATAGGAAGAACAGTATTTGCCTGTGGTCCCGGTGCCATATTTAAATGATATGGATGTTGATATACAAAATTATTTGCTGTACTTACATTTACAGTACCAGAAACGGCTGGAGCATTTAGTACTGAGAGAGAAGAGTGAAGCACATCTATCGTTTGAGGAGCTGTTGCCTGGTGATCAGTCAAGACAGTGCCACTACCCACAATAGTTGTGTTTTCAGCTGCACCACCACTTCCTGTAGCACCACTAACATTCCCTCGGTCCACAAACTGCTTTTTAAATTTGCGCACAGTAGATTCCTTAACAGGAAATTGAAGTTTTTCAGAGTAATGCTGAATAGCAGCAGTTATACCACATTGAGTTGCATATCGACCAATCTCATCTTTCATTTGCAATGAAAAGGAGCGCTTTTGTCTTGCAGATGTGCTGGGTAAATTTACACTACGTTTTCCAGTTGACCCTACTTGAAGTTCCCCTCCAACGTCACCTATTTCTGGAAACTTTTTTAGATAATTCTTTTTAAATTTTCTTATTAATCCTTTCCTAACTTCATGGCCTAATTTTTCAGAGAAGTGCCTTGAAGCACCATCAATGCCATACTGAAATGCAAACTTTCCAATTTCTTCCTTAACTTCTGGAGTGTAACTTTTATAGGTCTTAATAAAGTTTCTAATAGTACTTTCACTAACTGTACCACCAAGTCTATGTGACCAATAAACTGTAGCCTCATGATTACCATGGGCAAGGGCATACTGTGCAATTTCATCTCGCAATTCTGGTGTATACTTTATGTACTTTCCACGCTTACTTCGTTCTTCTTTTGTAGCATTAAGTAGAGCCTTTACTGCCACGACTGTATTGTGAGTTAGCTGTTGGCGACATTCATCATTTGGAACACACTCTTTTTGCTGGTCTGACCAATCAGATGAGGCAAGGGTGAGAAGTCGTTCAGGACCTGAGGAAAAAGTTAATTAAGTATATACAGTAAAGCGAATTTTTTGGGAGACACACATATATACTACAAGTTTTAATGACTTCTTAAATTATTAAGAAATCACTTCAGAGTTCATAATTCCAATAAAACTATGCAGTGGCTTGTCAATTATTTTTCTTGATGTACTCTAGTAGTATTACAGCCTTTGAAACAATACTTTACAATAAAGCACTGAATGTAATGAAAAGTCTCTTTTTGGGTTGGGTTACACCTCAGACAGCTGTGAAAAGGCGATGACTTCAGTGATTAGCTTGGCAAGTCGGGGAAAGCACCACCTCCTTGTAGCAGAGGAACTTGTGGGGTTCAAAGATGAGCTTGCTACTGAGATCAACAACAGAGGAGGGAAACACTTAGATTACCCTAAATGCCACCAGATGGTGCCCTGAGCTACCTGTAGGTTAGGGTTAGCCAGTCTTCCCACAGTTAAGTCACACCTCAGGTAACCAGAACTCGAGGGTGGGTGTTACCCAGCAATGAACATTTCATTATACTCAACACTTTATTTCTAGATTGACACCGCTTGGTAGCTCCCATCTCCTTGCTCAGGTGCCCCAAATGAAACAACCAAGCTATGAAGTGAACCACAGCTGAAAAACAGGATCTCAGATACTGGGAGGTGACCTCAGACATGAGACAACTATCCAATGGATGCACACATGCAGTAGGGGCACTGCACATCAGGTAAGTACTGAACTCCCAGAATCCTGGCAGATCTCCAAAAGCTCTGAGTCCAATTATTGGCCACAGACATGGAAGAAACAAAGGCTGTAAGAATGGCATAATTCTAAAGATCATAAGCCCAAGGTCAGAGACTAGGCTGACACCACCACCATACAAATCAACTGGAAAAGATGAATCCTAGAGCACAGAAGCATGGAATATGGATTCAAGAAGGTGGCCCGAGTTGGAGAACAATGAGTATCCTTCAGTAACAATGCAAAGCATAAACAGGATTGAGGGCAAGATGAGCATCCAGCTGAATAAACTGCCCCAGTGAGAAAAGGACCATCATGAAAATCAGAGGATTAATTTTTGTATGTAAAAATATGCCATTTTCTGATGGGTCCTTGGTAGCTCCCACACAACTATCCAATGGACAAATGCTGAGAAGTGCTGGGAAGATCGGACACCACGAGCATAGCTCTCATCCTGTAACTACACTTAGGTAATTACAACTAGTGCTCTGATGAAGCCAAGTCTTGAGAAGTGCACCCAGTTTCTGTGACTCACACTGACATACCAGGAGCCAAAGTCTGGCTCTCTCTATGAGGAAAGGGGAGCCTGGGGATGAGAAATCAACCAAAAACTGAGAACAACTACCAGAAAGACAGGTGATACAAAACAAACTACTGTCTGAAGAAATAAATTCTGAGACAAGCAAGGCAAATGATCATTGCCACAGATGAACAATTCTTAACCTGATGAACCCAACTGCCATCAGATGTTAGCCCAGCTCAACTAACCAACAATCTTACTCATGAGCCACTAAACACCTCACTAGGAGGAGGGAATCAGAGCAGGAACAAGAAGCAACAGGAAGTCCCACCAAAAACAGAGCATTACATTACATTCAATGTTTAATTTCTGGGAAGCAGAGAGGACTCACTGTAATAATCTGAGACAAGGGCAAGAGAGCAGGGCCTGGGACAGGGAGGCATCAGCCTCATGCCAAATACCCAAGTATCAAATAGGCAAGGTGAGGGAACATCCACTAAGTAGTAAAAATCACAGACAAAACAGTGAAAGGCCCCACCATGAACAGGCAGAAGACGGATACACCAAAATGCCATTCTAACAGCCACCAACCCCCAAGCATGTAGCCTGCTCTCTCTGACTTGTGTTGTAACAGCTTAAAACAAACCCCCAGCCAAGGTTAGATGTATCCATGAACAGCTTGAACAATGGAGGGGCACCACAGCACTTAACCCCAAAAAAGTGCAAAGAGGAAAAGGGTGAATCAATAGCCTTCACAGCTAGGTGGTAACCAGCCAGCACCGCAAGGTCCCAATCATGGCAAAAGGATGTTCATCGGAGAATATGGCACAGCATCTTCAGCCAGACATGGTGGAAGTTCAAGCTTCTAAAGAGGTGCTTTAGGTTCCAACAGGAAAGCCAGAACCTCTTCAATACCAACCAGTGACAGAACCACATCCCCAACAGGACCGACCGTAGCAGAGAGGGAGGCTTTCGTGGCATCCTGGACCAGGCCCAACAAAGTCAAAACCTACAAAGGCATCAGCCAGGACTTCTACTAATTGAGCAGAAAGCATAAGTGGGAGGGAAAGAACCAGACTTCTGGGCAGCAAACAAGCTGACCAACTAGGGCCCAAACAATTTAGCTGTCAAGGTAGACCAGTACTTAAATCCTCAGCGGATGAAGATGTCAAAGGAACAGTCTAGTCAGTCTGGTGACAGATTCTGGGAACCAGAGTCAAACCAAATGGCAAAGTTCAAAAGTTGTATGATAGGTGCCCCACTCTGAACACCAGTTAATTCCTGAGCTTTAAGTGGATGACATTCCAACAGGCATCCAAGAGATCCAGGAAAATAAGCCAAGACCTGCTCAAAATCACCTTTCTAACCTGGAGCATGGTGGTCATCCGGAATGTTGAACAAGAAATATACCAATTAGGAACAGAGTGAGTCAGAATGAAGTGAGGTTACATTGTATGCTTGGGAAGAGGGGAAAAACATGACTCTCTCCCCAAAGACAGGGTCATTGCAGGCACACTCTTGTGTAACAAATTTATGTTCTGGAGTAGAGAATACAGGAGAAGTTGGCCGAGTAGGTGTCTAAAACACTGGAGGGGAAGAGGAACAAACCTACTGATGACATTGACACACCACCCGAGTTGCCATGGCATCCCAAGATTAAGTGTGCTGAATAGCCCTCAGACGTCCCACATACATGCCATCACCAGGGCATGCCACAAACAAATTGGCAGGAAGAATGCCATGACCTGTTACACCAAAAGGATAAAAACTAGCGTTGAATGTAGTGAAACACCATTTTCTGGGTAAGACCCGGATGCTCCCCAGAGCTATCCAGGCTGATATGCTAATGTCAGACTTTGGCATCATTCATGTGTATGGAGTTCTGTGGGCCTACCGGGGACCACGAGCCAGAACCTGGCCCCCTCACAGAGGCACGAGGAGCAATGGCCTATAGAAACCCCCGTGTAGTTGGAAGCATTCTATGTCTGCCATCGACTGGGTTAGGCACCCAGAAATGTAGGCATCCCAAAACAAACCCCCTATTCTGGTGAAAATTGTTATAAAAAAACGAACTAGTGGATAGAACTCCACAAACAGAAACGAGCAAATGAGTATGATGTCACACGTCCCCGCGCCGCTGTCTGCACAACTCCCGCCCTCACTGGGAGAGGGAAGGGGGAGCACCAGACGCTCTCACCAGCCATCCACACCCCAGTTCTGAGGCTGGATATCAAAAACACGCAAAAAAATGCTGATCGGAGGGAAGGAGGGTTGCCGGGAGCCTTCGGGTCTCAACCAGAAAATGGCGTTTCATTACATTCAACGCTGGTTTTCTGGGAGTAGCCCCGTTGGCTCCCCAGAGCTACCTACCCAAAGACGAAAACAAGAGGGACCTAACTTGGGAGGTGGAAATCGTGCACTCCCTAATGCAAAGCGGAAACAAAAGACTGCAACTGGCAACCCAAGGCCACACAGGCCAGACAAGGCCCAGGAACATCAACGAAGGAATGCACAGCCAACCTACAAACGACGTGGGCACGGGGAGAGACAGCAGGCTGGCAGGATCGAATCACCCCATGGACGACCCAGAGAACCGCACCTTGGAACAGGGAAGAAGGGAAACCGGAACAACCTAAAGCTAGCCGTTGCACGCAAAAAAAGCAAAATGCCGCAACCGAACACAACACATGATGCACCCCTGGTCAGACCAACCAAGCATCAACAAACAAATCCACAAGGGCCGTGACGAGGATTCGAACCTGCGTCCGAGAGCATCCCAAACGCTGCCTTAATCGACTGAGCTACGACATGGTAAAAGGAGTTGAAACCGAAGTTCTACTGAACTTACTGGATCCTGCAGCGTCTCCAAGGCACAAACCAGGGTTGTGCACAATTCCCCGCATGCACTCAAGCTATGCCAATAGGCCGTTCTCCCTCTTCGCCCTTACTTCATTACACACAGAAATCACAATTGCGTGATGCATCAAATGAACAAATCCACAAATATTATGTTCTTCAAACAATAAGGTTTGAATTTCACTGACAGAGCATTATCTTTCAACACCGTGTCAGACAGGTGTTTGGGAGCCAGAGGCGTGTGTGCCACCCATGGTTGCTCACTCAGTACTAACCCAGCCAGCAGCCCTAGGGCATTCTGGGAATTTTTTCCAAGATCGTTGCCTCTCACTGGAGGTCCTAAGAGTCCATTTCGTACACAACCAACCTCACACACATTTAGAATGGGTATGGAAAAATCAAAAAGAGTTTTCTTGGTTGGCGCAGTTTCCCGCCAACCAAGAATACTTGGTTGGTGCAGTTAAGTGGTTAAGGACCTGCCCGAAATGCTGCGCGTACTAGTGGCTTTACAAGAATGTAAATACCATGCTATGTATCTTCACAAACCCAATGTACCTTCTTGTATATAAATAAATAAATAAATAAATAAATAAATAAGTCCCTGTTTTGTGAAATTTGAAATAGAAAGTTTGCTATAATTCAGAAATAAAATTAAACATTTTCTTATGCATGAATTATATTGAACTTGTTCATTATTGCAGGTGCAAATAATCATAGGGAAGTATTTCATACATATGTATACAAAGTCTTCTGATGCAGCATGCCAGTCATCTTCTAACCAATGTTGTCAGTCAGCCAGGCATTTAGCCAGCTCATCAGTCAGCCAGCCAGTCATGCACTAATTAACCAGTCAGTCTGTTACTCAGTCAATCATCCACTTAGTTAGCCAACCAGTCACCCAACCAGCCAGTTAACTAGTCGGTCAACCAGCAAACAAAGATTATGTGAATAACTGGCAGATTAATATGATCAGATAACAGATCTGTTAACATGTTTTCTCTTGTCATTGACTCACTGATTAGCTTCATAACCTGGAGACCCTCTAGAATATTACAGATTTTACTTATATTAAAAATATTTTACAGTTATGTAAATTTGTTATAAAAATACAGAACACACACATAAAATTACTGCCTATATTTTACAAAACAGCATTTGTATGCAAAGTGAAAAAAGTGGTCCAAGGGATTATTAATAGATCAAAGGAAATACCTAGAGGAATGAAATGAGTATGGTCCATAATGGTTCATTCCACCAAGTTTGCTTGGCACAGCAATTTTGTATGAAAAATTAAAAGATGAGTAAGCAATAAAGATCCACATCACCTCTGCCAAAAGGTCTCCTTCTCTTGCGTGATAAAAGCTTTCGGGGCTGAGGTTTCTTTTCTTGAAGAATTGGCCTTAGTGGTTCTTCTCCATCCATTGTGCCACGTTTTCGAGCCTCCTCAGTGTGCTTACGTTGATGAATACGAAAACTTATCTTACTAGTAAAAGTTTCATGGCAGTGACGACACTGGAAGATTAAAATGTAAAACATAAGAACATTAATTTCATACTTGAAAAATACAATACATGTAATATGATAATAATATAAGTTCTTCGATAAGATTCAGCTGGTATATTAAATGTTAGGATGGAAGGTGGTGAAGGTAGTTCTGGGAAGTTGGGAAGAGAGAAGGCATAGGGAAAGATATGAGAACAGGGGGATATTAGGGAAGAGAGAGAGAAAGGAGTGAGGAAGGGCGGAGAGAGAGGGTCCCAGGCACAGTCAGATACCCCTCCTAGTTACACCATCAAATTTGTAACTCTGAGATAACTAGTTTTACTTTAAATTACCTGCAGAGTAGAGCTTTGGAGCCTTCTTCTCTTAGATGGCACTTCTAGTGCTTTCTCCTCTTCAAGGATGTTGATGTTCTCTTTTTCTTCCTCACTCACATACCCTGTAAGTAAATATTTTATACTCATCTGTTGTTTGAAGCAGGAAAAGCATGTTAGTTACTGTATGTAAAAAATACTTATCAGTAATATCTTACATATAATGCTCATTAACCATTACTTAAGTTAGGGAAATGTAATAATACTGTAATTGTCAATGCAGCAACCAGATTGCAGCATCACAATCAAAGCAATACCTGTGGGATTACGAGCAAACATGATACTGAAGGGGGTAACTCCACCAACGAATGCTGCTGAGGTACGAAACTGGAAGAGGTAGCGGTTAACTTCTTGGTCCCATGTTGTTGCATTTTCAGTGCAAAAATGATCTAACATGTCACCTAAGTATTGAACATGTATGTTAGTCATTTCGAGGGTTATTACATGAATGTTTACAAATAAAATTAAGTATTCTACTAACCTATTTTCACAAATAAGTTAGTAAATACTTTGAGATAATTATTATATATTGTACATCATTATCAGTAACATAATATTATCAAATTTGATACAATTTTTATAGATGTGTTGAATGTAATAAAACACACTTTTCCCGTGTAACCTAAACAGTTCCTGTAGTTTGAGTGCTGGTGAAGTCAAACCTTGAGAAGTGCACCAGGCCTCTGTAACCCACAATGACCTGGGATCCATAACCAGAATGAGATAAAGCCAACAAGAACCCACGAGAAAGATAGGCAAACAAAGCAAATGATCGTTCCTTCCAGCAAACACTAACCTTGATCAACCTGATCCCTACCAGATGATGGCCCAGGTCACAAAAGAGTCCAAGCCAGTCACCCACATCCATCATGAGCCACCATTAATGAACCCCCACACAAGAAGCACTCAGGCCCTTTGACCAAAGAGCCAGAGCTCAACCCATGCAAGCACAACTAGGTGAGTACACACTTCATAGGGATGAAGAAACCAGGGCAGAAATCAGAAGCTACCAATAACCCACCAAAAAAGGTTGTTGCATTACATTTAATGCATGATTTCTGAGAAACCCTCAGTAGATTCCCATTGCTTACTCCCATTGGTACTTTGGCACTTGTGTATGCCTTTTCTGAAAAGAAACATGAGATTTGTCGCAATCGAAAACGTGAAGAGAGCGTACCCGTGGCAGACAATAGCAGGAAAGTAGGGCCCAGGGCAGAGGAACAACCAGCTGCATGCCAAACACCCAAGCATCAAATAGGTTCAGCAAAGCCACAAAACATCCACTAAGTAGTGAGAAGCCAACAGCCCCGAGCCCGGAAAAAAAAGGTAGAAGAGAACCAACCATCAGAAAAGTTGGGCACAGTTAGCCATGTACCCAGGAACAACAGATGGCCTGCAAGAGGTTGGCACACCAACAAATAATCAGACAAGACCACAGCCAGATTGGAATGCAAGAACCAGCATTGAATGTAATGAAACGCCATTTTCTGGGTGAGACCCAGAGGCTTCCTGGAGCTATCCAGGCTGATCTGGATTCGACTTTGGCATCAGTCAATGTGAATGGAGTTCACATTGGGCCCTACCGGGGACCACGAGCCAGAACCTGGCCCTCTCAGAGAGGCACGAGACCAGCATTGAATGTAATGAAACGCCATTTTCTGGGTGAGACCCAGAGGCTTCCTGGAGCTATCCAGGCTGATCTGGATTCGACTTTGGCATCAGTCAATGTGAATGGAGTTCACATTGGGCCCTACCGGGGACCACGAGCCAGAACCTGGCCCTCTCAGAGAGGCACGAGGAGCAATGGCTTATAGACACCCCCGTGTGGTTGGAAGCATTCTGTCTGCCATCGACCGAGTCAGGCACCCAAAAAGGTAAGCACCCCAGAACAAACCCCTATTCTGGTTAAGAAATTGCTAGTGAAAACCGAACTAGTGGACAGAACTCCCCAAATGAAAACGAGTAAACAAGCATGACATCGCCACGTCGTTTGTCTGCGCAGCTCCCCCCTCCCCGGGAGGGGGAAGGGGGTTCGCAAACCCTCACACCGGCTATTCACACCCCAGTTCTGAGGCTGGATGTCAAAAACACACAAAAAACCGCTGACCAGAGGGAGGGTTGCCAGGAAGCCTCTGGGTCTCACCCAGAAAATGGCGTTTCATTTCATTCAACGTTGGTTTTCTGGGGGAGCCCCTTTGGCTCCCAGAAGCTACTTACCCAAAGATAACACATTACTGGGTGCAGTGCATATCAATGAAGTGGTTTAGCAGAGTGTAGAAAATTATGCTTTACAACTTATGGAATTAAATTGGGGGATGTGTGAGCAGAATGAGGGTACTGCTCTGTGTCTCATCAATACCATTTCTCATGGAAAAGTAGTACAGGTATATAGAAGATTAATGAGAACCCTGTAACACTATCTAATGTGTTAATATAATTTAAATTTTGTATATATATTTTTCTTTTCTTTTTTTTACCTGCCCAACAACATTCCCGTGATTCTTCTTGTAGTGTGAAGAGAAAGCTCTGCTGGGCATCCTCAGAATCAAATGGTACTAAACTTCGGAGAACATCCTGAGTGCTATCAAATTTTTCTTTGTAACATGCCTGCATCTGTTCAAACATTTCAGAACTCATCCCAACAACCTGGAAACATAAAATAATCAAATTTAAAAAATATTAAATACTCTTAATCTTCATGCAAACTGGTCTACCTGTAATGAAAGTGGTAAGTCCTTTTTGTGTAGGTAAGTCACCGAGTGATTTGTGTAATAATTACTGATATTAATAGTACTGTACATCAAGTGTCTGCATTCCAACTCAATATGCTCAGAGCATCAATGATCCTTCAATGATGTGTGCGAGAGGACTCCAAGATGTCATGTGTGTTGCCATCTGGTGGACTAATCAGTATTAGACTTTGTATAGTACAAGGTAGAGATCAGGATGTGAAACACATGTTTTGCAGAATACCTTATTTTCCAACTCCAAGTAAGACCACAGACCAGAGTTGCAAAGCTTAACTATAATAAGTAATTAATCTGATGTCTCTGTTGTGGTGGTTATTACCACACCCATTATGAAATCTGCATAGCCAGTGATGAGAATAATGCCTAACCTGTGATTTACCATGCAAGTTTTCTGATTTACTGCATAGTGTACACTACTATTGTGATCATTACATGCACTATTTATTTCCGAGTTCTCTGTGGTCCTTAATAATTTGAGATGCATGCTATGCCGGAATAAGCGTGCCAATAGGTGGGGTAGCCCACTGTGTGTTGAACAACTGTTCCCACATCACTGTTTAACAAAAATTTTTGTAATTTGTTTATGTTCTCTCTACAGTATTTACAGTGGAACCTTGTTTTACGAATGCCCCACTTTACGAATTTTTTGGTTTATGAGCTTTGCCTCGCTTGGTAAGTTTGTTGATAAACGTATGGGTCTACAGAGTGCGTGGTTCCTTGTGGCAAGGGTGTGGCGCACTTCAGTTTACCAGTGCCTCCCCGCCTAGTGACGATCGCTCTTTAATTCTTTGTAAAAAAAAATATTTTTTTGTTTTTTGGTTTCTAAACATAAAAGTAATTACTGTATAATATATCTCATCATGGGTCCCAAGAAAGTCAAGTTGTAAAGTTCAACTTAACAAAACAAATGTGAGGATGACGATATGACGATAGAGGAAAAAACAAGAGATCATTCATAGTGAGACAATGTGATGTATCTCTACAGACAAGTGTTAAAACATAGGGAAACATAAATGTCAATAGACATACTCTTTCTTAGTAAGACAAATGTTCGCCCGAACATTTCGGGCGTTGTGGCTCACCACAACAATGATGAGCCACAACCAGGTCCTAGTGGTATGCCTGCAAAACATAAGAGAGAGAGAGTACCCCAGAAATGTCATCACTACCGGATATTATAATGGAAGGGGACTCCCCTTTCAAACATAACACCTCTCTTTCTCCTCCATCCCTCTTCACAGTCTTTCATATGCCAACGAGAGTAATCAATAAAGGTTAAGATATAACTTGTACATAGTGTAGTACAAAATATTTGTAGTACTGTATTATGTATGAAATGTATTTTTAAGTTAATATTTTTGGGAGTGTGGAATGGATTATTTCAATTTACATTACTATATTTCTTATGGTAAAATTTGTTTCGGTTTAAGAATTTTCAGTTTACGAACTGTCTCTGGGAACAGATTACATTTGTAAATGGAGGTACCACTGTATATTAAATTTTAAATATACCAGTATATAGAAAAGTATGTTATGCTTTCCATAACCACCCATTGCAATATTTCCTTTGAAGTTACACTCTCACTACTGTGGCCTACACTTACAAATAAAAAGGTAATATCAAATAAAAGCCAACACTGTAGCCACAACTTCCTTGACATTTAAAGTGGAGAAAACAATACGCTCATTTACACGAAGTTAAGGCAGAGTAGTTAACTTTTTTCCTGCAGGTTATGATGCTATCACTAGCTATAAACAGATGAGTCTATGCTCAGGGGTTCTGCATAATGCTTCCACTAGGTGCCATTGTAAAATCAAAATGCTTGAACAATATAATGTGAAAGAAGGCAACTACAAATGAATGCTGACAGAAATACAGTTATAGTAGTGGAAAGGAGTTGAAACTGTATTTGTGTGAAATTACTGAGAATGGAGACATCCTAATTGTTGATCAGTTTAAATATCTGGGATGACAAGAAAGAAATTTGTGCAAGTGGAGTTGAGAAAAGAGTGAGTCAGGAAAGAAAGGTACACAGCTGCTTCAACAAAAACTCTGGTCAGGAAGAAAAAAATAGAAAGAGATTCAGCCAGAGGGCTATATGATGGAGTAGCACAGTAGTGCATACTCAAATGTACACATGTGCAATGCTGGTATAAAATATTATGACAGCAAAAAGTAATACACAATCTGTCAAATATTAGTGATGTTAGGAGGATAAATTACAAGGATTGAAAAACCAGCGTTGAATGTAATAAAAAGCCATTTTATGGGTGAGACCCGGAGGCTTCCCGGAGCTATCCAGGCTGATATGCTAATGTCAGAATTTGGCATCAGTCATGTGCATGGAGTTCTGTGGGCATACCGGGGACCACAAGCCAGAACCTGGCGCCCTCAGAAGAGGCATGAGGAGCAATGGCCTATAGAAACCCCCATGTGGTTGGAAGAATTCTATGTCTGCCATCGACCGGGTCAGACACCCAGAAAGGTAAGCGCCCCAAAACAAACCTCTATTCTGGTGAAAATTGCTACAAAGAGCTGAACAAATGGATAGAACTCCCCAAAAAGAAACGAGCAAACAAGCATGATGTCATACGTCGCTGCGTCGCTGTTTGCGCAGCTTCCCCCCTCCCTGGGAGGGGGAAGGGAAAGGGGCAGCCCCAGTCCCCGCACTGGCCAACCACCCTTCATTTCTGAGGCTGAACATCAAAACATGTGAAAAACTGCCGACCAGGGGGAGGGAGGGATGTCAAGAGAGACTCCAGGTCTCATCCTGAAAATGGCATTTTATTACATTCAACGCTGGTTTTCTGGGGAAAGCCCCTTTGGCTCCCTGGAGCTAACTACCCAGAGAGGAAAAAATAAAGAGACTTACCCGGGAGGCGGTCACTGCTCACTCCTCAACCCGAAGTCGAGACAACTGGCTGCAACCGCCGACCCAAAGCGACACAGGCCTGATTAGGCCCAGGAATGTTCATGAGGTAGCGCGCAGCCAGGACCCTGTTCGACCGCCAAAAACCCAGTGCCCGAATGTTAGCCCAGGACATGTTGCCAAAGAAAACAGCAAGCGCAGCGAACTTATGAACGTCATGGGCATAGGGATAGACCGCAGGCTGGCTAGCCTTAATAACCTTGCGGGCGACCTGGGAGACACGCACCCGTGAACAGGGAAGAAGGGAAGCCAGATCAACCCAAAGCGCATCCCCGGACACAGAAGCCGTGGCGCACAAATAACAATGGAGGCCCGCAACCAGACACAAAGGATGATGTACCCCCGGCCAGACCAACCAAGCATCAACAACCCAAGGACCCCTCCAGAAAGCAGCTGTCTCATTCTTCGCCAGAAAAGAAGGAGACGACTACAGACGAACAAACCGATCACCACGACCCAAAGAACAGAAACCCCTACGCCGGAGGAGAGCATGAAGTTCCCCGACCCGACCCCCTAGAGGCCAATGCCAACAGGAAAAGAGCCTTCGAGAAACAATCCTGAACCGAAGGGGCCCACATCAAACCGAGGAGAAGAGAGAAAAGAGAGCACTTTGTCCAAAGACCAAGACGGCTCAGACGGCGAACGTCTGGCAGAGTCTATCAACGGAAGGGGTGGGCGTCGACCGCCCATTCCGTGGACAGGGGAATGAAACGAAACAGGCCATCTGCCAAGACGTTGGACACTCCTGGCACGTGAACTGCCAGGAGAGCCAAACCCTGAGAACTCAGCAGACGAGTCACCCGAAGCAACAAGCCCCAAAGAGCCAAGGACCGCATCGACAAGCCCCAAAGAGCCAAGGACCGCATCGAACCCCCCTCGGTTCAGGCAATGAACCACCGGGGAGCAGTCTGAATTGAGTCGGATTGTCGAACCGCGGGCGACCGGAACCCCCCGAAGAGCAAACCACACCGCAGCAAACTCCCACACCGTACTGTGGGCCCGACGGAAGGACGGACCCCACCGTCCCTGGTCGGCCTGGTAAGCACTGGTCACAAAGCCCCAGCCGAGAGATGACGCGTCCGTGAACACATCAAGCGAGGGCTCGAGTAGGCGCCAAGGCACTGAACCCCAAAAAACCCGAAGAGGAAGCCGGCGACGCAGCAGCTGGCACAAAGCCCCCGGGGGCCAAACCCAGTGATCGAGAGAGAGGCGGATGTAACGTCCCCAAAGGAACATGAACAGCCGACAATGCCAAACCCGACCCGGCGGGTAGACTATCATCGCAAAGTTCAGGCTCCCGCACAGACCCTCAAGCAACCGCTGGGTGACCGGAGAGCCCTCCAGAAACAGGTGCATGCGGGATCGCAGCCGAAGGAGAGACAAAGGAAGAAGAGACAAGGAAGTATTCCGAGAGTCGCACCCAAGACCCAGCCAGGTCCAAATCTGGGAGGGAACCAGATGTGACTTCCTCCAGTTCATCAAAAACCCGAACCCAGCGAGCTGGGAAAGAACAGAATCCCTTGCTAGCAGACAAGAAGACTGGCTGGGAGCCCAAACAAGCCAGTCGTCGAGGTAGGCCAACACCTGAACACCTAAAAGACGCAGACAGGCCACGACGACCTGGGTAAAGCTTGTGAACACGCGAGATGCCAGGTTCAACCCGAACGAGAGACAATGAAAGCGATAACCCTGACATCCCACAACAAAACCATGCCAGTCCCTGAACCCTGGATGAATCGGAACGTGCCAATAAGTGTCCCGGAGGCCCAGGGACACCATCATCGTTTCAACCACGGCCAAGCGAACCCACTCCTAGATGACCCTACAGAGCGCAGGAGAAGAGGCCTGCCCCGCCAGTGCCAAACCCCCCGAAGGAGGAGGAGCCACCCAACGCCACTGCAGGCCGAAGGAAACGACCCGAAATTCCCACAAATCGTGGAACCAGGCGTGAGCAAACAGCGCAAGTTTCCCCCCCGCCCATCGCCCCATCAATGGGGCGAACCGTGAAAGGGCCGGCGCCCCTTATGAGACCCGAAACCTCACACAGAGCGAACACTGTGCCAATCAGATGAAGGCGGGTCCGAAGGTAGGGCCAGACCCAAAACTGGCACCAGTGGCCTACCCCGATAAGAGGAACCTCAAGCCCTGGCCAGATCCCTCCAAGAAGGGCTCCCCCCCACATGGGACCCCCGGAGAACCAACAAGTCAGACAAAGTCAAAATGGGGCAGCCACAGGGCATCCAGGTGAGCAACCAACCTAGAGCGTTGCAACAACCTAAATCGCACATGCAACGCCTGCGCTGCCTGTACCCACATAAGATTTTCATTGGACTGGGTAAACTGAGTCACCAGCAAGCAACAAAACTCGCAGGACTCTAGGTCGAAAGTGTCACTGACCCAACAGGCAGCGTGATGGAGGCAAAAACAGTGAGAGACACCCCAGAGACAAGGGGACCGAGCAGCTCTCAAACTGGCACGAAGCGAGGAGAGACTTAGGGGTCACATCCATCGGACCTGCGTGCCCCCTTGGGGTTTCCCAGGGTCCTGAGATGGAATTCTCGCTCAGGAAATCCCAGGCCGGGTACTGCTAACTGGTGCCATTTTCACCAGAATAGGGGTTTGTTATGGGAAGCTTACCTTTCTGGGTGCCTGACCCAGACGATGGCAGACGTAGAATGCTTCCAACCACATGGGGGTTTCTATAGACCATTGCTCCTCGTGCCTCTTCTGAGGTGGCCAGGTTCTGGTTCATGGTCCCCGGTAGGCCCACAGAGCCCCATACACATGACTGATGCCAAAGTCTGACATTAGCATATCAGCCTGGATAGCTCCAGGGAGCCGAAGTGGCTCCCCCCAGAAAATCATTGAAAGATAGGGGTATAAAATCAGTAAATCTTAAAGCTGAGGAAAGTGTAGGAGAATGACAATTTTCTCCTATCACAATAATGATCAAAACTACAGTGTGTCAGTCATTCTCAATAATAGAACCACTGGCACAGCTAAAGTTGTAGACTTAATACAAAAACAGTGTCATTGAACTCCCAAGGTTTTGCCAATATAAAAGGTCAATATTTCCTCCCATCTCCTGTGACTTGCTCTATTTTATATATATATATATATATATATATATATATATATATATATATATATATATATATATATATATATATATATATATATATATATATATATATATAAATTAAAAATATATATATATATATATATATATATATATATGTATATATATACATGTCGTACCTAGTAGCCAGAATGCACTTCTCGGCCTACTATGCAAGGCCCGATTTGCCTAATTAGCCAAGTTTTCCTGAATTAATGTATTTTCTTTAATTTTTTTCTTATGAAATGATAAAGATACCCATTTCATTATGTATGAGGTTAATTTTTTTTATTGGAGTTAAAATTAACGTAGATATATGACCGAACCTAACCAACCCTACCTAACCTAACCTAACCTATCTTTATAGGTTAGGTTAGGTAGCCGAAAAAGTTAGGTTAGGTTTGGTTAGGTAGGTTAGGTAGTCGAAAAACTATTAATTCATGAAAACTTGGCTTATTAGGCAAATTGGGCCTTGCATAGTAGGCTGAGAAGTGCGTTCTGGCTATTAAGTACGACATACATACATATATATATATATATATATATATATATATATATATATATATATATATATATATATATATATATATATATATATATATATATATATATATATATATTATATATTATATATATATATATATATATATATATATTATATATTATATATATATATATATATATATATATATATATATATATATATATATTATATATTATACAGTATATATATATATATATATATATATATATATATATATATATATATATATATATATATATATATAATCTTTATTTATTTTCATATACAGGTATTTCCTCATTGCTATATTTATTACAGACCATTTGAAACTGAATACAAAGCATGCAAGTTACCATATACAGTACAGAGAGTCTGAAAATCACACTTACATGACACTGTGCAAAGCCAAACTGGCAGAAGGCATCAAAGATGAAATTTGCACAGCAGATTTCCACCCCTGCCTCAGGACTGGCCTGAGCAATGATCCACCTGGAGAAAGGGTCAACAATCGTCACCAGTACTTCATTGCCATAAACTGTTCTGTTGTATGGGCCGTAGATTTTTACTTGCACCTGTTGTATGCAAAAAAATGCTAGGGTATAAAAACAGAATAGTAGAATAGACATAATAAATTATCTTACATGTAGACCAGACCACACACTAGAAATTGAAGGGACGACGACGTTTCGGCCCGTCCTGGACCATTCTCAAGTCGACTGTGATACAATCGACTTGAGAATGGTCCAGGACGGGCCGAAACGTCGTCGTCCCTTCAATTTCTAGTGTGTGGTCTGGTCAACATACTTCAGCCACGTTATTGTGACTCATCGCCTGCATCTTACATATAACTTGCATACCCGAACTGCCTTTAAAAATGGTGCAAATATTAGGCTTACAATACATTTCATATATCTATCAATTTAATTCATATTTTTGATGCTTTATTCCTCTGATAATTCCCTAGTCTTAAGGATGGCCACATGCTGAATCCTCCCAAGTTACTGAAAATATTGTACTGCACCCTCAACTCGTACACATTTCTACTTGCCACACTTCTTTTGTTTATTGCTAGAAGGTTCAAGTCATGGACCTCGAGTGTCTCATGATGCACACCCCCAACCCTCACCTTGAGAACACGTACCAAGAATAGGGAAATGCTGCCAGAGACCTCAACCTCAGTCCATAATGCTACAGAATGTTCCCTTGAAGAGATGGCTTGGCAACACTGCAGCTAAAGCTAGTGAGAAAATTCCATCTATCCTGGCTTTCCAGAAGACCCAAGACTAATGCACTACCTTGGAAGAAGCCCCTCAAAAAAAAAAAAAGACTCCAGAGAAGGAAGCAGGGTTCTGAACCCCCTTAAGGAAGACTGGGGCAATGATAATAGCAACCAAGAAAGAAAACCCAAATCTCATGCAAGTGTACACTAAACAAGGATACACACAAAGACACCACACACACACATGGAAGTATAAGAACAAGGAAGTCGAGTAAAGGCCCATATGCTAGACAAAGTCAAGAGGATGACAATTTATTACTACAAGAACTCAGGCATAAGGTGTGACAAAGAGTAGGGGTGATGTTCCGAGACTGATCGTGGCCAGTTCTGCCATCTATTAATAAGACAACAACATATCTTGGAGTGTATTGTTCCTTTAAAATTTAAATGGAAAAGTACCTGCCACCCATCAGTAACCACTCAAACTGCTGTGATCCAGCCCTAAGTAATCCTGATTATCAGTCAATAACTAACTGTAGCTTTTTTATAAATCTTTTCTGTCAACACATAGAAACACATAAAACACATACAAATAACTTACTAAAATCTACTGCATGTGGTATTTTGGATTTTTATTTGAATATCTGTACATCATAAAACATATTCTCCTGTACTGTACTATGAATATGACCAGCATGATACTACTCTTAAAAATCTCCATAACTTTTCTGTGGAGAGCTCCTCCGGCTCCCCAGAGTTATACCGAGTTGATATGCATATAATATGCCTTGTTCAAGTTGTATGCGCCGATTCTGAAGGAGGCTGTGTGTCTGTTCTTTGCTTCCCGCCTTGCATGCCGGCAGGCTGTGCTCGCTTATTCTATGGAATCTGCGTGGGCCTTGGCTCTTAGATTTTCATCTACTTTTTGTCCATTGCTGTTTGCGGATTCTGTGGTTATGCAGTATCTGCAAGCAGCTTCTAAATTGTCGGACTTGTTGGTTCTCCGGTTGCCCCGGGTGGTTCATTGCCCGAACTGAGGGGTTTTGACACAGTTCTTGGCTCTTTGGGGCTGGTTGCTTCGAGTGACTTGTGTGGCGAGTTCTCGGGTTTGGCTCTCCTGGTGATTCATATCCGGGGAGTGTCCAACATCCTGGCAGACAGCCTGTTCCAGTTCTTTCCCCTGTCCATGAAATGGACGTTCGACGCCGACACGTTCTATTGTCTCTGCCAGACATAAGGGCGCCTGGAGGTTAACCTCTTCGAGTCAGCGTGGTCGAGACATCTCTCGGTATATGTGGCATCCTTCCCTGACTGAGAGGCCGTCGGGGTTGATGTTTTTTGGCAGGACTGGTCGAGGTGGGGGTTGCCTGTATCTCTTCCCGCAAGTTCAGCTGTTGCTTTGGGTTTTGGCTTGTTTGGAGACTTACCAGGGGAAGAGTAGTCCTGTTGGCTCCTCAGTGGCTGGCCCAGCCTTGGTTTCTGGAGCTTCTGACAAAGTCCCCAGGTGTCCGAACCTGGGGACTTTTCTGCGGCTCCACCTCTTTCAGCAGATTGGTCCAGCTCGGTATATGACTGGTTTGATCTTCTCTGTTCTTCGCGTCTGGTCTTTCTGAAGCGGGTTTATCACCGTTTGTATGGTGATCAGGTGACTTCTTTGATGGTGACCCACCTGCGAGATTTGTCTCGGCAGTAGTATGAAGTCTCCTGGCGGTCCTTTCGTTACTTTTTGCCTCTTCGTAGATTGTCTTCGGTTTCGGATCGAGTTGTCTTTTCATTTCTCTCTCTTGGTTGTTTCAGGACCGTCATTTTATGTTAATACTGTTGCCTTGTATGGTGCAGCGCTGGAGAAGCTGCTCCTACTTGTGTTTGAGGTGGATGTTACTTCAGCCCCGTTTCGCAAGCTGTCTCGTGCCTTGTTTCACCTCCGGCCTGCTCATGCACCATCTGAGCCATCTTGGTCATTGGAGATGACCAAGCTCTCCGACCTCTGGGGGTTTGGGTCGGGGAGCTTCATGCTCTCCTCCAGTACAGGGTTTTTTTCTCATTCGGATCTGGTGATAGGTTTGTTCGGTTGCAACCGTCCCCTCCTTTCCTGACAAAGAACGAGACGGTGGCTTTCTGGAGGGGTCCTTGTGTGGTTGATGCTTGATTGGTTTGGCTAGGGGTGCATCATGTGTTATGTCCGGTTCCGGCTCCTCGCCGGTATTTGAATGCCACGGCCTCTGTGACCGGGGATGCGGTCAGGTTGACCCGGTTTTTCTTCCCTGTTCCAAAGTATGGGTCTCCCAGGTCGTCTGCAGGGTTATTCGGTCCAGCCAGCCTGCAGTCTATCCTAGTGCCCCATGATGTTTGCAAATTTGTTGCTTAAGCTGCCATTTTTGGTAATATGTCTTGGGCTGACATTCGGGCGCAGAGATTTTGGAGGTCGAACAGGGTCCTGGCCTCCTGTTACCTCGTTAATGTTCCTGGCCCTAGTTGGACGTGTGACACTTTGAGTCACAGGTTGCAGCCAGTTGTCTGAACTTCGAGTTGAGATGCGAGTAGCAGTTGCCTCCCAGGTAATTCCCTCTATATTTTTTCTGTGGTTAGGTAGCTCTGGGAAACCGGAGGGGCTCTCCACAGAAAACCTGCATTGAATGTGATGAAATGCCATTTTCCGGGCGTGTCACAGAGGCTCCCTGACAAACCTCCCTCCATCCCTCCCTCCGGTCGGCGGTTTTCTCATTTTGATATTCAGTCTCTGAACTGAGGTTGGGTAGCTGGCAAAAGGGGGTCTTGGGCTCACTTCTTTTCCCCCTCCCAGGGTGGGAAACTGTGCAGACAGCAATGCGGCAGCAGTTGTGATGTCATGCTTGTTTGCTTGTTTTCAGAGTGTGGCGTTCTGTTTGACAGTTCTTTTTTCAGTAACAATTTTAATCAGGTGGAGTCTGTTTTGGGACGCCTACCTTTCTGGGTGCCTAACCTGGTAGATAGTAAACTAGATGGCAGAATGCTTCCAACCACATGAGGGAAGGGGGTCCTATAGACTATTGCTCCTCGTGCCTCTCTGAGGGGGCCAGGTTCTGGCTCGTGGCCCCCGGAAGGCTAGAACTCCAATCGAATTGATTGATGCCACGGTCTAATACAGTATATGCATATCAGCCCAATATAGCTCTGGGGAGCCTCTGGCACTCACTCAGAAAATGGTGTTTCATTACATTCAATGGTGCTGTTTTTTTGGTTACCTTTTTCCAAACTCGAATAATTCGGTCAGTTGGTAAAGTGGTGATCTTTTGGATATCATCATCCCCTACATCATCTCCAGTTTCTGCCTGTATTAGGTCACGGAAACTTGAAACTGCAACTTCAGTACATTTTTCACAGCGTCTGCAGTAGTTTCCGACATCGACATACATGGTGCGCCAATAAAACTTACTAAATATACTGCTGTACATCTTTTTCACTCCAAAATGTACACCTGAGTCAAAAGTAAACAAAATATATTAGCACTACTTTGTAATAAAATAACCAATAAAAATTCTAAAAGCTTCCTTAATTAATCAATCTACTACATTGCACAATGTTAGAACAAATATTCAGTATCTACCCAAGACTAGAAGTGTATTATTTTATACTTTTTCATGCATTAACAGAATAATGTACACCAGTACAGGTGGCTCTCATTTTTTTAAATTTGAATACAGTACTGTATTTGAATACATTATGTAAATTCACAACGTAACTAAAAATAAAGAAGACTGATCAAATTGCAGTTATACATGTGCCGTCTACCTGACATGTGGTCAATGTGCTCAGATTCTATGATCCGCCTCTGGTCTTCAGAACTAGTTATAACCTCTTTAGGCATCTTGTGACCATAAGATAGTCTCCCATCTTCATTTATCTGAAAATAGAATTTAATTTACTTTCCAAAACAGAGAAAGTGAGTTTACAGGTACTGTACAATATAAAGGAATTAGATTAAGTGCAGTACCTATGCTACCAATAATATATATTTGAATCTTATCCATAAATTTGTTCAGGTTATCTGAATACAATGGAGTCCTAATTATTTGAAACCACCTTATCTGAAAGTCTAAATTAGACTAACAAAAGGGAATTCTATCTAGATAATATTTCCAAATAGCCAAAGACTATTTTGTGAATGTGAATTTTGGGGATAACGGGTCGAGACAATTTTTGTGAAAATTATTTGAATGTGTTTTAAATATTTTGGGTTGAATACCACAATATAGAAATCATTAATCGTTACAGTACCAAGGAAAAAAGGGGGAAGGGGGGAGCCCCGGACTCTCTATGCTGAAGATCCAACCACTCTAGTTCGGAGGCTAGGTATCAAATATGCGAAAACTGTCGAGGACACCACAAGGTGTCCTTTACTGTCCCCGGGGCTGGGGGGGGCTGGGGGGGGGGGCTGGGGGGGCTGGGTTAACGAGCAGTAGAGCGCCGTGGTATGACATTTGGTTGTTTGCTTGTTTCCTTGTGAATTGAAGGAGTTCTGCTTCTCTGCTTAATTTTCGGTTGCAATATTCTTACCATGTGGGGTCTGTTTTGTTATGCCTACCTTTCTGGGTGCCTAACCCCAGTCGATGGCAGATAAGGAAAAACCCCAACCATGGGGGGGGGGGGGGGGGGTTCCAGGGCCATTGCTCCCTGTGCCTCTCTGAGGGGGGCCCAGGTTCTGGCTCGTGGTTGTTCTGGCTGAACTACATCGACTAAAGCTTTGGTCTAATGTATCGCATATTAGCCAGATAGCTCCAGGGAGCCAAAGGGGCTCCCCACAGAAAAACTCATCTTGATTAAAAAGCAAGCCACCAGGTGGCAGTTCAGGTCACCTGTGGGTCCTACAAAACATGTGTAGGACCCACACTCATGTGCCACTCTATAATGCTCCCTAACCCCATGGGGAAAAATAATATAAGGCAGGTGTTGGAAATGGGTCTGCCCAGCACACTTACTCTTATTCCTTTCTCTTCCTTGAGATTTTTATTTCCCTATAAGCAGAGTACTGTCTTTATATCATTCAAATATGTAATTTGGTTCCAGGCAGTGACCAGGTGTAGGTAGGTGTGCATGCTGCCCTCTGGTGACAGTCAGCAATAGTGACCAGGTAGGCAAGTTGGCAGTTTGCAAAAGTGTTAATTAACAGTCCATGTAATGCCAAATTTTAGTTAAAAAGCCACTGAGTGTGTGAGTGAACTCTGTTTGGTCACTCTTTTGCTTGAGAAAAAAACAAAATATACATTAACTGAAAAATATCAAACGGCTGAAAAGTCTGGATAAACTGAAGGGATCCAGTCCTAATTACTTCAAATAATCAGGAATCCACTGTACATGAACTACTGTATAGGCAAATTTCAAGTCATGGGTGTCATGAAAGTGTTCAGGTAAAAATTAATAACTAACCAAGTAATTTGTAGCTCGCTTCTTGATGACTTTCTTGTAAATATCTGTGGTGCCCTCCGGGAAGGTACCAGAACTAAGGTAATGGTAGACCTCATTATAAAACATCCCATCAGGGTCGTCAGGGTGCAGAAATGGAGCAAGAGGTAAGGGCACCATGGGCATTACTTTTTCCTGTGATGGAAGCATCAGCAAATGTTGAACAGATTAAATAAAATTGCTATGGATATGTTTACATTCTAGACAAATAAATAAATAATGGTAAACTATAATGATTTAATAATTGATTCTAAAAACTGCATATATACTTCTTCAAAATGTACTTTGAGAGAGTGAGATGCCAAGAAGAGCAAAGGGCCAAGACAAACAGTGTGTAATCAAGTGAAGCCAATTTATTAAGAACATAAGAATAAAGGTAACTGCAGTATGCCATTTGGCCCATTCTACTTCTACCCAACCAAACGCATTCATATATATATATATGTCTAACCTACACTTAAAACAATCCTGCAATACCATGTCCATTATATTACAAGGTAATCTGTTCATTAAATCAAGAACCCCAAAATATAGAACCCATTACATAATCAATGTTATTAATGTATTTTGTAGTTATGTTGAACTCAAATTCTGTGACATTGTACCTATTAATACTTTTACCATTATTAGTTAGATTAAGAATCTGCCTGAAATGCTATGCATATTAGTGGCCTTCAAGACTGTAATGCTAAAAAACCAGTGTTATGTAGTCTCACAACCCAATGTACCTTCTTGTATATAAATAAATTAATAGATAAACATGATAAATGCAATTCAATTTTGAAATAAATATGATTTGTCACCATACTGTACTGTTATTCAGTACTGATACTCAGTACAACTTACTTCCATCTGTAAATTGACTACAACTCCATGATGCATTCCATCTGGATCGTCTGCCATGACTGTAACACCTTGTTCAGCACCACTCATGTCACTTGCCAGGTGACTGTACTTGGTTTCTTCCATCATGTGTTCAACCTATTGACAAACAAACATTAAAATTACAAAAAAATTGCCATCAGAATCTAAAAAACCCAGCGTTGAATGTAATGAAACACCATTTTCTGAGTGAGACCTGGAGGCTCCCCAGAGCTATACCAGACTGATGTGTATACATTAGACCGTGGCAGCCTACCAGTGACAATACTACCTCCTACCTAAGGTCAAACAGAAGCTATGAAAACCCCCAGCTGACCCCAAGGGTGAGCAGTCACCGAGCAGCAAAAGATCCCAACGGGGGTAGTCCCCGAACGACTTGTGGAAGATAACTCCAAGTCACAAGGGCAGTACTTACAGGGCACCTAGAGAAAGTGGCCCTAGACGCATGCAGCCCCAGTACTCCGTGAATTACTCCTGGCTCACACACCATCGAAGAGCAGAACAACACCACAAAGGCACAGCACTGCACAGAGACTAAGAGCCAGAGTCGAACGACTGCCACTCAACACATCAGCCTCAGAACTGGGATTGGATGGCCGGTACGGGGTTTGGTGTTTCCCCTTCTTCCTCCCGGGAAGGAGGAAGCTGCACAGACAGCGGCGCAGCAGCAGTTGTAACGTCATGTTTGTTTGCTTGTTTTCAGATTGGGAGGTTCTGCTTGATAGTTCAGCTTTCGGTAGCAATTTTAACCAGGTGGAGTTTGTTTTGGGACGCCTACCTTTTTAGGTGCCTAACCTGGTCGATGGGAGAAATGAAATGCTTCCAAAAACTTGGGGGTTTCCACAGGCCATTGCTCCTCATGCCTCTCTGAGGGGGCCAGGTTTTGGCTTGTGGTTCCCAGTAGGCAAGCACTCCATCGACTGATGCCACGGTCTAATACATACATATCAGCCCGGTAAGCTCCAAGGAGCCATAGGGGTTCCCCACAGAAAGCATCCCAAAACAGGAAAATGCATGGAAATTTTTTTTAATTATTATGATAACAATATCAACAATCATTGGGTGGACAGGGGGGTGGAACAAGGGGGTGGAACAGGAGGGGGGGGGGGGGTGGAACAGGGAGGTGGGGGGGGGGGGGTGGAAATCAGGAAGCTACCTTGGCCCCACTAGAAAGAGGCATTTCATTACATCCAACTCTTGTTTTTTATTCCATACTGTATTTTGTTTAGCATATCTATTTGTGCCACACACCTTCGTGTGCCCTGGCTAGCAGTTTACTTTGACTATTGTATCCAGAGTTATCTTCAACAGTGGCTGGCTGGCACAGCCACTGCCCTTCCAGGGTTATCTTCTCTGCAGGGGTTCTAGTTGCTTCCTCTACAAGCTGCCTCCTTTCAAGATATCTATGCTATTTGATAGTGTATGAGCTTTTTGCCCCTCTGTGAGGCCTGTTAATGTGGAGTGCTAGTTTCTATCAGTTTGCATCTCACCTGCTCTTGTTGCTATCTTTACTATTGCTTTGGCAGAGGGTGCACATGGGTTATGTAAGTGCTTTATCCCATGCAACATATGCCTCCCTTTGCTGAGGGGTTATAAGGACACAGGTTGGTGTCTTTATTGCCAAAATGCTCAATGCACCCAGCCTACCTGCTGGTTTGTTGAAAGATAGATGGCTAGTTCTCTCCTTGGAATCCTTCTTAGTCTGTGTGTTTGGAGAGCGGGAATTGATCGACTATGCTTGGTTGCCTACTTCTTTGTTCACATTTTCCTGCATTCAGGAGGAATTGCATGGGAAGACTACTAGATGACCAGGGCCATCTGATGGCAGCCAAGCATATTAGGGTTAGGGATATTCACACTCAGAAAACTATTGTTTGCCTTATTTTCCTCACTGTCTATTTATTTATTTATTTCAAGTATTGTAGTAGCTTATTTATTTTCTCTTACCTTTCAAGTGGGTGTTTTTCTGTTTTTGGTAAATCTCTGATCCCCCAAGCTCCTCTCATCTCGTAGAAAGACCCAGATTCTAGTTCTGGTTCTTCATGCATCAGTGCGAGTCTTTGATTCCTTATACAGTCCTCAAGCTTATTAGTACCAGAGTATAAGCACTATGTAGCTCCTGAGAGCCTACCAGAAGTAAGTACTTTATTACATTTAATACTTGATTTCTACCCTTGGGGGTGCCTGGGCTGTGTGACCTACGGCTCCTGTTTACCCAAGTGTAATTATGTACATATATAGTTTTCTCCAGGTGATTTACCTGATCAACCAGGCTGTGACTCATACGTCAGGCTGCGAGCAGCCGCGTCCAACAGCCTGGTTGATCAGTCCAGCAACCAGGAGGCTGGTCGACGACCGGGCTGCGGGGACACTAAGCCCCGGAAGCACCTCAAGGTAACCTCAAGGTAAGGTAAGGTGTTGTACCTATTTAGTTTTAATTATTTTTGTACAATATTTTTACTATTACACTCGTCAATGATACAGGTCTTTAACTGAGGAGGTCTTAACTGCTGCCACTTTTGTAGACTGGAATTATGTTAGCTTTTTTCCACACAGCTGCTAGGACTCCTGTACACAGGGATGCCTGAAAAATCAGTTGAAGTGGAATGCTGAGCTCAAGTGCATATTCTCTCAAAACCCATGGTGAAACTCCATCTGGGCCAACTGCTTTGTTCTTACTTAGCTCCTTGAGCATTTTTATCACTTTATCTCTAGACACCTCTATGTGCTTCATGTTGTTCTCTGGAATTCTTATTGTGTCTGGTTCTCTGAAGATTTCATTATGAACACACACTTTGGAACTTTCCATTTATTTTTTCCACACATTTCATTTTCCATGATTCTGTTTCCAATTTTCAACCTCTGAATATTATCCTTTACCTACAATTTGTTGTCGATGTATCTATAGAATAAGCCTGGTTCTGTTTTACATTTGCCCACTATCCCTTTCTCAAAATTTCTTTCTGCCTCTCTCCTGGTGTGTGCCCTTGGCTGTGTTCTAACTTTGAACTCCCAGGCTGTGCACTCTGAGCTTCCAGGCAGTACTGTGTGTTATCTTGAGGTTATCTTGAGATGATTACGGGGCTTTTTTTTTAGTGTCCCAGCGGTTTGATCCTCGACCAGGCCTCCACTCCCAGGAAGCAGCCCGTGACAGCTGACTAACACCCAGGTACCTATTTTACTGCTGGGTAACAGGGGCATAGGGTGAAAGAAACTCTGCCCATTATTTCTCGCTGGCGCCTGGGATCGAACCCAGGACCACACGATCACAAATCCAGCGTGCTGTCCGCTCGGCTGACTAGCTCCCTGTTCAAGAGTTCCTGGGCTTCTGGTCAGTGTTCCTGGGTACCCAGGCAGTGTTTCCAGAGCTAATATGATATGTGCCCTGGACTGTTTATCCTGGGCCCTGTGTCATGGCCTCAAGCTGTTTGCTCTGATTTCTTGAACTGTGAGCCTTTCATGTCAGGGCCATTTGCCCTGGGATCTGGAGGTTTCTGCACTGATTTCCTCAGCTATTTGCTCTGGAACTTCCCAGGACTTGTGCTCCAGGATCTTTGGTGATGTGTTTTGTGATCTTAAGGCTCTGCCCCAGCTCCCAGGGGGCCAGATTCATGAAGCAGTTACACAAGCACTTACAAACCTATACATCTTTCCTCAATCTTTGGCGGCTTTGTTTACAATTATCAAACAGTTAATGAGCTCTGACGCACCAGGAGGCTGTTTGTAACAATAACAACATTTGATTGGGAAGTTTTCATGCTTATAAACTGTTTAATAAATGTAACCAAAGCCGTCAAAGATTGAGGAAAGATGTACACGTTCGTAAGTACTTGCATAACTGCTTCATGAATCTGGCTCCAGGTCATTGAGATGCATTGACTCCAGGTCATTGAGATGTACATTGAGATGTTTCCTCTATGCTATGTCATTGTGTTCTAGGCTGTGCTCACCAGGCTTTTCTGGTATTGTGCCTTTGGCCTTGCCTCAGTCCTTTGTGTAGGGCTTCCTTTTGTCAACAGGAATTCCAGGATGAGCGAGTGCTGATCTGTATTTACCAAGTTTTCTTTCCTCAGGTGTTCCTGGGTTTCTATTTATCCTTCATGGGGTTTTATGGTTTTCTGTTAAATGTTTGGCACCTTTGCCGTGAGCTTCATTCTATGCTTCCTAGGTCAGATACTGGTATGCTGGTTGGGTCAATGGGGACATTACTGACTTGAAGCCCTGTTTGTCTTTTCATCAAAATGATGTTCATGTCTTCTTACCCTCTGGCTGCTTTCACAGAGAACTAGGCCATTTTTTTTTTTCTGCCTTTCTCAAGGCTCAGCATTTTGACAGTCTATATGGTAGTTGGGAATGTGTTCCTTGTTGATTTACCCCGAGTCCTCACTGTGATTGTGTGGCACTTGGAATGTATGCCTCATCACTGCTGCTCGTTCTTCCCAAGCTATTCCAGAAAATTAAAAAAATTAAATTATGCAAATGGAGAGGCGAGTACAAATCTATTCATGCAGTGGGGGGGTTAATGAAAATAACATGCTACAAACATCTCAGTCTTAAGACAAAAAAGAAGGATTAGAGGTTATTTTAAAAACTGAATTCACTTTCTCATATGAAATGAATCTCCTTCCATGATCAGAAAAATCCAGTGTTGAATATAATGAAATAGCTCTTTCTGGTGGACCCTTCAGTAGCTTCCTGATGATGCCAATCAAGTCTTGAGTCACACACCAGAATCTGACTAATCACAAACACTTACTGCAGACTAAGTCCAGAATCTAACCCCCTTTCTAAAGAAGAAACAAGAGCAGGGGATTAGAGATCACCACCTAACCGAGGAAAAAACACACTAGTAAAAACAAGCAACTGCATTAAAAACAATTATAATCCTGACTCTAACAATATAAATGGCAAAGGCAGCACTGGCGACGGACGGGCAAAGACAGCATGGTAGCTAAATGTATTTCCTAAGGCTTGGCAAGACTAGTACTATAACTTGTGGAGCTACCAAAGAAAAGACCTAAAAGTACATTTCACTATATTCAACACTTCCTTTTTTGTTAAGGCTGTCCCTAATTATCAGTAACACAATCAAATTTGTGCCACCTGTGAATAAAAGATTATCAGGCAGTTTGAGCACCATAAAACTTACCACAGCAACATCATTGCGAACTTGGTCAAGTTCAGCAGCAGCTGCAAGGGCTGAGAGAGGGTCTTTATCATGGGGGTGCCCTGCCTCCTCATGCCCAACAAGGCCACCTCCATTAGCCACCTCATTAAGGGCTGTTGCCAGAGCATCATTTGGCTGACCTGAAAATATATTTTGCAATAGTCAAGATCAAAATTGACAATTTCAAAATTTCCTTCCTAAATGTATCAAAAATGTGAATATTATCTAATTTTTTCTTCTAATATTCTTACCAAATTTAAGTAAATCATGTTATTGAGTAATCTACTGTGTTACACACAAATTTAGCATTTGACTATTTTTATGCATAATAAATAAATGTAAAAGAGTAAAGGCTACATCCTAGATTTTTCAGTCACAAAAGAATTAAAACTTTTACTTGAAGACTACACTGTCCAACATGGATAAAAACACTATAAAATGTATTATCCACACTTTTGGGTAGAAAGGGAAGGATTGTGACACTAGTTCTCCATATATGTCAGTTGTTTAATTTAGAAACTGTACTTGTGGTCAGTCTCAAACCCATTGTTGATGTGACGATGAGCATTGAATTTTGTAACTAGCTCATCAAGATTGTAACTTGCTTAGCTAAATGAATTGTGGGGTTCAGTCCCTGAGCCCATTATGTGCCTCTTGTAACCCTTTCCATTACTGCTCACAAGATGGTATGGGGAGCATAATAAATGAACTAAACCAACTACACTTTATCTCTGCACACCTCATGCAATCCAAACGCTTTAATATGAGTAGTTGTTCTCTAAATACATCCAGAATCCCTAGCTCCACTGCATGTGTTCTAATAGTTCAATTAATACAATATTTTTTTTTTTGAGATATATACAAGAGTTGTTACATTCTTGTACAGCCACTAGTACGCGTAGCGTTTCAGGCAGGTCCCTGGATTACGATCCCCGCCGCGAAGAATCGTTTTTACAACCAAGTACTCATTTTACTGTTGAGTTAAACAGAGGCTACAGTTAAGGATTTGTGCCCAGTAAATCCTTCCCGGCCAGGATACGAATCCATGACAAAGTGCTCGCGGAACGCCAGGCGAGTGTCTTACCACTGCACCACGGAGACTAAATGACCATTTTCTTTACCACACAGAACCTTCAGTCCTATCATAAGACTGATTTCAAAGATTATATTTCAAATACTGTATTAGATATAACTAGTTCACTCTGCATTATTAAGAACTTACGTAGTTTTTGTATAACTGAGAACAGCTATACAAAAGTCTTATAAGTCTAAGAACTTCATTTTGCATATTTCCAATCCATGAATACATTTGCTATGATTTATGAATAAGGCTGGTGAATGATAGTCAGAGTACATTGTATTGTACATAGCACAATACTATGCTTTAACAGTCTCCGTGGTGTAGTGGTAAGACACTCGCCTGGCGTTCCGCGGGCGCTATGTCATGGGTTCGTATCCTGGCCGGGGAGGATTTACTGGGCGCAATTCCTTAACTGTAGCCTCTGTTTAACGCAACAGTAAAATGTGTACTTAGATGAAAAAACGATTCTTCGCGGCAGGGGATCGTATTCCAGGGACCGTAGGATTAAGGACTTGCCCGAAACGCTACGCGTACTAGTGGCTGTACAAGAATGTAACAACTCTTGTATATATCTCAAAAAAAAAAAAAAAAAAAAAAAAAAAATGCTAAGTATATAATTTTTCTATTTATTTATTTAATGTCTTCCTTGGTAATGACTAAACAATTCCACTTGCCTTCTTCACTACGTATACAGTATAGATTTGTTCAGATGTAGGTAAAATATCAAGTTCATCTCTCATAAATATGTGAATTCTAGTAAATTCCAAAATCTTCAGGAGATATATTTATTAGTGTAAAAACACACAATGGCTTTAAAGGTACAAACTATCACATCACCAAAACAAGTTAGAAATTACCTTGAGGTATACACGTTAGGTCTGGGACGATGATGTGCACCACATTGCTCAGTTCCTGGGTCTGATACGTGGCGGTGGTCCAAGCCCCTGCGGCAGAGAGACCTTCCTCCCCACCCTCCTCCCCATTCATCTCTCTGGCACTTTGTCATAAAATGAAATAAATTACATACAAATTAATGCAACTAAGTTTGCATTTGCCTGCACAGTATTTAATTAACAAGTGTAATATGCAATAATAATTAACTTAAAAAAATAGTGCAATGATATACATATCTAGTCACTAAAACAGTATAAAATGCTGTAGATATAATGTATACAATATAAAGCAGGCTTTATATATATTAAGTGAGAATTGTCTTTAGCAAAGAAAATTCAAATGTACTATGTACTATATTAGAACTTTTAGCATAAATAAATGTTGAAGTATCAGCAATGGATAAAACAAAAAAATCTGGGCAAAATTATGGATTAGTTACTAAATACACAATGTTTAAATTTATTTCAAATTACATGACTTGCACTTAAAACTGCTTCTTTAGATCACATCACAAATTTTTAATTGGAATAAGTCCAGTACTGTATGTGTGACGACTACCAAGCGATAATTGATTCTATACTCCCTGAACACTTTCACTGCAATGTTGCTTTGGTCAAGTAGTGAAAAAAAAGTTGCTCACAGCAATATGCAACTTCTGAAAATTGAATTGAAAAATTAAACACCCTCATTTTCCTTTTATTTTTACTGTCTATGAGACTTATTTACTTTCTATTGCACTTATTTACAATGCTGACCAGTACATTGTATATACATTTTCTTCTGTATTCCATAGATAAGAAAGATTCTTGAACACTCAAACTGGTTGATTGACAGTTGAGAGGCAACTCAACCTCCACAAGCACAACGAGGAGAGTACGAGGCGAGTACAACGTTGTGCTTGTGGGGGGGGGGTTGAGTTGCCTCTTTAGAATCTCTAGGTGAGAAATCTCAAGAAACTAGGTGAGTAAAGGTGGCTGCAGACCTTGTAATATGACAAATCACAATGCTAGCCAGCATACAGTACAGTACTGTACAGCATATACATTTTCATCTGTGATTCATCACATAGTGATCATTTTCACTACTTACTGTATAGTGTAATGGGTTACCGACTGATCAACTACAGAATGTGATTAATGCTTTTACAAAGGCAAATTATAATTCTAACTAGCAAATATACTTATTTTCATCTTTCCTACAGTGAAACGACTAACAAGCTGATATAGTACATAGTGAGTAATACTTAACCACAAATGTAATTTGAGTGTTTTTGTAAGTCGAAATTATAATGACATTATTTATTTATTTATATGCAAATACCTGTAGATACAATGGGTTGTACCATCCAGTGCAAGTGGTTGGGCTAACTTCCGACCCCATAGAATCAGAAAGTCAAATCAGTTGTATTTGATACAGTACCAGCAATAACAATTCAATAATTATTGTTTTTATTACCCATATATAACATATACACTGACAGGTTCAGTGGTTGAATGTATGGTAATGAAATTACAGTAGGTACTTATTGTTCTTTTACTTTTCATTGCAATTAATATTTTATTTATGCAAGAGGACATACTTATGATATATGAACAGTTCTTTTGTTTGCATGGCATGTTTGCATAGATTTATGACTTTAGGAATACTGTATCAGATACAGTATTTATTTCTGGTGTGATGCTGTTGGGCTCTAATACATCCATCTAGGAAGCTTCAAAACAGGACTACAATTGAGAAATAAGGCTTTAAAGTGTAAATAGCACAAGAGAATATATGGAATGAGTGTATGAATCCCATGTTCAGAGGTTTAAACACAGGGGCTGTGTGTTTTCTATAGACAGAATTTGTTGTAGTTCTAATAAATGATTTTGCTGGGTTATGAAGGGCTTGAGGGAGATACTATTTGACATAGATTAGTGTCAAATTAGTATTGGTAGATTAGTGAATATTATAGTGCAAAAAGAGCCGAGTGAGAGTGAAGGGCATAGTATTGTATACAATTTTTGTTAAAGTACAGTTTATCAAGAGTTTTTAAGAGAATTTTAGACTATGTGCTTTATGTGAGCACTGATGTTAAGTCTTTTGTCCACGTATAAGTCTAGAAACTTTCCTTTCACTTTTACTATCGATGCTTGTTTGGTCTATCTGAAGGTGTATACGGTTCAATGAGTTGTTCCGAATAAAATGTAGACGGTCTTTTCTGTTTAATGTGAGTTGGTGGATACCCATGAGTGAGAAACCCAACTTTTTATTTATACAGTTATTTAGTGTATATGGGCTGGGGGTTAGAAAAAATGAAGGTAGTATCACTAGCAAATACAGTACAGTAGTATTGATTTTGAAGCATTATGAGGAACTTGGCAAGTCTCTGATGTATATATATGGAAGATATAGGAAAGGTCCTAAAATTCTGCCTTTTGGCACGCCTAAAATAAGCCATTACTTCCTAGAAAGAACCTAAAATCCCTGGAATTTTCAAATATACTCTTGAAACCACTTTCTATATTATAGAAATAGAAAGATAAGACTAAAATCCTTGCAATGACCCCTGAAAGAACCCTGGGATACACCCAAAATCCCCAGAATAAACTAAAAACTCTAATGAGCCTGTATAAACCCTAGGATAAGCATAAACCCCATGATAAACCCTGGATAATATTTTAACCCTCTGGGATAACCTTATAAACCCCTGAAACCAGAAGACCCTTGGAATAAGACTAGCTTATGACCCATGACCTGAAATTTGCAACCACTACAATGTTCCTTATAACCCCTGGAATGACCCTAACCCAACAGAAATAAGTCCTATAAACCCCCTGAAATGTGCCACAAGAGCTAAATGCCTTAAACCTCTGGAACAAGTCTTGTAACCCCCAGAGTAGGTCTTAAAACTGCTGGAATGATGCTTATAACCCTAGGAATGATATGACAGTCTCCTGGAGTGAGGTTAGGAGTGCCTGGAATGATATGATAAGTCTCCTGGAGTGAGGTTAGGAGTGCCTGGAATGATATGACAGTCTCCTGGAGTGAGGTTAGGAGTGCCAGGAATGATATGACAAGTCTCCTGGAGTGAGGTTAGGAGTGCCTGGAATGATATAACAAGTCTCCTGGAGTGAGGTTAGGAGTGCCTGAAATGATATAGCCTCCTGAAGTGAGTTTAGGAGTGCCTGGAGGTAGGTTAGGGGTGCCTGGAGGTAGGTTAGGATGCCTAGAGGTAGGTTAGGATGCCTAGAGGTAGGTTAGGATGCCTGGAGGTAGGTTAGGATGCCTGGAGGTAGGGTAGGATGCCTGGAGGTAGGGTAGGATGCCTGGAGGTAGGGTAGGATGCCTGGAGGTAGGGTAGGATGCCTGGAGGTAGGGTAGGATGGCTGGAGGTAGGGTAGGATGCCTGGAGACAGGTTAGGAGTGCCTGAAGGCAAGTTAGGATGCCTGGAGACAGGTTAGGAGTGCCTGGAGGCAGGTTTAGGCAGGTTAGGAAGCCTGGAGGTAAGTTAGGAGTGCCTGGAGGCAGATTAGGATGCCTGGAGGTAAGTTAGGAGTGCCTGGAGGCAGGTTAGGAGTGCCTGGAGGCAGCATGGGGTCCCGCGAGTGAGGGGGTAGCGGAGAGCGCCTCAACAGGTCCGCCGCCGCCACGGTTCTGGAGCCGTAATAACCCTCCACGAACCTGTACTCACATTAGCGAATTTCACGACATTGGTTGTACTATGTTAATTATATGTGTCATGCCCGTTACTCGTGTCTCCTGTTGTGTAGCGGCCCGCAGCACCGCTCGGTCACCCTAGGGTAAGGCCAGGGGTCAAACAAATATGCAGAAGAAGGAAATTGTTAAAAGCGAAAATAATTTCCTTGTGCCGAAGTTCAATATTCGCGACCGGGACAAAGCACAAAGTCTCCATTTCACGAGAATATTTTGTTCGCTTTCCCTCGCAATTTTTCCGTTAATGATGCCAATTGTAAGCGTGTTCATGCGCCATTTTTACACAAGCACTGTTATAAACTACAGAAAGAAGCAATACATTACCTGTGAGCTTTATAATACATTAACATGACCACCGCTTTAGAAAATCACGGGCAAAGCTTTGGCTGTCCCGTCGCCATCTTGAGCCAAAATAAGATCCCTTCAATCCACCACCTTTTTCGTCAAATTTCTACGAATATAAGATATTCCAATGAACAAAACATACGTAAATCATTTCACTATTTGCAGTTATTAGAACAGGATGGGTCTTACCTTTTACGGTAAATAGCGTCAATGAGAAAAACGTAAAACCTTTCTCGTCTTTTGGCGAGAACAAATGTTCACCCGACGCCACTGAGGACAGACACCTGTGACGTCACTCCCCACCACTGATCCCTTGGCCGTGGCTTCGTTTTGACACAAATTATTCCAGTACCGTTATAGCTTACATTATTTCACATAGTATTATAAATGTGAAGTACGATCTACCTCCAGAAAACTTGAATTTCATTAACAGAAGTATAGAAGCTTCTTTCATGCATGATTATTGAAGCCGAAGTCAAAATATTCGTGTGTGTTGATGGGGTGTGGTTGTCCCACCTGTGTTATATTTTTTCTCAATAATAAACAATACTCAAGATTTACAAACACTGTTTATCAGCAATATCCTTATAACATTTGACAATTATTTCATGAGTATATGATCTAGACTATTGAATGTTAATGGTAAGACTTATTGACATAATTTAAAATATGTATATGAAGTTTCGTAGTACTGTTGACTTACTTCTCAACCCAAAATCTGAGGAGCCCGGGTTCGAATCCCGGCCGGGACAAAAATAGATGGACACTTTTCCTTTAACCTGATGAACCTGATCACCTAGCAGTAAATAGGTAACCCTTGGTGGAGGTTGCATAGACTTTAAGGAGGACCTCAATACAAGCCTAAAGTAAGTGAATGAGTTTAGATAGTGAGTGATGAGTGTGTATACATATATATATGCTTATATTTTAGTTCATAATAGGTGAACTAAAATAATAAAATAAAATAATGAAATTGAGGTTGGAGCCAGCATCCTTCAGCTATATAGTAACGTCTAGCTTATCACCCAAGTATCAACCTATGGCTGTGATAAGCGGCTCCTATCCATCTATAGGAGGTCCAGAAAGTGTGGCTCCTGATACTTGAGTCAAGCTCAACAAGCCACAATGTAGGACTGAAATCAGGTGATGCTTTTTCACCCTCAAGGATATAAACCCATGGAACCGCCTACCTGCCGAAACCATAAATGCCAAAACTCTGCTGAACTTTAAAAGTCCATCTTGAAAAAAAAATCACAAGGACAAATGGGGCAGCTTCCTGTCCTCATCGAGGCCATTAGGGTGTTAGTGGCCATCAGGTAAATTCAGGTATTTTGCTGCTTACCATTTCCAGTACTGTATCTACTCTCAATGAAATTCATAATGGAATCTGATGGTATCTTGGTTCTTACACTTTGTGACATCAATAAGCCCCTATACCATACAAGATGTAAAAAGAATATGTGCATCTTGGATATCTGTGCAGAATTGAAGCACCAGTTCTAAAGTCCACTAGAAGGGACATTCATAAAAGCTACTTTTATTCAATTCAGTTCAAAATCAAATGTTTATTCAGGTAAAAGTACATACATAAAAGAAGAGTTACAAACATAATGTTGGATTTATAGATAGAGCTAGTATGTACAATGCCTAAAGTCACTAATACGCACAGCATTTCGGGAAAAAAGAGACATACTTAACCTATGGAGTGTCTCTGTATTTATCTCAAGGGGTCCCATCCATCACCAACCCATAATCCTTATATGCTAACAGTCGTTGATTAGTGATCATGCTTCCCTTTAGCATTCCCATACCCTAACATGTGCACAGTGACTTTAATCAAATTCCTGGAAGTAGTACTGTATTTAGCCTTCATGGAATGCCAAGCTTTATCAACTCAGAGGTACCTCTTTATGTCCATGAAGCTCAAGGTATACCTTACTCAAAAGGGTATCACAAGAAGCAAAACAATACCCTACTATTCCAGAGAATGCACAATTGAACAGTATAATATTGAGGACTATTTGTCTAACCCTGAAGTCACACAATCTAGCAGAACATTGGGAATTGGTGCTTTCAGATGTACTACACTAAATTATAGGTCTGTTATCCACTCCAACTAATGCAACCCAACACCAGCACTTTTTTGGAATTTCATCGCTCAACTCATTGTAGGTCATTACCACCAAGGATTGTCCCCTGGTTGCAGTGCTACTTCAGAATTATTTTTGGTCTAACAAGAATGACTCAAGTTGACCAAATCAAGCTCATTCATGTAAACACAACTTTACTACCATTAGTTACCCAGATGGATGTCAATCCACAGTATCTGTCTGTGATTTGGCAGTGTCTAATAAGTCTGACAACTCCCAGAAAGCAACATGATGTTGAGTCATATGAATCGGCCCTCTCTATTCCATGACAATGGGGCGAGAAAGATGGATTCCCCTACTACACCCAATATTCAATGTTGTGAATTATCATGAGGTACCCAGTGATGTTCCACCTGCAGACACACTCAAAGTCTGCTCCAGTACCAAAGCCTCTTGATTATTATAGCTGGGATTAAGATCATGTAATGCAGTAAATAATCTCTTGAGAAGTACATATTGAAATACAATAATCTGCTGTTTGCATATTGTTTATGTACATTTTCAAGGCGAGAAGACCAATACTGTCCGACTGTGTTTTCAAGTAAGAATATATATTGTATTTCATATTAGAATAATTGTCATTTCCTTGGAATTGTTATATTTGGTTTTGTATTATTTCGGATATTATTGCAGTTTCCTACATTCTTTTGAAAGTGATAATGTTAAATACAGTACTATTAATCCAGGTAATAATGTATTTAAATTGTCACAGTTTTCCATTATTTGGTTGCTAATGTATTATGGCATGAGCAGTAGATTGCTAGGTCTCCTGGAGATAATTCTTTAGTGCCGACAGTAATTATTATAATGGGATTCGGGAATCCCAGTGGTAGAATTGGCAGTCATTCGGTAATCTAATTTGTGTTTGGCTACTGCAGTATTTCTGAGACATTTTGGGATTGCCTTGTATTATTATGCAGCTTGGAAGGTTGACAAACAATTTTGCACCCATTTACTGCTAGTGAAACTATCAATATCAGATGACATATGCTCTTTTAATTCAATGCAATCTGTTAGCACTATTCCCTCAAAAGTTTCACACATGCAACTGCTCAATTAGATGTGAGACTGTAGCAGGTTGATTATGCTTAGGTATTGGCACTGACTGCCGATCCATGAGGCAGGAACTGACCAACAATGTAACTCAAATTATACAATTCACCTTAGTACAGTACAGCAGCAAATATCATTTCAATATACCGTATATCATAGGTGATACTATTTATATTCTGAGCAGCAGCTCCATCCCCGGTGTGGCTACACCTAACCCATTAGTAGCATGTATATGGTACACGACATTCATCATACCTGTTTATCATTATGCTAATGCAAGTACTGTACAGTAATTATCAAAAGAAAGCATTAAGTTTGGAAAGTCATATAGCACTGTTTGTTATGGAATGTCATTCAGAATGACAATATGAGAGCAGAAAGACAAAGTGATGTCATAGTTATCAGATTCACTGTAGGTTTGTCGAGGGACATGATTCAAAGGAAGAATAGGAAAGTAAAATGTCCGATGCCAAGACTCAGAACATTCAATAAAAAGATGTGCAACTGTTAGCAGACAATGCAGTTTTGGCAGTAGGATGCAGGTCTTTGTTCCAAAATGTACTCAAGTTAATTTTATGTGGCCAATACATAACCTAGCCAGAAACATTTCCCACTTTGTTATGGTGGCAAGTAGAAAGACCATAGGGATAGATCACAAATATCAAATTATGCATTGTATTGTCATAACAGCTAACCAATCTAGCCCTCCAATGGGTATAGATTACGTTATGACAAGTTTAAAATCCGAGAATAAAATTTGCTATTGGGAAATGAGAATGGCACTAACATTCAATTTAGCAGTGACATCTTCAAGTCATTAGAGGCAACACCATTATGTCTAACCCAGCAAAACTAGATTGTCTTAAATCTGTTAAGAGAAATGGCCTCAGTACTGTTGGACCTCAGTACTGTACCAATACAACATTTAGTAATGGAAGGGAGCTCTCAGGACAAAGCACAAAGCCACTATGACAATACAGCACTTGGAAGGGATGGTGGCCAACCACTTAAGTCAGTTGGGGATTGAACGCCAACCTGCATGAACCTAGATCGTCGCCCCATTCTGCCCAAGTGCTTAACAGGATGAGAAGGGCTGGACTCCAGAGTTAGTGAACTCTATGAATGTAACTTGAATCTACGAATAATCCAAATAAATTGCGTCCTTCATTTTCAAGTAAACACCATGAGTAAGTAGGTAAACGATGAAAATGTGAGTGGTGAATGGTAGAGTAAATGGGTTGTGCAAAAAATTTATTCATTCTTGGGACACTCCTGGTAAGAATTCAGCTAATTTGAATGTTCAGCCAATTCAAATGGGGGTGGGCAACACTTCTTTACCTCACCAAGGCAAAAAATTAAGTTATAATTTTCTGTTCCTGACATAGGTAAGCAATATTTTACAATATGTACTGTATATATTTTTAATGTAAACCAGAAGTCCACCTATTATTTTAGGTGTTCAGTTTGATGTAGCTAATAAATAAAAATATTAATAAAATTTTTGCATTTGAGATTTGTAACCTGTACATAACCTTTCATAGTGTAACACTATTTTGTCTCATGTTCATTTTTATTCCCCTTTCCTTTTGGTTAGCTTCTCAGTGCCAAGTATTGAAATATTGGAAATAAAGTCATTCAGTTTATTTTACATTTGAAGTTGTCAGTTTTCCAACTGAAATGCAAGGTAGCCAGCAATTTACCTAGTTTTGGATAATGTGATTTTGAAAACGATTATCCATAAATCTACTTGCATGTGTTGTGCTCTTGCACCACTGCCGCATTCAACACTTAGCTTGAGGGTTGGGGAGCCCCACACTAATTTTGGAGGGATAAACAAGCTGTATCAGTGAAAAAATACCTACCAGTGATTGAATGATAGACAAACAGAAGGAAACCTTAAAATAGCTACAGAAACAAAATTTGAATAAATAAATGTAGCACATAGCAATCATCAAGTGACCCAGAGTGGACCAGACGTGATAATAATCCAGGATAGACCGAAACATGGTGGTTTCTCCATTATCCAACACGTGGTTTGGTCATCGTACCTTCAAACCATGTTATTGTCACTAATCGTCTGCTGACCTGAGGCAATGTTGGGTAATTAAGCAAGGTCAGCTACCCTCTCCTCTATCCACTGAATGAAATCAATCCTGAAGTTAAAAATTATAAGATTAAGCAGTAATAGAAAACAAAATAGTTAATGATTAAAAGTTATAAAAGTGTTTAAACAGAACCAAGGCAAAGAAGAACAATAGTAGTGAAAAATAACAGAAATAAACCACACAGAACATTGCATTTAATGTTCTGTTTGGTTGGGGAGGGGGGGCCATGTAGTTGAACATCCTTGTATTCCCATCTATCATGACCAAAGAATGCAGGGATGTAGAGAAAATACTGGATAAAGGCTGTGAAAATATTAATGGCCGAGATTTGGTATTGACCTGAAGAGAAAATCCAACAGTAACAGATGGAGCAAAATGTGAGGGAAAGGAATACTAAAGGAGAAATCAGTGTGCAAGTATATTTAATACAGTACCACAGTATTTAGATGTACCAACAATGGCAGCTGGTAAACAGTCTGCTACACATGTTCCCAAAGCTGCATTATTCAACGCACACAATAAATTGGATTTAAACATAAAAGTAAAATTGTCAACACAAAATTTTACATTATTTATTTACATTATAAACTGTACAATACCTTATACTATAGAGCAATTAATTAGGTTCATGTTTTTCACAATGTGTATTTAAGATATTCTAAAATATCTTGGAATGAACTGAAATTGAGAAATATATGGTCATTACTTCTTCTAGTAAGGTAAATTGTACGAACTTTATGCTGTACTGTATCTGAAAATCATCACACATTACAAAATAACGCTTGCCCCAAAGTACAAAGTAGCTGTACTGTACATTTGTGTTGGTGTTTATCCAGATTCAGCAGCCTTAACCAATTCTTCTGCTACTTCCACCTTAATCAAAGCCTCAGCCTTAGCCTCTTCACTTGCAGCAGCATTTGCCTCAGTGTGAGCCTTGGAGAGAATATCTCGTGCTGCACCAAGATCAAGTTCCTCTAATCCAGCAGCCTCCTCTGCAAGAACCTGAACTGGAGACATTAACAATTAATAAATTAATTTGTAATAACTTCAGTGGTTTGCATATGGCATTTACAATATTATGTGTATAATAGATAAATAGAATTGTAAATCTACAATATAAAATAATGACAACTATCTTTTGTTGCACATATTCTCCAGCTTAAGCCCAAAGGGTAAATAAGACCTAAGGCCTTGTCCAACCTAAAAATAGTAAGCAGGAAAGAGAGGGTGAAAATCCCAAAATATAACACCACTAACCGGAGGAATCCTCATTGATTGTCACTATGCCAGAACTGACGAAGTATTTTTTGGCAGTTCCATCAGACTCATATACTGTAAGGACACCAGGTTTCAATACAGCTAGAGATGGAACATGTGAAGGCAAGATACCAAAACTGCCAGAAAATGATGGTACATCAACCTGCCTTACATTTGCTCCATTGTAAAAAACCTGAAAAAAAAGAGAAATATGAGTATAAGCTTTGCCATAAACTAAGACACAACCACCTACCTACATTAAGTGTGTCTGCATTATGCAAACTCAAGTACAGTATTGTAGAACTTCATGTTATACTCTATGGAACAAAATAAAGTATTGAATGTAATGAAAAACCAGCTGGTGGGCTCCAGTAGCCCCCTAGCCCATACCCCCCACCCCAGCCTCTGAGATCTATCTGTTACTTACTGGGAAAGGCCATCATAGTGATTTGTGATCATATGCCATAGTGGGGTTGGAGTTGGCCCCCCCATGTCCCTCTAAGTAGTACTGGTTTCTATTATGACAATTAATGGCTCGAATGAAGTCAATATTATCAACATTACATCAAAGTAACAATAGTAAAACTAATGTCATATTTGATCCTTTATTCCCAGTTATCCCTTTAAGTATCCGTTCATTCCTAGTTATCCCTGTAAGTATCCGTTCATTCCTAGTTATTCCTTTTATTCCCCCTAGTTATAAATTTGTTGTGAACCAACTGATTATCAATTTATTACATTTATTGTGAATATCTTAAAACAAGTCATTTATTATGATTCATTTGTCTTTTACAATGTTTTAATATTTAGACTGCAGTGATAATAGACAAATAAGTACTTGCATCCCAACCCCCATTGCAATATGCAGAGTGACAATTTTGATGATAGCCACACTTTGAGGCACCACAATTTTTAAGCCATTTAGCAAATTAGATTCCAAGACAATGACCAGAGAATAACCATTTTTTACCACTGCCATTAGAACATCAAATTAAAAAAAAAAATCTGAACATAAAGAGCTATAATACTGTACTTACTTGGCTTTGGGAGGCAAACGTAAAGGCCATTGGGGCATCAGAATATGCTCTAGTGCCTGAGCGAGACACATGACGAACCAAGGTGGAGGCAGCACGGGAGAACATTCTGATAATATAGGAAAAATATTTAAGATCAACATAATGGATTTCAGTAAAGTGGTAATTTCAGTAAAGTGGTAAAGTAAATTTCAGTAAAGTTATTTAAATTTTCAATTTAAAAATTGAATTATGCATGATTTGAATATAAAAATGTAAAACAATTCTACTATTTGTGCCAATCAAAACACATTACAGTATTATACTTGGGGTGTAAAATAGAAAAACATGTCTCGCAGTAATAGAAATTATTCCAGGACTAGTTGATCCAGTTCAATTAAACAATGAACTTGTTTGATTTCCTAGATTTAATTTTTTTTTTATTTAAATTTCTTAAGGTATAAAACCTATGAAGAACTATCTACACATACCAGTACTGTACTGAATTTATGCTTATTTTTGGTCCATAAACACCTAGGCCACCCACTTCACTACGTCTTAAAATTTGAGTTGAATTACACACAGAAAACCCAGAATATCACTAAATGCATGGATCACTTTAAGCATGACCATCATCCCCAGCACTGGAATTTCTGGATCCTACCATACCATTTAACAGTCTCCGTGTAGTGGTAAGACACTCGCCTGGCGTTCCGCGAGCGCTATGTCATGGGTTCGTATCCTGGCCGGGGAGGATTTACTGGGCGCAATTCCTTAACTGTAGCCTCTGTTTAACGCAACAGTAAAATGTGTACTTGGATGAAAAAACGATTCTTCGCGGCAGGGGATCGTATTCCAGGGACCTGCCCGAAACGCTACGCGTACTAGTGGCTGTACATGAATGTAACAACTCTTGTATATATCTCAAAAAAAAAAAAAAAAAAAAAAAAAAAATTTGACCCTAATCACTGTAGGTAGAGACCTAGGCTAAATCTGTAATGATGTTTACTTTAGAAAAAACTACTGTACCTAAAAAAATTACGTTTTACACTTTTACTCTTGCCACGAAAATAGAAGAAAATGACGTTCAAAATGAAATGAAAATTCTTTCCGAGGGCTTTAAGATTTTTAGCCAGCAGTTTCTAGAAGCAGTGCCAATACATAGCAATTACTTCCTAAGAAAAAAAAAATACTCTATACAGTATACTCCTATAATGAATGAAAACAGCCAGGAACAGAACAAACAATTTGAACAAACCACAATGCAGAATAAAAAAAAAAATAGATGTTTTCACCCATATGATAAACCCATGAAACTGCTTACAAGCTGAAGCCATAAATGAAATGACATTACTGCAGTTTAAAATACATATGGAAAAAAATCCCCAGAATTTGTGCTATGTTAGGTTGGTTTCGGTTAGTTTTGGTTGGGTTAGGCTGGGTTACGTTAGGTTTTGAAATCTGTTGGCAAATCATCTTGTGTACGACGTGACATGTATCCCCCAAGGAATTAGGTAACTTGTGGGTTGCATCCTAGGCAAGATCAGTTGCTGGCCTAAGGGGGGTGTACTTTACACCTGACACCTCTGTTCACCGAGCAGTAAATGTGTTACTGTGAGTTAGGAAACATGTGGACAGTATCCTGGGGAAAATCAGTAGTTGGCCGGGGAAGACCTCAATAAGCTTGACAAGCTTTCTGTTCTCGATGAAAACAATTTCTGGTAGTGGGAGAGGGAATAAAATTCCCAGTAGAGGGTTCCGGTAATACAGTCGGGTTCATTCTTGACACCCGCTCGAGAATTCCAGGTTTGAATCCTGGGCGGGACAAATGGTTTGGCATATTTCCTTTCACCTAATGCCTCTGTTTGCCTAGCAGCAAGTAGGTACTCATCAGTCAGCAACCCCTCATTTGTCGTGTTGCATACTGGGTGGGGTCAGTAATTCGACCCTGGGAGAAGGGTGGTACCTCGATAAAAGCCAAAACATACATGAATACACTGGCTTTCAGTCCCCCAACACAGTGAATTGAATTAAATGGTTTCAACTTCGATATTAATACACTACAACCAACTCCACCTAAACTAGTGTACAAAAGGAAGTAACACTACTTTATCAGTACTGTATCAATCAGTTTATAAAATACGTCACAACCAAGCAGAACATTTCCAGACAATAATAAAAGGTGAAATACATCAACCGGCTCATCAGCTGATCAGCCCCAGCAGACGATCCTGCCCTTCATCACGGCAAAAATATCTATCTTGGTCCTAACAATACCTTTCCGCGTCCCTCATTCACCACCCTAAGCACTCATCACTTCCACGTTTCAGTACCAGGGAGACTTGAGTCCATCATTACCTGTCGCTCACAAAAATCAGCGAAGGAGAGAGCCAGAGACCTAGGTCGGGAGGTTCAGCGGGCGGGCTGGAGAGGGCAGCAGCAGCACAACAAACATGGCCACTACCACAATACTATCGCTATGCGCTACCAACATAATTCATAATTAATTCATTAAGTTGGTCCTTGGTAACTTGTCCTTTATATGTATTTATTTATTTATTTTGTGCTTTAATTAGTTCTAAAACTTGTCAAAACATCGAATTTACGAGAACTATGCCTTCCCAGTGTAAAAACAGAATTAAGAAAATGAATGCAAAGCTTGCAATTCAGCAGGGCCATACAATTAAGTTCTGTACTAATTACAGGAGGATACAAAAACAGTACAATGTGGCAACACAGACAAGGCAGCTAAAGCTGCAAGTGATAAGCCCGAAATTGGATATGAGTTGGATATGTTGGATAAGTTTGAGTTGGTTATGGGCATATTTCAGGAAATTACAGAAGACAGAAAAGCAATTACTGACACTCAAAGGCCAGAAAGCATGAGTATAAAGAGCTATGACATGTTTAGAACCGACACAGCCCCTCTCCTGTGCCAGGTAAGTCCACTACGGGCTCACCATAGCCCATGCTACAGAACTTATTGGAACTTATGTTCCAAGTTGGAACTTATGTTCCAAGTTGGAACTTATGTTCCAAGTTGGAACTTATGTTCCAAGTTGTGGAACTTGGTATGTTCCCACACGTGGTATGTTTTTTTGTTCTCGTTCGTTCGTGTTCACGGAACCATAGGGGGTGGTTCCCACACGTGGTAAACCCCCAGAACGCCTCACATTACCAAGAACTATATGGAACTTATGTTCCAAGTAGCTGAATCTAAAACAACAACAACAGTAATAACCAGTCTACTTTCAAGTGTGGCTTAGAACAGACATTGCGAGATACTAATAAATAAATAAATAAATAAAAATGTTGTATACCGACTCTCAGTGCACTCAACTCGCTATCACACCATTGCTTGCCAAAGTGTCACCTGCAAACTTCTGTATACTCGACAAAATATATATATATTCTCGTAGTGTCTGTGTTTATTGTCACCATACTTTACGTAACAATAGAACCGTTACAATACTACAAGAAACCAGACCAGACAAAACGCGTACAAAACGCGGCGTTCCTAAGGAGATCTGAAAACTCCATTGTTTACTGGATTTTCTTTTATTAACGAGCTTAGGTATACACAGCAATGTGTTTCTACCATGCATATTCTATATGAAAGATTACAAAGTGTAGATAAAAAAAAAACTAGCTATCAGTTCATCTAATATCTCCAACTCACAGGATGGTTAGTCATTTTGGGGGATGTACTCACCAAGTTGTGCTTTCGGGAGTTGAGCTATGGCTTTGTGGTCCCGCCTCTCAACTGTCAATCAACTGGTGTACAGATTCCTGAGCCTATACTCAGTGGCACTTGTTTGGGCACGCGCTACACACAAAACGCCTTCCCTCCTTCTCCCCAACTCTCCCTGTGCAAGCACACGATTCGCAAGGCCTGTTTCTAACTTTCCCGCGTCCTGCTTTTGGTATTCTCCCTTCCTATTAGGCTAGGCCCATGTCCTTGGGTGCTTTCACTCGCGTAATTACCATTTATGCTCAAAATGTGTTAGATCCTGGCTTTGACTTCAAGGAAAAGAAGGTCGTTAATCATCTGTATAAATCTCTGGTACGTCCACTTGAATTATTATATCCAAACATGGAGACCACTCATCTTTAGAAAGACAGCTACTTCGGAGAAAGTTCAACACCGGGCAACAAAAATCATTCCAGGACTAAGTCAACTATCATATCAGGAACGGTTGAGGGCCACGGGGCTAACAGCACTGCAAATCAGGCATGAGAAGGCTGGTATCAAAAGAATATTGAAAATTTAGAGGATAATCATCCAGACAACTTCTCAAAAAGGTCAGATGTAGCACAAACAAGGTCGAGCAAAAGCCGCATGCTTAACTAGACACAATGTAGGACAGAAAACGGTATACTCTTTCACTATAGAGTTATATAATAAATTCTATAACAATTATATATTATAAATTCATGGAACCGCCTACTTGACGAAGCCGTAAATGCCAAAACCCTGCCGAATTAATTCTTTAATGAATTTTAAAATCCTCGATAAAATCAAGGTAAATGGGACCTTTGAAAAACATCCGACTTCCTGTCCTCGTCAAGACCACTATAGAGAGATAGTGGCTTTCGGGTAAACACGGGTGGTATAAATAAATGGAAATGCCTATTTTAGGTTAGAGGCCAGACAGGGGAGAGAGAATGTGAAAAAAGGGGAGAGTTAGGAGATGAGAGGTAAGGGGTGGGGCAGAAGTAGTGAGAAAAGGGACAAGGGAAGAGGGGGATGTGGGGAGAGAAGGAAAGAAGAGAGGGCGGAATGCAAAAGGGGGAAGGGGAGACAATCCCGGGCACCGCCAGGTACCACAATTTAATAGAACCGCATACCCGCCGATGCCGTAAACATGACATTACTGCAGTACAAAATCCACCCTCGGTTAAATTCAAGTAAATAAATATTTGGAGAACGTTCAACACCGACCATTGGTGCTACATAGCCTTCCCGGTTTGGTGCCTTCTATTGATAATTACTTACTTACTCAACACCGGCCAACAAAAATACTTCCAGAACTAAGTCAACTCTCATACTGCCACAGAGCTAACAACACTGCACAGACACGATAGGTCTGATCCCATAGAAACGTTCAAAATACTGAACAATTTAGAGGACGTTGATCCAGACAACTTCTTCAAAAGGTCAGATGTAACACGAACAAGGAACAACGGTTTTAAGCTCGACAAGCCACAATGTAGGACTGAAAACCGATGTCTGTCACCCACAAGATTATAAACCCATGGAACTGCCTACCCGCCAAAGCCGTAAATGCAAAAACTCCGCTGAACTTTTAAAATCCTGCTTGAAAAAATCCTCTGAACAAATAGGGGAACCTTTGACAAGCCGTTGGCTTCCTGTCCTCGTCGAAGCAACTAGAGTGTTAATGGCCCTCAGGTAAATTCAGGTTTAATCATTACCGAAGTGATGGCGATAGCGGTGTTCGGCACTGATGGTGTTACAGTTTTGTACGGTGATGTTCTCACGAGTGACGAGGCTGGGTCTGGCGCTCGTGCTCCTGTGACCATCAAAAGTAAACAGTCATCGTAGTGTCGTGCCGGTGTTTACAGCTACACAAAAGCTACACTTTTGACGAGGAATAATGGCGTTGGAAGCATTACATGGCGTACGGAGGTACCATGGAAAGAGTGAAGCCCTGGAAGATGAGATGGGCATTCCTGAAATAGGGAACTTGACGAATCAGTATCAGCTGTGCACACCATCTCTACCAAAAGTGAGTGTGCTAAAAAGATATAAGAAAATGTAGATATGATAGATTCAGAGTAATGCTATCGCATTCTTCGACCATTGCAGGAGATTAATCATGCACAAAGGAATTCTAAATCCTGCATTTAGAAATTTATATTTGGTTAATTTGTAAAAAAAAGCCCCAAAAGTCTAAGCTATGTCATCGCTACTCCAACAAACCTGCCAAGCCTTAAAAGTCTAACCTGACTGATTCTAACCCATTTGAAACTAACTTAACTGAAACGAAATAAATTGTTGTTATACTATTAACATTATTATGGTTTAATCGAGTGTCTCGCGGGATATTTTTGGATACGACTGGATTATTTAGCTACTGAGACAGTAACCTTAGTGATGAATATTTCATCCCTCATCATCTTTCGGCATAGTAAACTTAAATTTCTGTTCAGGGCAACAAAAGTGCTGGTGGAGTCTGTTAGTCACACGTAATTACTTAACCTCGTATTACGTGTAACTAAACCAATTCAACCTAAAATAGTGCATAAAGGTTATCTTGAGATGATTTCGGGGCTTTAGTGTCCCCGCGGCCCGGTCCTCGACCAGGCCTCCACCCCCAGGAAGCAGCCCGTGACAGCTGATTAACACCCAGGTACCTATTTTACTGCTAGGTAACAGGGGCATAGGGTTATCTTGAGGTTATCTTGAGATGATTTCGGGGCTTTAGTGTCCCCGCGGCCCGGTCCTCGACCAGGCCTCCACCCCCAGGAAGCAGCCCGTGACAGCTGATTAACACCCAGGTACCTATTTTACTGTTAGGTAACAGGGGCATAGGGTGAAAGAAACTCTGCCCATTGTTTCTCGCCGGCGCCTGGGATCGAACCCAGGACCACAGGATCACAAGTCCAGCGTGCTGTCCGCTCGGCCGACCGGCTCCTGGTTTTTGAACACTGAAAATTTAATAGTTCTATATGTGTGTGGCACTATAAACACTTATGTCTACCTCTGTTCCTGTAAATGTTCAATTTAAATGTACTGTATTACTTAACTACAAATGTTGAAATGAAAAATAAAATTTAAAACTATTGTATAGTTTTGTAGAATCCTATAGATTTCAGACTAGTAGGAGACTGTAAGTAATGGTGCACCATACAACTTTGAGATATGATCATATGAATGAAACGTTACAAGTCACTTTGAGCAAATTGTTTGACTATGGATGATACAAAATTCTCAACCTAAACTAACCCCTGATATGTTAGTTCTAGACCATTTTGTAGACTTGAGTGGATATACAAATTAGTTAAATAAAAAGGTACAGTTTTAACATTTAGTACTTTCATCTTTCAAGTTAAATGCTCATATCCCAAGAGGGACCAGTGTGCTGTCAGGTTTAAATTGTAAATCATATGAATAATTAAAACTTACCCAGTACCTAACCAAGGAACTGGAAATAGTATTATTTTCCAGTGTTGGGGACAGGAAGCTTGAGGCATTTTGAGGTTCTCTTTTTCCCCCCTAGGCCAACAACTGGCCTTCCTCAGGATGCAGCATGCAACAATTGCCAAAATCTTGGATACCTATTTAATCTTTAGGTGAACAGCAGTGTCCAATTGAAAAGAAACTTGCCCAACCATTTGTCCTGCCTCGGGGATTGAACCTGGGTCACTAAATTGAGCCAAGGACATGGGACCCATGGTATGCTTCATAATTTGATAAATGCCCATGGGGACAGAGTTGCTAAGCTACTGTACTTAAATACAATATAATGTTTGAACCTAATGTAATTACTGTAGTTGTATTTTTGTCTTGTATACAAATACTGTAGCAGAGTACCCCATGGGCATGTAACCAAATAGCACAGCTACTAATGAATGTAATATGTGCATTCCGATACCAGCATTCAACGGTAGCACATTTCGGCTCAACCTGTCAGAATGTCGACGTACTATTCATCCCAATCCCTGTAATCAAGTTACTGTATATCAAATACAGTGTATATTTAGTAATCATACTTTTTTTTTTTTTTTTTTTTTTTTTTGAGATATATACAAGAGTTGTTACATTCTTGCACAGCCACTAGTACGCATAGCGTTTCAGGCAGGTCCCTGGAATACGATCCCCTGCCGCGAAGAATCGTTTTTTCATCCAAGTACACATTTTACTGTTGCGTTAAACAGAGGCTACAGTTAAGGAATTGCGCCCAGTAAATCCTCCCCGGCCAGGATACGAACCCATGACATAGCGCTCGCGGAACGCCAGGCGAGTGTCTTACCACTACACCACGGAGACTGTAAACTATGTAGAACTGTAAAATGTAGAATGTGTAACTATGTAGAACTGTAGAACTAAACTATGTGGACTGTAAACCACGGAGACTATACTGTGTTTGTTGTCACCAAAAACTAATCTTACAAGTTCAAAATGGTGACTTTGATCAATGACTCTTGTCCCTAAGATGTATTATTGGTGAAAAAATTGTGATTGAAATTTCAGATCTGAATTTTGTAAATAATGTTATACAGTATAATGTTTCATGATAAATTAAGATATACTTTACATTTTGCAGTCTCAGTGCCAGGTTGGAGAGTTTCTAATAGATGAGACTGGTCGTAAAATCAAGCTCAACTATGCTCATGGTACCACTACTCTTGGTTTCAAGTTCGGTGGTGGGGTTGTCATGGCTGTTGACTCCAGAGCAACTTCTGGACAGTATATTGGTAAGTTTCTTTTCAGCTCGGCTTTTTCCTTACGTATATACAGTGTACCAGTGAGGCCGGGCTACAGGAGTAATAGAACTCAAAATTGTTAACAGGAAAATGGGCATTCTTTGCGGTTGCAATACAGCAGGTTCCCCCCACCCACCACTGTGATGCAATCGTTCCTGCATCCCCTGCTAGCAGAAGTGTGGGGGAGTCTTGGTGTGGACTCATTTTTTCAAATTCCTTTCATAATAAGTAGAATTTGCCTTGGATATAATGCTTGTTGAACAGTAGATGAAAAGTTTTCAGTGAAAGTTTGGTCAGTGAAAGTAAGTTATGCATTATACTGTATTATTACTAAGTACATACAATATTTGAAACAGGTACTGTAGAGTAGATATTAATCTGGGAAAAGAATTTGAACAAATAAATATTAGTTCAATATTTTTTGAAACAATAAATATGTTAAAAGAATGCTAAGCCAGTACCGAATGGGATGCTGCTGATCAAAAATTGCTTGCTTGTACAGAGCATGAACAAGATGCCCTGTTGAAAAATATGTGAAGAAATATGCCACGGTAGATGAGCTCCTTCCACGAGTAATGCTGTTTACAATAGTCTTATCCTTGTTTGATACTTTATTGACTATTACAAATAAATATAATAAAAATAAAATTTACAAAAAAATATAGTATGCAGTATAAGTTAGGGAATTGTTGAATATTTTTGTTATTAATATTTTTGCAAAGCCATAAAAATAGTATACATAATGTTAAGAAAAACTATTAGAAGGTTAAATACCCTGCTTGTTCAATATTAAATCACCACTGTATAATAAATGTAAACTGTTATTAGCTAGATCATGAAGTATTATATGAAATTATTCAGCAGTGCATAGGCTCAAGTTGGTGGCACTTTCGATCTACCTTGCGAATACCATGCAGTTACCTTGCAGTGATTCTGGGAGTCAAGGTTCCTGTGGCCTGGTCTCTAACTAGACTTCCTTCTAGCATAGTGTTGCCAAATTATTTGATCCTTTTTATCATGCATGGGTATTTTATGTATTAAGAGAATCATTAAAAAAAACTTTTACTTTGCAGCCCTTATCTACATGTGATAGTGTACCCAATATAGTATTTGAAAACAATATTTATCAAATGGTAACACAAGTGTCATCAATGAATTGTCATATCATCCAAATACTGTAATACATACTGTCAGAGCATCATCTGATGCAGAAGCCCATGTAGCATTCCTTAAGACCACATCCTATATAAGTAGAAAAGTGAAAATTCATGACAACAAATTTTCATGAATTTAAACAATAAGATAACCCACACTTGTGTGTTTGTAAAATTTATGTAAAGAATTTACACGTCTTTTGCACTCTCCTTAGTGCTTTGTCAAGGTCTGAGTATATGGTTAGGATGAGACTTGCATCTCAACGTCTAATGAGGCTGCTATCCTGGGTCCAATCCTCTTATCCTCCTTGATCTCCTGACCATGTCACCTCTATTTCCGACTGCTGATGTACCTGTGATAATGTCTTCCACAGAATTATGGTCATGTGTCTTTTCTGTTGTGACGGGTTGTGGTAACGCAGCTATACTGAACCAAGATGGTATGGCTCTCCCTCAAACAAATAAAAAAATGCTGCTATTGGCCTTGCACTATGTAAGTCGCAGGTGGAAACAAATGAAAATCATCAAATAAATAATTGAACAATTTACTGAAATATTAATGAACATAAATGCCCCTGAAAATACTTGGCTATCATGTAATGCAAAGGTGAACAAGTTAATATGACATTAATACAAAAATAAACTATAAGCAATGAATACAAATCATAAATATATACTGGTGCACTGAAGACAGCTACCATACCACCATGGCATCAGTCACACGATGTTGGCTGAAGGCGGACGACGGGTGAGAGACACGAAGGTGATCCTAGAGCACTAAGGAAGAGACTGACTTTCTAGGGAGGCGGTGCCCTTTATATAGTCTGGTGGTGATGACTCGTCCAGTGTCAATGCAAGGTGGACATCTGGTCAACTAGCAAACTGCTCATTGTGGCTGGCCGTGCCTGTGTGTTGAGCTGCACCACAGCCAGTTGAAGGCGGCTAACTGCTTATTTGTGGGGGCAAACTACCAGTTAGCAGAGGCGCCCAGCTATCTCTTGAGTCATACCAGGCCGTGCCAGGCCCTGGGTGGGGTGTATGGAGAGGTGTGGCAGGACTGATGATTCATCTGGGCTAATGTAGATGTAGACTTCCAGGGCAGAGGCAGTTCCACTGCTATGCAGGGGATTCACGTGACACTAATCCTGCTACAGTATTCTCAGAACTAGAGTTGTTATTAATAGAGATGTTCATCTGGATGCTATTCCTTGTAACCCTCTCCATACCCCAAGGAATGGAATATTTTCCATTCCATTCGGCATGATCTTTTCTTTTAATTATTGGAAGTTGTTAAATTTTTGCTGAAAGACATTTTGTATTTACTGTGTCCACATAAGCTATGTATTAACCCAAATATGAATGTGCTAATTTTTAATATTGGATTTTTACAGGATCTGGTAATGTGAAGAAGATTATTGAAATCAACCCATATCTTCTGGGAACAATGGCAGGTGGTGCTGCTGACTGTACATATTGGGAACGTGTTCTTGCCAAACAATGTCGCATATATGAGCTCAGGTAAACAGTTGCATTAATTGAATAAAAGAGTTAACTGATAAGTAAGAAGAGAGATTAATAAGTGATCTTAGAGTAAGATATTGTAAGCAAATGAGTTTTGTCATGTAGGAAGCTACAAGTAATATTTGGTTAGGAATGTTTAGTTGGTGTTAAGTCTTGAATAAACTAGTAGGAGAGGAATGGTTTTGTGGGAGAAGGTGTTACAAGAACAGTTTGACAAAAAGAAGGGGAATTGTGTGAACAGAAGCTGAAGAGATGGAATATAATGAATAAAATTTATAAATGTTAAAATGTGAAACTGGTAAGACCTTAGAAGAAAAGTTAATGTTTAAAAAATAGGTAACTATTTTACAGTATTTTAATCCGAAGCTAGAAAGTGTAGCAAGGAGATTGGGAAGAAAAAACTAGATAAACAGTACAATACATGGTAGAAAATACGAGTGGTTATGGATTTTTTTTTTAATATCTGCATGGTTTCATGATTACTATGCTAATAATATGTGCTATTATTAGCGTAGTAATGCTAATACATATGTGCTATTATTAGCGTAGTAATGCTAATACATATGTGCTATTATTAGCACTCGTGCTAATACATTTAATTTGCAAGGTCAATATCATTGGTATATTACATTATTCTTAGCTAATAAAAATATTCAATTTTTTTTATTATTGGTATACTATATTCTTTTTCAAAGGCTTAAGTATTTTTTTTTTATATATAATCAAATTGGCTTCTTTCTATCCAGATTCAAAATAAGTCTTATTTATTTTTCTGCATATCCCTTTAGTATTAACAGACAAATCATTATATACATACATTATTTATTTCATATTTTGATATTTTCCTCTTATTTAATTTGCAATTTTAATATTTTAATAAAATGTAAGCACTCGTTTTAAAAACTGAGTGGAATGAAACGGCCTATTCTGAGTGGCACCTCCACAGCTCCGCATTCCTTAGAGTGAGGTGGCAAACGCTCCCAACTCTACAAGTTAGTAGTGCTGGCACTTGATGGTTGCCTGGGTGGTTGGTTGATGTGTTCAATAATTTCAGAATGATTTTAGTTTTTTTTAATTGTAAAGAATTGTTTGCAAGAAATTTTCAGTGGTTTGACAGATTTGTGAAAGGTAAAGCAAACAGTTACCTTTAGGTGGATTAAGGTATGCTCTCCACTGAGCTCCACTGAGGATTATTTTTTGTCTATTGTAGATCTACTGTTAGTTGGTCTCCATCATACATTGGTGGCCCATAATGAGTGGCACAAAGCACGGGCATTGATGACTTTAAAAGTAGCTCTGGGTATTTTCAGAAATTGAATTCATAGATGGTATTAAAGTGGTAGAAAGATTTCTGTTAGGAAACGAAGTGTTCATGCAAATACCTTATTATATAACATATACAAAATCTGACACAAAGGATTGCATCCATACTCATGGAGCAAGCAAGTTTCCTACATCTGTCCAACATAACACTGAAGTTAGTACTGGTGTAAGCCCTTGGTGAGTTACTAATAAAAGAGGATCATGTAAGTGGTGGTGGTTTGTATGGGGCGGGATTTGACTGGATACTTTTAAAAACAAAATAGATTTGCCTTTACTGTAATAATTTTGTTATCCCTAACATGCAGGAGGGGGGTGGTAAATGTAATCTGAACCAACTCTGGAAAAGTGGTGCTCAAGGAAGATAGATGATGTGAAATAGTCTACATATGCTTTGAGTAATAAGACGTGCATGGAAAATATACATAAATGAACCAATATAATTTATGTTTTGGTTGCAGTAGGAATATGATAAAGTAGTGACTGAAGGCAGAAACCAGACAGATGGTGTACTGTACTATACTTGCAATTTCCTCCTGTAATTATGTCAGTCATGCTAATTGTGATTTTTTCATTGCTGATAAAAAGATGATTTTGTGTTTAAGGAACCGGGAGCGGATCTCAGTAGCAGCAGCATCCAAGCTTTTGGCCAATATGGTGTATCAATACAAGGGATACGGGCTGTCCATGGGCGTCATGATTGCTGGTTGGGATAAGAAGGTAAGTCTTTTAGATTTTCTTGTGTTTTTGTTATATTTCTGCAGACAAATTAGACTAGATAAGCTAAGCTGTTTTATAAATAAGAACTGTCTGGGCAAAATGGAAGTACAGTGGCACCTCGATTAACGAGCGGCTCTATCTATGAGCATTTCAAGTAACGAGCGAGCCATTCGCAGAACATTTGTCTCTACTAATGAGCTTTTCCTCGATTAACGAGCGTTTCCGCTGGTTCTCGGACACCTTTTACGACAGTTTTGTTGTTGTTTCGCAAGACGAGTTTTCCACATGACTAGCTGGTGCCAGAACGAATTAAACTCGTTAATCGAGGTGCCACTGTAATTTAGTGTTAATAAAATAAATATTCTATACCGTATTAAATATTTCAGGGTCCAGGCCTGTACTATGTTGATAATGATGGAAACCGCATGCCAGGCAATGTCTTCAGTGTTGGCTCTGGCTCCATTTATGCTTATGGTGTATTGGACTCTGGTTATCGTTTTGATATGACCGATGCAGAGGCTCAGGAATTGGGTCGCCGGGCCATTTACCATGCCACTCATCGTGATGCATACTCTGGTGGTATTGTTCGAGGTAAGTCAGCAGATAACATATACAATACAGTACAGTATATCAAAATGTCAGGTGTACATTATTTTCATAAGAACTGCACATAAAATTATTATTTTTCAAGAGTGTATACATTCAAACAATGCATGAATAGTGGAGGATTCATGAATAACATGAATCCTCTGTTCTGAATCCTAGTGGCTTTTAGACTATAAAGTATAGTGCTTAAAGCCACTAGTATGAAGAATATTTTAGGCATAACATAAAAATAAGAAAACAATATACAAGCTGAAAGCGGTAATTCTTAAAACTGAAACATATAACACGGGTTTATGGAGAGAATTAGAATTAGAACATGATTAACAATTAATAAATGATATTTGGAAGCTGTAACCTTTTAAATTGAATAGACTGAACATATGATATACAATTTTTGTAATAAATTTGGATACAGCAATTACTAATAGTAGTACAGGTTTAGTTATTAATGATTGCAATAACAGCAAACACAGGTTGACATGTAGGATGTGAAAGGATGAGTGAGGTTGGTTAAATAGTTAATTTAGTAATTTTTAGTCTCTCTTTTAGACTGGTAGAGAGAACAACATTTATTACGCACATACATATAAAAATGAAACCACTACAATGCAAAGCATTTCAGGCAAAATTTTAAATAATTCAGATAAAATGTTATTTATAGGTAAATGGGGTAAACAATACTAAAAGAAGAAGCTATTTATAGGTAAATGGGGTAAACAATACTAAAAGTAAGCTAACATATGTGAGAATGTTCAAGAAGCATAAATGATATTGTATACAGTATATGTAGTATAATGGAAACATTATTGAATTGTTGAAAGATTTGAAAATATTTGACAAACATGAGACTTTAATCAACAGCATCTGCTTTAACAGTACATATAGTTACTAATTTGTAACAATAGATGAGATTAAGAAAAATAGTACTGCACATAATGTATAGAAACAGCAACATTTAGTAACAGCATATATGAAGTAACTAATAAGTAATGTATACAATAACAGCAAATCACAGGTTGACATGGAAAAATGAGAAGAGGTGAGAAAAATTGGTTACATGAAGTTGGTAAAGTAGTTCTTTCTCTTTTAAAGTTGACGAGAGAAGTACAATTTTTAATCTTGTTAGGGAGATCATTCCAAAGTTTAGGAACCTTGATTTGCAGAGCATTTTTTCTTTGGATAATTTGTATTCTTGAGATTTTAAAAAGATTCTTGTTTCTCTTGTGATGCCCATGGGTTCTGTTACAGCACTTCAAGGAGTGCTTCAGATCAGGATTAGCATTACAGTGCAGAGTTTTATAGATGTAGAACACACTTGCAAAAATGTCGAGTGACTTGATACTTAACATATTCAAGGATTTCAGTAAGGGAGCCAAGTGCTGTCCTAGACTGGGGTTTGTTATAACTCTGATTGCTAATTTATGTTGAGTAAGGCATTTAGTGGATTGATATAGATGTTGTATACATAGATATGCAAAGGCATTTGATAAATCTGACCTTTAGGTGCTATCCTTTAGAATGGGGTTCAAAGGCATAACAGGTGAAATAGGGCAACTGATATTAAACCAAATTAAATTTATTCTGAGTTAATTGAAAATATCTGTACCCCAAGGCACAAATCTGGTACCAAAAGTTCTGGTATCCCAAGGTGTCCTTGCCCACCACACACTCATCCTTATATCTGACATAGTTCATAAATGCAAATCAGCTTTGTGTAATCCTTTGCTGTTGATACCAAATTCAGCATGAAAATTGCCTTAGTAGGAGACAGTGAAAAACTGCATACAGACTTCTATATAGTCCAGAAAATTTAGTGACCCAGCTTGGTCACAAAGGGTTCCGAGTGGTTGTACTGTGATTGCAGCATAATTCAAAGAAAGGCATCCATTTTGTAGTGTAGGGTCCTAAACTGGTGGTTATCAGCTGCACAAGCTGTTGCAGAAGTAATAGGGGAGACAATATGCAGTAAGTAATCTATGGTATTTATTATATTTTCAGTTTACCACATCAAGGAGGATGGTTGGACCAAAATCACAGAAGAGGACAGTAAGGACCTTCATTATAAATATGCTGAGGAAAAAACAAAGTCTCAATAAATATGTTTGGGACATATTTAAAGTTACATGATAGCCAATGAATAATTTAAAGACAACATTATTTGATTTAATAGGCAGTCTGGAGTTCAAATGGTCATTATTTTCTTTGGCAGAGATGATATACATTTATCTTCAATTTTTTTTGGTATTACTATATATGTACTGTACCTTTTTTGTTTAACAATTTTTAATAAAGATACAATGTTTGAAATTTTTTTTTTATTAAACCAGTTTGGATTAAAATTCCAGTTTGGCAGCAAGAAGCTGTTTCTGGAAACTTCACTTACTAAGACTACTCAACAGCTTGGTCGATAGTTTCGGCCTCACACGTGTGTGGTCCACGGTTCGAGTCTCCTAGAGCCCCGGTGAATGGACTCTATTAAACCATGTTTAAATATTGTGTACTAGCCTAGTTGTCATGAGTTGGTGTGCTGTGCACTTAGGAACCATTGGCAAACCTTCATCAAGAAGTGCACATGCTGCTTGTCAATATATAAAGTGCAGGTTTAACCCTTGAAATGCTGATTAAACTACATGTACCTGTACTTCTATAAATTAATCAATTTATATATTTGACATGCACTTTTTTGAGGTTTGTAACTACAATACAGACATCTGTTTCTATTGGTTGTAAGACCATAAAAACACTTAGTTTTGCTCTTACCATTATTTGTTTATAAACATAGTTTGAAATGTCTTGATTACCATACAACACTTGTATGGTAATCAAGTGTTGGTAGTCGGAGGGCTAAATAAGGGTAATTGGCTAAAATTTCTGGCAGATCATTTCCCAGATATTTTAGGCAACTATCCCCAGTTTACTAACTGTAGGTGGTGCGTACAGATGATTGTAACCATTCCATATACATTATTGGCTTTTGAGAAAGCATTGCACATATCATGTACATATACATTGCACAAAATAAGGCCATTAGATTTAACCTGTATATCACTGATAACTTTAATAATGTAAAGAAGCAATACAATTACATAACTCCTACAAATTAACTAATTAAATTAGCAATTATTGCAATGAACATAACAAATGTGATATACTGCAGTATTCCAGGCAAAAGCAATTGGGTGCAAGACTTGTTAATTGATGAACCAAAGGAAATGTTGAAACATCTGAAATCTATTTGTTGATGCATACAGCGGTGATAAAACCTAATGCCTACTACAAAATACAAATAAAACCTAATACAAAAACCTATTTCCTTTTATTGCATTACATGCAATGGCCAAGTCAATAGACCTAGCACTTCCATGGAGAATAAAGATGGAAAATTTATAACAAGATGGTGATATGAAATATGAAATCGTCTTTGTTTGGGGTCATGGTGCCTGCAGTTAAGAGAATTCAGAGATCAAATGATAGGAAGCCAGGCAGAATTAAGAATAGGGATTTTGAAGGTTTTAAAACAAAATCAAAAGATACTCAACTTTTACAAAGATTTGATAAGTGAATGGCCAAATATTTAGGAAATTATTAACCTAACCTAGAAAAATTGATAAGCAAAGTGGAGGATTTATGCATTTCCCAAATAGGGAGGTTAGATAGGCCTGAGACAATATGCATAACCATTGCACATCTAGTGCAGAGAAGGAATATACACAGATGCACAAAACCTAAGATAACTGGATGGGTATGACAACATTTACATATCCCTAGAACTCACAGTGAAACGGCACAAGAATGACATGGGCCCAAAAGAAAGCAAAGGAGTCACAAAATGCAGATCAGAACAAAAACAAAGATAAGGGGAGGGCAGGTGATGAAAATAGCAGGAGAATATGACAAAGTCCTCTACTCAGAAAGTCCAAGATAACCCTTCACATCTTAAATGACAAACTCGGCATAAAACAAAGGGGCAACTTACAGAACAAAAGTGTGTTGAATGCAGAACCAATTTCTTAGCCCAAGAAAGAATGTCATGAGATTAAATTAATCTACACAAATGTTGGAAGCCAAGCAAATAAATTTTACACTGCATACACTGCATGAGGTTGAGAATCCTGACATCATTGGGATCACAGAAACACGGGGATGAAAATATATAATTCAATTCCATCTTCCAAGGTACCACCCACCTTTTAGAAAAGGACAGAGCAACAAGAGCAGGTGATGTGATAGTATATATAAAGAGACTACTGTGACTGGCAATGAAGGATTAAACAACACGGGTTTCTAAGAAACTATATGGTGCAATATACTAAATTATAATAGTGTACTATAGTACAAACTGACAAGTGGGAATATGCTTCAGGTCAGGCACAGCAATAGCAGAGGAAGTTACAGCTCTACAAAAATGTGATAAGTGCAGCAGCTAAAGCTCAATTTCTTACATTGGGGAGAGGGGGGGATTTTAACTATAAGGCAATAGAATGGGTGAATTTAAATGTAAATGGATGGAGGGGGAATTTCTTGATCTAATTTTGGAGAGCATGTGACAGACTACCCAAGGTAACAGCATTCTACTGCTTGTGGTAACATGAGAAGAGTGCACGAGTGATTAACTCCTGGTAGTGGAGACGCTCACTCTTTCATGTGACCAATATAACCCGAGATGGATTACAATTCTAGAACCCCATATAAATTTTAAGAGTAATGACTCTTGACCACTGTACCTTCAAAGAGGCTATCAGAATGAGAGAGGAATTGAGGAATTGCAAAAAAAAATCACGGAAGGGAGAAATAGGAAATGAAGACACTTATTTATTTATTTATTTGTTTACAAGAAGGCACATTAGGTTAAAGTACATACAAGTACAGTGGTGAATGAGTGGTACAAATTCTTGCAAAGCCACTAACATGCAGAGCGTTTCAGCCATTGTTGAAAATTTTCATCACTGAACTTGTTCAGAAATATTTGCCTGAGTTTACATTAGGGCTGTAATGTAACTTGACCACGAGTCCACCTAGTGGACTCGTGGGGACATAAAGCCGGCGGCCTGTCGAAGGTCCCTCATTTTTCCTGAGTATTTTTTACAACTAGATTTTGAACTGGAGTAATGGCGGCGGCAGGTAGGCGGTTCCATGTGTTTATAACCCTGTGGGTAGAAAAGCATCTGCTTTCTGTTCTACATTATAACTTGTTGAGCTTAAAGCTGGTAAATTGGAATTTTGAAGGAATTAGTCTCAAAGAATGGCTGACTGACAGGTGTTTTGAGTCCTATGGAAGTCAGATCTATGTTGCATGAATTGACGTGTGTTAGGAGTCATTTTTATTCCAAATAGCCCTAGAATCTGTTGACTAAGAATGCTGAGGGTGTGAAAATCTATTGTATCAATTCATTAAATGCCTGGTTAATATTAGTCCCTTAAATCGTATTCTCTTCGTCAGATATTCATGTTATGTTGCTATGATGGCTTTCTCTTAGGTAAATAATTCACTGTAAACTGACCCAGCTATTAATGTAATAAATATATATTTATTAATAAAGTTTTTGAATGTGCCCGAAACGGTTTGCGTAATAGTGGCTTTAGGCATTTTATGTACTAGCGCCATCTATAAAGCCATCAATGTTTTGTATCTCACCTTATATGTATGTACTTTACCTGAATAAACATTTGATTTGATTGAAATTGAAATTGAAATAAGTTTATTGAGGTAAAATACACACAAAGGGATGAGGTAGCTCAAGCTATTCTCACCCCGTTCAGTACATCGTGTTAATACATACATATACCCACATCACAAACAATAAACATATTACCAAACATTCTGAGAGATAAACATCTACATTTCCTATTTGATTTGATTTGATTTGAACATGTGTTTGGGAGGACACGCTTGGCGACCGTCACGTTCCTGCCCCCTCCTCGGCCCCTCCCACAGCCTCCAGCTGGCAAGTTCAAACTCCACAGTTGTTGTTGGTGTCCCGGGAGGCTGCCCTCAGTCATCACAGGTCAGTGGTATAGTATGGCATGTGTCGCCACACCACCACCTCCTCCTCCTCCCTCAAAGTTAATAATGCAGGAAACTAACGCCACAAAATGTTGCTTTGCGAAATATCGCTTTGCGTAATAGTGGCTTTAAAGCATAGTGTGTACTAGCTCTATCTATAAATCCATCAATGTTTTGTATCTCACCTTGTATGTATGTACTTTACCTGAATAAATATTTGATTGTGTTGTCCATGTTGCCGTCTTCGCGATGCTTGAGGGGACTTGAGTCATTATTTAACCTCTGTGAAGACTACCCCAGGCGGGTCTGTCTTCATATACTTGCTTAAAAGAGATATTAAGAAATATCTAATATAATGTATCAAATTTCACTTACATTTCCTCATCCCAAATAAACTTTTTGTCAATTTCAAATACCATACTAAAGTGTGTACGTTTCATGGTTAACTATCACCTAAATATTGTATATCGCTGACAGATTTTTTTAACAATTCCTGTATGTTGTATTTGTGTAGTATTGTTTACCTCATTAAACCTTTCAGTAATTAAGGACTGGCCAAAATGCTTTGCGTACTAGTGTCTATTAAACATGTATTTTATGTAACAAACTTTCAACCACTGTACTTATTTGTTCTCTATATTTTTGTAAATGTAAATTTTTGTTTAGCATGACATGATCACTCTTTCCCAAGGGACGAAGGTACTGTATGTCAAATATCTTCTTTCCTGGTGAATACTAGATCAAGTACTGATGGTATATCCCCTTCTCTGTCTTGTGGCCTGCTTGACGTGTTGATACAAGAATGTCTCCAGAATGAAGTTTACAAATCTAAGCCTGCTATGCTGATGATAATGTTTATTTAAGGGAAAGTACATACATACAAAATGAATTACAAGCAGAATGTTGGCTTTCTAGATAGAGGAAGTACTGTATACAGTACAGTATACTGTTTCTGAAGCCACTTATATACACTTATATACACTTATATATGGGACCAAAGAGCCAAAGCTCAACCCCCGCAAGCACAATTAGGTGAGTACAGCGTTTTGGGCTTGATGTGGAAAAATCAACTTAAAAACTAAGACTTAAAACTAATTTAGATCAAAAGCAGAAATTGAGCTAAAGTAGAAAAATAAAATACTGTTGAAAGGAACAGGAGAAATTACAACTGAACAGCATAGTAATTTTAACTACATAAGCAGAAGGAATAAAATTTAAATTTATACTGTACATGGCAAATATAATGTTTTAAAAGTATAGTGATTAATGTTCAATAATAGCAAAACATAGATTGACATTTAGGAGGTAAGGTAGGTTACATGGAGTCGATTAGGTAATACTAGTACTTAATTTCTCACTTAAACTGGTTGAGATAGGGACAGTCTCTGACATGATTGGGAAGGTCATTCCACATTTTGGGTTCCTTGATTTGCAGAGCATTTGTACTTTGGTTAAGTCACACTCTTAGAATATAAAATATTTGTTTCTAGTGTGGTGCCCATGGGTTCTGTTACAACATACTAGGAAGTGTTTAAGGTCTGGATTAGCATTACAGTTCAGAGTTTTATATACAGTATACAGTATATATATTACACTTGAGAGGATGTGCAGGAACAGTGTTAGGTTTGTAAGTTTCCCTTAGATCATCTACTGACCTTTCCCATTTTGCCCAACTCCCAGGTACTTATTTACTGCTAGGTGAACAGAGGCATCAGGTTGAAAGGAACTTTCCCAGTTGTCTGTCCTGCCCAGAAATCAAATTCAGGATTTTCTGTTGAGCCAATTATGTATACCACTTAACTACAGGACCCTAAATCCTACAATAATCCATTCCAGGCTTTGTTAAAGATTGCCATATTGTTACAAATTAGCAGCAAAAAAACAAAAAAATGTGGATTTAGATGTAGTGTACTGGAAGAATTGCTTGTTAGGAGCCAGGTACTGTATGTGTTGAAGGAACAGTGAATGTTGTTGTGGGTGTGAGGGCATGGGGTCTTAAATTGTTTTGTGCTTTTTTTTTTTTTTTTTTCCATTTCAAGAGGGAATAGTAAAGAAGTAGGGGAGGAGAAGTAGTAGTAGTTTCCTAAAATAGTAAAGGGGCTGCTCGTCACCCGAGGTTCCTCTGTACGAGCATTTATTTTTGCCCTAAAATTTCTGAAATGTGAATGGAATGCACAAATGGGTAAATGTACGTGCTAGAGGTAAATTTTGCTGAACTTGTTTGAAAAGTATCTTAGAGGGCAGATAGTCCTGTGATAGTACAAGAATTTACCATTTAATCACCAAAATTTTTACTTTCACAACCAATTGTACCATCTTTTACTGGATATATAGTGTACTGCATCTAAATAATGACGAAGATTAGAAATATTTGTTTTGCCCTTGTATAGTAATGTTTAGATATAATAGCCATTTTTTGCTGTAAGAGTTAAATTTTATTAAATTTAAACAAACTTGCCTCACTTCCATATGGTTCCATAAACACATGTAAATTTGTTGGATAAAGAAAGAGCAGAAGTATATTACAGTAAGTGTAGTTTGTTAGCTAATTAGTACTGTACAGTATTGATAAATACTGTATTTTGTCAATTTGACAAAATTTTGTTTACAATCTAATTTAAAATTTGATCACAGGAAAAATGCCACGTAAGAAGCGTTCACGTATGCCCAGCCGCCCCAAACCGTTGGTACCAGACGACTCCTTAATTGAGGCAGACATGGAATCTGAACAACGCAAAGAGAAGCTTCGACTCCTCCTTGAAGACTTTGATAAGGAAGGTCAGTTTTATAAATGCTGCCCCCCCCCCCCCACCTTTGTTTTTTTAACCATGATAGAATAAATAGGAACAACATTGTTGGTGTTTATATTTAATTCTGCAAGCTAAGGGCTGTTATCCGTCATCCAGCCTGTCATCCTAAGATTTCCTGACATCAAGAAACTGTTGTACCAAAGCACCCTTATCCTAACCTACCAGAGGACCCAAAACAGAAAATGGGACAGTATGTCAATTTTGTAAGCCGCTTGCATTTTCTAGTAGTGAGGCCTCCACTTACGATGATAATCTGTTCCCAGAGACGTATCGTAAATCGAAACTAATTTTCCCATAAGAAATAATGGTAATTGAATTAATTCGTTCCATACTCCCCAAAAAATTAACCTCAAAGTAAATTTTATACCTAATTCACCCAAATCTTTAGTATTAAAGTATGTACAAGTTATTGCTGAACGAATCTTTTAGACATTTTTCTTTTTTCAAATTTTTTCATTTTTTTTATTGTTTCATTTTATTTTATTTGTTATAGAAAATGTATCAGCCTACCTGACATTCACTGAACGAAACTTTTAGACACTTTTTCCTTTTAAATTTTTTTCAATATTTGTCTGTAGTGATGCATTAATGTCATTGAAAAAGTTAAGGCAACGGCCTGCTGCAGCTTGATTTGGGTGAGTCATTTCAGTACAAGTTTGCAGTTCTTCCCATGCTGCACACTTCTTCATAATAAATGAGGAAGGGGGGACATCCTCTACATCAACAACCCTTATACCTGTACCATTTTCATGTTTATGATTGTTTTTCGTCTGTGGTCATACTCACATGTGTTTTCTTAGGTTGAACCTTACCACTGACTTCCTTGGGACCCATGGCATGATATATAATAATTACAGTACTTTTATGCTCAAAAAACAAAAATCACCAAAATAATGGAAATTTCTTACAAGCGTGATCGCCACTAAGCGGGCGGCTCTGGTAAACTGAGGCAGGTCTGCCCGCATAACCAGGAACCATGTGCTTGGTCGACCCAAATGTGTATCAACGAATATCATTGGTCGACGACACTATCGTAAATCAAATCATTTTTTTTATCAAATTTATATCGTAACTCAAAATTATCGCAAGTCGAAGTATCACTGTAAGACACTTTTCGGCCTTGGGTAAAGTATGTCAAAATGTGACGTTGTATTAGGAGGATGAGTTGCTTCATCAGCTCATTAGAATGTTGGCCTTAGGAAACTGATCTATTTAATCAGTGTTATTTTTCATTAAGTACAGTATAAACTTTAAAGTTAATCATGTTAGGTATACAGTAGTATGAAGTATAAGCCAATTGTGCCAGAGTCTTCATGTGGTCTGACCTGGTCATGTGGTCCAGCTATATGCATGCATGGTCCATTGACTTGTTTTCATGAATATACTTCATGAAAACAAGTCTAAATATTCGTGTTCTTTCGATATGAATTGAGAAAACATTTTCGAAGTGAGACTGCCATGGAATGAATGATTACTGCTAGCTGGAGATAAACTGTCTTGCATAGTCCTCTACCTTGTTCAGAAGTTGGAGAAAGGAGGTTGGGGGGGGGAGATAGGCCAAGAGCTGTTCATAATCTAGATGCAGCCAAAAGTTTTGCTCTATGTATGGGTTTTATAGCAACTGCTATGATATATTTATTATGGAATTCTATGAATGGGCTGAACATTTCCAATTTCACAGCCAGAGTTGCCAAAAATATAGATGAACTAATCGGACAATGCAGAAGTGTATGAGGCTGTGAAGGAGAGAAAGTGAAGGGAAGAGAAATGGGTAGGAATTGAGCTTCAGGAAATACAAAAAGAAAAAAAGTGATTGGAAAAAGTTATTAGGAACAAACTAATCTCAAGTGATGTCCTCCCCTTCCCCAATGCTCAGTGTTTGAATTTTTCCCTTACTAATTATAGTAATGTGAATGAACTCTCCAAGGCAATGAGCTGCCAAACTAACATAGACCTCTTTTTTAGGGGGGTGAAGGAGGAAGTAGTGCCTGGTGGGGCACACAAGTGCACATTTGGAATAATCATACATTTGAATGTCAAACGGGAAGTCAGGCAGTATACTTGCCATTCCTAACCAAGCATTTCATGTTTGTATCCCTTGTATCTCTGAAGTTCACTTGTTCATTCACTCCTACTCCAAGATAAATTATTTTTGTGCATACCAAACCATTCTCATTAAACTTTTATTCTTTCACTTTGATGTTTTTGATGAACACACCTTCATCACTCTGTAGAGTCCCGGTAGCACTGTACAGTCATGTTTGTTCTCGACTCATAATCGAGAATTCCGGGTTGGAATCCCGGGCGGGACAGAAATAGTTGGGTGCATTTCCTATCTCCTAATGCTCTGTTCACCTAGCAACAAGTAGGTACCCAGGAGTTAGTCAGCTTGTTGTGGAGTTGCATCATGGGAGGGTCTGTAATTTGACCTCGGGGGAAGGGGGCCTTGATATAAGCCTAACGTGTATAAACCATACGCTGGCTGCCTGTCTCCTGACACAATAAATTATAATCAATTAATTTTATCTAACGCTGCACCAGTAATTCATCAGAATGTTTGCTAAATACTTTGCAGTTCAAAAGCGTGTGGAAATGATGGAGATGGAGCTCCAGTCAATTCAGCAGGCCGTTCGTCATTTGTATAGGACTGATCTAATGCAGTATTCAGCAGCGACCCGAAACATGCTGTGGAAGGATTATGTAAAAGAGGTTAGTACTGTATTAATTTCTTCACTGCCAAAACATTTGCAGTCATCTAAGTACAAGGGGAAAATATAATTTTTTTCACTCAAGACATGATAGAAGCATATAGAAAAAGAACTGGTAAAATAATTGTCTGCATTTAGCCAAAGGACCCACCAGAAAGAGATGTTTAATTACATTCATTGTTGGATTTCTGGTAGAGCTGTCCTCAATGGCTTCCCATGCTAAATTCCCACAGAACAAACAAGAGGGAGACTTACTCTGGGGTAGAGGGGAGGTGAAGCCAGAAAGCCTGGAGAACTGGCAATGGTGTCAATGCATTATGGCACTCACTGTAGTACATGAACTAGGAATAGAGGTGCCAAAAACACAAAAATGAACCTGAACAGAGGACAATGACCTCTGAAGAACAGCAGGGTGGCCAAATAGGGCTACCCTGTGTGTCACTGGTGACAACCGTACGCCATAACAAAGGACTTGAGGACACTATCCTAGTCATCATCTGATGACTGAGACTGCCACATGAGCCCTGTGGGCTTCACACAGGAAGAGGCACACCTCTGCCACTGGCCAGAACCCAACCAGAGCAACCACACTTCAAACCTTGAATGACCCATCTGAAATCGGTGGGCTCTTCGTGCAATTGTCACGGCCATATTTTTGTTTTTGTAAATATTCAGGTAAAGTTAATGTCAATATTTCTAAACTCAACTATTTCCATTTCAAAACACAGAGAGTACTGAAAACATTGAAAAAAACATTAAAATATAGCCTAATTAAAAAAAATAGCACAACTCACAGAGCGTCTAAAGGCGCTTTGTGCAGTACTGCGGTTGAAGTGCTAGTAGGGTTGGTTTTGAAGGGCAGAGGACCTGGTCAAACATTACATGATTTTGAAACGTATTTTAGGCAATTGGACTCCAGTCACTTGTTTTCTGGGGCTGTTTTTTGTGAGTTGAACACTTTGCAGTTGTTTATGCTCCCCAACTTTGTGTCATCATCTGATTAGTTTGCCCTGACTTTGTTTCAGGGCTAAAGTATGTTGACCAGACCACACACTAGAAGTTGAAGGAACGACGATGTTTCGGTCCGTCCTGGACCATTCTCAAGTCGATTCGACTTGAGAATGGTCCAGGACGGACCAAAACGTCGTCGTCCCTTCAACTTCTAGTGTGTGGTCTGGTCAACATACTTCAGCCACGTTATTGTGACTCATCGCCTGCTTTCAGGGCTACCTTTCTTGGCATTGGCTTGAATTCCCTGTTTTCTTACCAGAGTTATCCTCTGAGGGAATTGGGTGTTCTATTCTATTTTCTCTCGAGTTCTCCAGTGTCTGGTTGTATTCCTCTGCCTCAGGCCCTCTGTTTTTGTTTTCTTCAAAAGGTAAACCCTGGTTGCATTTCCAATTTCCAGCCTATTTCTGTTTCAGGAATGCTGATCTCGTGATGTGGCACTGTTGTGGGATAGCTTCGGGGAGCTACTAAAGGGTCTCTTCCAAGAACACAAGCCTTGAATGTAATGAAATGCTCTTTTCTGGTTGGGACCTCAGTAACTCCCAATCCCTGCCCTTCGTTCCTTTCTTTCCTGTTCGATGGAGTTTGCTGGGGAAGCTCTTGAGCAAGGGGGGTGAAACAGGATTAGTGTTTACATCATGGCAATTCTCATTTGCCCCATTTCACTTAGGGTAATTACTTTTGCTGTGCAGTTTTTGTGCTTATGCTTTCTGACAGTGTTAGTGACACAGACTATTTGGGATAGTGAGGCATGGATCGCTGCCATTATATCCACCAGCAGGTACAATGGTGGTAGGGACAAGGACAAGATTCCTTGTGCCTCACACCCCAGGTAATTTGTTCAAAAGTTGAAAGTAAAGTTAGAGAAGGGTGCCTTAAAAGTCCTGATTGAGAAAAATGGGGGGGGGGGTAGGGAAAAATATAGTAAGAGCTACATGGGGTTCTTGTATGGATCCTTGTGAAAACACTTGCTTTCTCTTCTTAATGCAAAGGATTTCCTACCCAGTGAAAGTGGGAAAATGGACTAATATCAAGGAAGAGCTTATTAATTAAAAGAACATTGGTAAGTACTGTGTTAGGTGCCTTATTTTTAATAATTTACAATATTATTTACGTATTGATCCTTTTAATTTATCTTGCCTTCAGAGCTCACATGTTGAGATTTTGAGTTCATGACATAATTATACATATGGGGAATTTGAAGTTCTAGCAGGGATTCAGGAAGAGCTCTAAAACACCTGCAATGTGTGATTTTGAAGCATCAAGTTCAGTGCAGTCAGTAGTCAGTAATCTATTACAGGGGTACCTCGGTTTAAGAATTCAATCCGTTCCTGGAGATGGCTCGTAACCCGTAGCTAATTTCCCCATAAGAAATAATGGGAAATGAATTAATCCGTTCCTGACTTCATCAGGCAGTGAGGACTTTCTCTGGTGTGCACTCTCTGGCACATTTTGCCTGCATACCACTAGGACCTGTTTGTGGCTCACTGCTTGCTTGTCTTGCTAAGAATCTGTCTAAAGACACTTGTTTTTCCCTACATTTTAACACTTGTCTGTAATAAGACATCACATTGTCATTTAAAAGGCCAATGCAATGGCCTGCTATAGTTTTATCTGGGTGAGTTTTTTCAACAAAATTTTGCATTTCTTCCCATACTTCACACATTTTCTTAATGAAGAAGGGACATTCTCTACTGCCTCTACTCAACTATTTTCTTAGGTTGAACCTTACCACTGGCTTTCTTGGGACCTATTGCGAGATATATAATAACAATTTTTATGTTCAAATGACCAAATATCCAACAAAACACTGTAAATCCTGGTGAAGAATTGAGGCGGGATAGTCACTGGGCGCAATGCACTCGTAAACTGAGTGGCGATTGCCGTGCCACCACGCGCTAGTCGGCCCGTACGCGTATCAACACCCTCGTATCCCGATGCAAATTTTCCGAGCAAATCCTGCTCGTAACCCGAAAAACTTGTAACCAGGGGCGCTCGTAAGCCGAGGTACTACTGTACAGTACTTGCATCAGAGTTGAATATTGATTCTGTAGGTTGTCAGTAAATTTTTGTCCTAGTATTGACAAATAGTACTGAAATTTGTATAATGCCATTCTTGTATGAGTTATGTCTTCATCCCATCAGAGTTATAAAATGTTCATAAGTTCAATGCATTTTTCTCTTCAGAATGGAGAAAAATCTTCAGCAATAAGGAAAAGTATTGCATTTGTGATCAGGAATGCAGAGTGCGCCCTAGAATCAGGTGCTAAGAAGCGGGGACGCCCACCCAAAACACCTGGCAATGTTGGTAATGATGTAGTCAATCATCCTGCAACTGTAACCAGGAGTAAGTTATTTCCCCTTTCTCAGAGATACGTTCCGGTGTATGAAGTATTGAGGTTATATAATAAGGTTTAAGCAAAGTCATATACTGTATGTGATTCCTAGTTTTGAAAAAGGTTGTTTATTGTATAGTTTTAATTAATTATCTTTGTTTAGGCATATTCAAAACCTCTCGAGAAATCTTTGGTTAAATTTGCCAGTCTTTGAACACACAGTTATTGACATTCTCTGTGGGCTAAAAGATAATACAGGTAATATTACCTTTTTTCTTGTGCATTATTATAAAATTAAAAACAATTTCTTGTGCATCAATAGCCTGCACAGTTAAGGGGTTAAATAACATTATCAAGCCACTATAAAAGTGTTGAAATTTTGTCATGAGATTCAAATTGTCATTAGTTATATATCACTAGTGACAAGTCTATTGCTTGGCAACATTGGGGAACTTTGTCAAGAGAGATCAGTTGAGGCTTTGGATTGGGCCTCTTATTCCTTGGTATGGTACCCTGAAGCTGTTATTAAACAACCTGTATGCCTCACACCACTGCTTGTATAAGTTATATGTTGCACTATTAATTTTTTGAGAGCATTTTTAAATAGCTACATTCCTTCAGAAAATTATGGTAGAATGTCTTTATGGCTAAAGTTAGCCAAAAAGGAAAAAAAAACTTGTCAGTGTGTAGTGTAATAATTTTGGAATACTAACATTGCCAGCTCTTGTGCTATGCTGCCATTCTACTAACTACATATCGGGTTTATAGTTGAACCTGTTTCTGTTCACCTTGCAGCAGGGAATTAGTTTGTTTCAAATCTTTGTGGCGTACGTTAACATTTCATACCTTACATTTTGTAATTATTTATACTAATCTCCGTACATGTGTACACTATATTTCACCTTCATCTTTCATTTGGTATCTTGCATTTTTTAAGTGTTCATTATATTTTGGAGCGGATTGAGAGAGAGTATTAATAAGGTACATCTATGTTAACAGGTGTAAGGCGCTGTCGCCAGAAGGCAGTATTAGGACTAAGCCAATCTGACAACTTGCTACCACCACCTTCCACTTCAAGGGTACAACGCTCAAAGAAATTGGTGAGGTTTGCAATATTTTAATTGTCAAAATGTTAGTTTTCCCACTTAATTTTTTTGTTAAATAATGCATTTATTCAACTTTACAGTACAAAGATAGCTAGAAACCACACTTCCAGGATAAGTATACAGTGTGAAAGATATGAAAGGGGTTAACTCTTGGGTGGTGATTATTTTTTTTTAGTTCAATAATTTTTTAAGCTCAAGCTAAGGCCAAGTTTAGTATTTATTTTTTTCATTGCACCTTTTGATGATGTATTTGTTCTCTATTTTGCATGTCCTTAGCTAATTAGCTCAGTCTCCATCACTACTAATACATCCATTAGCTTGTTTCTCATTTCCTCAGTTATTTTCTTGGGGGGAATTAAGGTTCCTCCTCTGTGAGGTTTCTCCCGAGATGTTCCAGTGTCTGGGTAGTGTTTAGTTATGCCTTGTTTATTGGTGTGCCTTACTAGTTTTGGGAATTTTGCTTTGGTGACGAATAAGGATTCCTAGATTTAGTTTAAGAGGTACCACATGCCTTTCCTAATCTGCATATTCTGTGATTCGGTGTGTAGGATACAGCCTCATTACCCTTGCATCTGGTGCTTCTAGATGTTTATTAATGGCTAGTTGCACAGTTACTAACCCAATAAGATTTCAACTTTGATTCAACAAAACAGTTGTTGTTGTTTAACACATGGGGTAAAAATCTTACTGAAGCGACCATACGAGTCATAAATACTCATACTCTGCCTAAATGAAACAGAAACAAGCAACACTTAGTGGGCCATCCAGAGGCTTAGGCCCTGTGCAGGAATATCTATGTAAAAAAAAAAAAAAAGTCCCATTAGGTCTAGGCAAAATGTTCTACCCTTAAGTTTAACCCTTAAACTGCTCTGGGCTATACGGCCTTCAACACTCACAGGTGCCCCCCCTCCCCCAATGTAAACATAAAAGTGTTCATTTGGGTTCCTTGATCACGGGAAAAATAATAAAAAGATCGTAGGTGGCATATTTTGGCCGTAATAGGGCGGGAAAGTCTGGCAAAAAAAACGGTGTTGATAGAGCACGCACCGGAGGTAGTCAGCTCTGCCCCGAGCTGTCAGGCGGGAGTTGCCACAAAAATGATATCTAATTATTTCAATGTCTGATTTATTTTTTCTTAGTTTTTTGCAGTAAAATTATTCAGTAGTGTGTAGTGTGATTTATTTATATAATGTGTGAATCATCACTATACTCAAAATTATGGTGTACGTGTTAGTGATTCAATTATGTTCATAAAACAATAAACAAATTTACAGTTATTATACTATATACACAGGTTATATACAAGTTTCTGTATGTTTTGTTCACCATAACTGTACAATTAAGCTGGTATGGTGAGTTCAGACTCGCCACACACAGCTGATTCTCCCTCCCTCCCTCACTGGTTCAAGGCCAGATGCACTAATCCTCCTCCTCCAACTATACTGTTTGTGGTGTTATTACATTTATTTATTTATTTATATATATATATATATATATATTATACAGTATATAATTTTTTTTTCATTTTAATATATAAATTTATGTATTACAGTATCATAATTGATCATTATTCAGATATTTATTATGCTTAATTCTGTACCCATGATTCCATTAATATTATTTATTTGTTTTTCTAAATATTTTAGGTTGCAGCTACTCCAGTTGGCCAGAACATTCCTCAGTTTTCATCAATGCCAGTGGTGACTCCAAAGTTTGATATACGTAACCCATTCCCACCTGGGACAGTAATGAAAAGAGCCAAGCCTAATGATATTCTAATGAATTTTAATGGATCGCCAGTATACGTTTCACCCAGCGCCAACCAAAAGATAGAGATTAAGGTAAATTTTATTGTATCTCTCATATGGTATCACTAACTCCTATCCTGTTTTTAAGGCTTAGGCCAAGGACATATTAATTTTTTTTTTCTAACTGCCAGACAATCCTAATGAATCATTCCCAATTCTAAATGGTTTTATTCTTAGTACATTTGATCATGAGTACTTTTACTTGCCTATTTGGACCAAGATCTTGCTCTGGCTTAGCTTATGGTAGATAGTTTTTCCATTCTTGTAGCTCGGCCCCAGGCTGGGCTAAAAGATAGTTGTACCTAGTGCATTTAAAAAGGTCTAATGCTATCATATTTGTTCTTGAAGTTGTGAATAAGTTTTTTTCACTAATACTACTACTAATAGTGCATTCCACTTGTTAACCACCTTGACTAATTTTTGTTTTTTCTCTTTTTTTTTTTCTTAATCTCATTTGTATTTCTAACTTGCACCCTTGCCCTCTTATCCTGTTTACCTCAGTAGGATTAGGCTGTACCTGGTCACCTTGTCTGTTCCTCTGTATTTTGTACTGTAGTGATCATATCTCCTAGTTCTCTACACAGTTGTTAGTTCCCTTAATGTGTCTTTGTAGTTGAAGCCTTTTGCTTTAGCACATCTTATGAAATAGGCACTTTTGTAATTATCTTGAACTTTATTCGATGTGAATTCCATGCATATGCATATACATGTACACTCAGCCATGTGCTATCCGAACTCCTCGGGACTGAATGGATAACATGTGTTCGGATAAGTGGTTAGTCGTCTAATTCAATTTTCAATTTCTTTATAATGCACCCCCTACCCATCCTGTGGGCTTTGGTGGAAAGGTTTACAGAGGCACATAATCGGTTCAAGAACTGAACCCCATAGTTCATGTAGCTAAGCAAGTGACAATTTGTTTAAGCTAGTTACACAGTTGTTAATGTTATATATATACATGTACATTATATACAGTGTATACATATACATATCGATAATCTTTTTATATCACAAGTGATTCAACAAGAGGTTCACAAGTCACTATACAAGGCACTTTACAACTATGGTGAGTCATACAGTTACTGGTCTTGCTCCACACCCACCCAACTGGGCGGCAGCTTTACAGTCGTGCATGCATTACTTTCAGTAAGCAAATTTTGGCTACTGCGCTAGGATTCCTGGCAGTACATCATTATGAATGAAGTACTTACACATTTCTTGGACTCCATTGATGGTGTTATCTCTGAATTCCACGATTTTTTAACATTCCTGTATATAATGGCGCTAAATATGTGAATAGTTCTGCTGACAGAGTTTGCATTTAGTCAAATCTACATCAGCAAATGTTGTAAATTCCCAGAGATACTTGTAGCTGAGTCTAAGCCTAGCAGTGGTAACATCTAGAAGTCTGCTAACTTTATTGGATGACCCATTGATGTGCGGTTCTTCCTGCATAATAGAATGACGATAGATGGAGTAACTGGTGTGAATTTCACTTTGCTTCAAATTTTTTAGATTTTGTTGATGTTCCTGGAATATTACTGCTCAAAGGCAATCCAAGATGGTAATCAATTCCCTCTTTATGATCCTGAAAAGCTAGGGGGAAAAATTGACTAGTATGTTGCAGAAATTTAAGTGTTTTGTTTGTACTCGCCAATGTATGTGCTGATCTGCTTGTTAACAATGCTCCAACTATAATCTTCAAGTTATTTAGATAGAAAAGGTGGTGGTGGTAGATGTTGATGGTGTTGGGTTGACTGAAGTTGAGATTTATGGTGATGAGGTAACCTCAGCAGACTGCCTTTTATCATGTACTCTAATGTACCTAATACCATGGCAGAGTTGAAAGCTTTTGAACCATTCATTAGTGTATGAACACTGCTCAAGTGGTGCTGTGTACAGTCATGGGCAAACTAGTTCTGTCTTTATTGTACATTTTTATTCATACTGCCTGCCTTACCAGTTATCTGAACAAACCCCAATTTAATAACAGGCATTTTCGGATAACATGCGTTCATAAAGCACGTGACTGTAGTATTAAGTGCAATCATTTCCTTTAGCTTTCTCCTTGTCTGTGATAGGTGGTGTGAAACATCTGTGGCTTGCATCTCGGCCTAGTATGCTTAACTAATGGTCACTTGCTGAACAAATACACTGCTCATTCTTGTCCAAATTGCAGTGTCATCTGTCACCTCATAGAAAGTCCTAATTTTCAGGATGGTTGTAAAATCTTACTTTTCCACTCTCTCTAGGTCACTTGTTTCTCAATGTAATCCATACTGAATCAAGTATCTTTGATGTTGCTCGCCTTGTGTCTTTTTCATCTCGTATTGGAATCCTTAGTTATATTGAGTATCTATTGAATATGCTACAACATAGATGGTGCTGAATCTTCCCCCCAAGCTTGGTGCTTTCTTTTGATAATTAATTTCAAAATGTCCAAGTAAGTAGGTGGCAACATCAAAATGCAACCACAAGTTTCTTTTCAACGACACACGTCCTCGTACATGCCCCCACACATGCCCCCACACGTTCTCACAAACACGAACACATAACAGCATCTGATTGCCAGTGTTAATACATTAATTAATAGTATTCCTAATAAAGCTACTGTATTTCTTATTGATTTATTTTTAATTACAAATTTATTCTGCCAGGAATTACGGGAAATTCTTCAGGATGACAATGTAGGTGAGAATATCAAGCAGGAGATACTGCAGTTCCATGCGGATGTCAGTAAACTAATATCTGGAAAATGGATGGACAAAAACCAAACATAATGTTGGTTTCCATCAGACTTGAAACACTTTATAGGTTTACCATAATTAAGGAGTAAAGCATAAATTGCTGGATAGGTTACATTTCTGTATTATTGTATATAATTTTCTGTTTGAAACCTGTAACACATTTTGTTGTAGGCTGCAAACTGACACTACCTGTTGACCTTGCATTATATAATGATTGTTTGGATAAAATGCCCAGATAGTTTTTCAAAGAGAGGTAGCGATTATTTGCAGCACCTAATTTATTGATCCCCAGTGGGCACACTCTAAGAGTGGCATAATTTAGTTTTTAATTTCATTCATAATAGTTTTTATTTGATCTTTTTCAAATCTAAATTGTAGTATTCACTAAACATATGTGCCCAAGGTATCCTAATGGTGGAAAACAGCTTATGTGAAATTTTAAGGAATTTTTAATAAATTTTATATATTTTGTATTTTTGTGAATTTTTTAATGAATTTTATGAAAATCCTTAGTAGTGATTGTTAAACCCCCAAGGCTTATTGCAGTGGTCCCTGTAATGTCTTGTTAATTATTACAGAGACTTTAATATCAACTACAGTACTATACCCGGCCACCAATTCTGCTTTTAACTAAATGACTACTGTAAAATACCCACACATTAAATAACTGTTACATAATTGAAACAAGCTACATAGAAGTAATCCCCTCAGTTAATAGTGCCTTGGCGCAGTGAGGGGGCTCTTGTGCATCTTCTGTGGGTAGGGTTGGTGGGGAGATAACTCCTGCTCAACTCTCCTGCCTGCTGTGATGGTGCACCTGTTAAATGTTCCCGTATGTTGGCCCATGTATGGAGACCTGTGCATGCCATTGCGTCCATCTGGGAGTTTAGCCTACATAAGGGTTGTGACCCCTTGGAGGGGGGGGGGGCAACATGCTGCTTTGGTTAGGGGACAGGGTAAACGAGAGGTTCAGGCAGCCCACCTAAACCAATTAGCTCATCATCTGGTTAGCCCTGCCTAGTTAGACATAGGTTCAAGTGTACATTGTAGTAGGGTTGGTACTCCTATTGGTCCCTGGGATGCCATTTGACTGTAGAATTTCTTTATTGAAGGTCAGCATTGTTCAAAATGGATAACTAGAACTGAACTCATAATGTATCGGATTTCTAATTTGTACCAAGAGAGAACAATGGCACTTTCCTGTACTGTGAGAGATTACCCCCTTTCCAATTTTAATCTCTCCCTTTCCACCCAAGAAGCAAATTAAAGACCAGCCGAAGTTTTGTCTCGAGGCAAAGCTCAATTCCTTAAGCAATATTGATGATCTGTCCACAGAGCATTTTCCTATCAAGCCATATACACATTGTTCCCTATACTGTCCCCATGGGACCAGTTGTCCTGACAATGGGTGATGCTTATATTTTGAGTGAGGAGTGTATTAACAACTGGGCCTTTACCCTTCAGACTGAACTATTTGCCATGCTACTTGCACTGAAGTGTGTACAAGTCATATTGATACATTAATTGCAAGCGACTATCATCCTTAAATGTGATTAACTCTCTAAAACAAAACTGTAACATGCTCATGTCTGAAGCTAGACACAAATCCCGGGTCAATTTTAAGGGTCATGGTAGTACAGTCGGGTTCATTCTCGATGCACAATTGAGAATTCCGGGTTTGAATCCCGGGCGGGACAGAAATGGTTGGGCATATTTAATTTCACCTAATGCCTCTGTTCACCTAGCAGTGAGTAGGTACTCTCGAGTTAGTCAGCTTGTTGTGGGGTTTCATAATGGGCGGGGTAATTCTGAACTAGTAATTTGGCCTTGAAGGGGTGGGAGGGTTGTTTCAACACAAGTCTACCGTGTATGGATACACTCTGGCTTCGTGTACCTCGACGCAGTGAATTTAATACCTAATATTATTAATGATGGTAACAATCCATTGCATGTGGATTTCATTTCATGTTGGCCTCTGAATGCATAATAAGAGCTGATGAGTTAATAAAAAAAAAAGTCTCCCTCAAAGGGAGTTGATTATAACCTTGGGTTGCCTATAAGCAGTCTGAGAGAAATAATACACCAAGAACTTCAACAAAACTGTAAATCTGAGGTAAAGTGACTTCGGCACTAGTAATTCCTTGTATCATTATACTAGTAAGCTTTTAAAAAAAATCATTTTGCCTTGTAATATACACCATTATTCACTGATCTTGGTGGGAGGGGAATTCCTGCTCCATAATTTGCCCATTCTCGCATAAAACAGACGATGCTCTCGGCTTCAAAAGGTTTCTCAAGCCACACCCCTTCTCAGGAGTAAAAGGGTAACTATACTATAGTATTTCACACCGCTAAGCATCCCTCGCCAGCGACCACCCAAACATTAGACAATTCAAATTTTTATAAGACAATCGGACATAAATGGATGGATAGATTTATAAAAAGATGGAAGGCAAAGACCTGGGCAGCACTGGGTACCCCCTCCTAGTGTGTATACTGTATGGATGTAAGGTAAATAATTATATACACATTTGATGGGGGATAGGAATCTTGAATATTAAGATAAAAATGTTTATTATAAATAATAATCTTGTATGTACATGTATAACTGAGAGGAGGAACATTATTATTAAAATCATAACATAACTTGTGTGCTTTTACTAGCATACATTTTTTATGAAAGAATTAGTCACCTTTAATGAGTTCTTAACAGAGGCTTACTTAATGATTGCATTATTGGCAGCACTAACGTTTATACCGTGTGACATAACTGATATTATAATGCAATGAGCAAAGGTGAGCGTTTGAGTAGTTACACTAAAACAAAACTTATTAAAAGATGTCATTAATCTCTATACGTAATATATTCTTGACGTATAAAGCTGGTGATAAGTTGCATCTGATAGTTGTGGACTGGTGCTTCTTGACTAGACCTAGCTAGGCCTTGGGCTTCTGGCCTAGACCTAGTTAAGGTCTGCTCTGTAGTCTTTTTCTGAACAGACCTTGAAGCATACTTAAGCTCTAAAGATCTGCCCTAAGACCTAGACCTCAGAGCTACGACAAATGAGCTGGTTGTTGTCGGGAAGGAAGCAGCACTTCTCCCACAGATGGCAATCTGAGTCTTGCTTGCAGTTGAGGTGGTTAGGGTAGTTGAGCTGGTTCTTGTCACATAGCACCTCCCTCTCATCCTGCTGCAGGTGAACTCTAGGACACTTTCCAGCGTTCGTTCCTGGGAAAATGTTTCCCTCATTATCATAAGAAAATATGAGCTTAAAAGTATCTTAGTGTGAGAAGAGTGTCTTGTAAAAATTGGTTCAATTGTGCATACCAACTGGCACCTTACAAAATCTAAGTCTAGTAGCACTTTATTTCTTCTTGAGATTTTTAATCTCATTATGGTATAGTGGGTAGTGTCCCTGGGGAGTCCAGGGATGCGAGTTTAATCCCACTCAATACTAAAATTTTGTTTCAGATACATCATTGATACATATTAATATACTTCAGGCCCTGCTGGTTATCCAAGCCAGACAAATTTTACATATATGTAACTATATATGACTTGCAGGAAATATATATCCTGGTGTCAACAAGCTGTGTTATTTTGTACTGGATAACAGTATAAACTAATGTTCAAAGAGGAGTGCATGTAATCGGTTACATCCATACAAACAGAACCAAGACATCAATACCCACCACCACCAAATATCACACAACTTACCCTTGTTGTCGCAGCAGAAGAATAATCCCGGCTTGTCCTCGGCCTGACAGCTGTTTGTGCAGCGAGGAATATCAACCTTTGGGTTCAAACTTAGGCATGGAGGTTTGGCTGCCATGACTGCACCAATCGCCATCACCACCATCACCACCACACATGCTCGTGCCATCCTCCCTGCCATAATCACCACAATTATATACTACAATAAGAATACGGAGATACAAATCATAGCATACTCAAGTACGGTTTGCCAAAATTTTTTAAACCATACCCTTAATGCCAACCGACCCTAACTTAACAATAATACAGTTTTGACACTGAAAACGAGCTTCATCCAACTATCGTAATAATAATAATAAAAATTTATGTCGGTGGGACAACCTGTGTATTTACATTAGGCTTACATAGAGGTCCACTGCCCACATCATGGGTATAGGGGTCCAACTGCCTACACCATGGGTATGGGGGTCCAACTGCCAACACCATGGGTATGGGGATCCAACTGCCTACACCATGGGTATGGGGGTCCAACTGCCAACACCATGGGTATGGGGTTCCAACTGCCCACACAATGGGTATGGGGTCCAACTGCCTACACCATGGGTATGGGGGTCCAACTGCCTACACCATGGGTATGGGGGTCCAACTGCCAACACCATGGGTATGGGGGTCCAACTGCCAACACCATGGGTATGGGGGTCCAACTGCCTACACCATGGGTATGGGGGTCCAACTGCCAACACCATGGGTATGGGGGTCCAACTGCCTACACCATGGGTATGGGGGTCCAACTGCCAACACCATGGGTATGGGGGTCCAACTGCCCACACAATGGGTATGGGGTCCAACTGCCTACACCATGGGTATGGGGGTCCAACTGCCTACACCATGGGTATGGGGGGTCCAACTGCCAACACCATGGGTATGGGGGTCCAACTGCCCACACAATGGGTATGGGGGTCCAACTGCCAACACCATGGGTATGGGGGTCCAACTGCCCACACAATGGGTATGGGGTCCAACTGCTCTCACCATGGGTATGGGGTCTAACCGTCCACAACAAGGGTATGTGGACCACCGCTCACAGCACGATATATGGGGCCCACCATCCACAGCATGGGCATATAGGACCACAACCCACAACATGGGCATGAGGTACATCATCCGCAGTATGAGAATGGGGTCCAACTCCCACAGCATGGGTTTGACGTCCACCAATCACAGTGTGGATATGGATTCCAATGTCCATATCATGGGTATGGGGTCGATTGTTCTCAGCATGGGTATGGGGTTCATCATTCACAGCATGGGAATAGGTTTCCATCACCCACTGCATAGGTATGGGAATGGGGACCACCACCCATTGCATGGGTATGGTGTCCATGGCCCACAGCACGAGTTTGAGGTTCAATGCCCACAGCATGAGTATGGGTGTACACCGCCCACATCATGGGGGTGGCGTGCATTATCCACAGCATGGATATGGTGTCCCTTGCCCACAACATGGGTACGGTTATTCACAATAAACTAATAATAGTTAAAAATGTATATAAAAAACGCTTGAAACTGATTTATAATAACGAACAGTAAATCAAGGAATTGAACTCTTATATACACAAATAATTGCAATACTGTAATGAAATACGAAGCAATATTTACACAGACGCCGTCTAGACGTTGACAGGTATTCCAGGAAGGTGAGCGGTCAAGTGCAGGTTGGGACAGGCGTCCAGGGTTTATGTACCCACGGATGGTTACCCGGGTTGCCGGAAAACTTTAAATATACAGGTACTTGAATTTACCTGTGGGAGACAGGAAGCCGGTGGCTTGTCAAAGATCTTTCCCCTCCCTCTTTTTTTCCCCAGAGGATTTCTAACTCATCTATGGCTTCGGTGTGTAGACTGCGATCCGTTTTTTTATTACACCTCCCACAGGAGGGGTACCTGGCTTGCCGAGTCCGGATCTGTCTAACCCCTTTCCCTTTTATCCTAATCTCCCCTTCTCTCATCTCTCTTTCCCTGTCTCCCCCTCTCTCATCCCTCTTTCTCCTCTCCAAACTTCTCCAAGATTCCCCTTCTCCGTTGCTCTCCACCCTCCCACCTCTTTCTCCTCCCACACACCCCTTTTTCCACCTCTCCGCCTAGTGTCTCCCTCTTTCTCTTGTTGTTTTAGATTCAGCTACTAGGAACAAAAAGTTTCAAGTAGCACGGGCTATGGTGAGCTCGTAGTGGACTTACCTGGCACAGAAGCGGGTCTGTATGGTCCACATACAGACCCACTCGCCCCTCTTCTGCAATATCTTCAAACATCCCCCCTCCCGCCTTCTCTCTCTTCAGGAATTCCCCTCCCTTTCTTTCAAAACGATATATCTGCTTCGGAAAAAGTTCAATACAGCTACAAAATTCATCCCAGAACTAAGTCAACTCATGCCTGATACGGCTGAGAACCACAGGACTAACAACATCAGGTAAAAGTGGCAAACCAGACATAACTGGGCTGTTCACGTAGAGATCTTTAAAATACTGAAAAGAGGATATTAATCCAGACCACTTCTTTAAAAGGTCAAATGTAACATACAAGGAACGACTTCAAACTCAACAAACCACAATGCAGGACAAAAATTGAATGTCCGTTTTCATCCTTAGAGTTAAAAACTCACGGAACCGCTAACCCGCCTAAGTAATAAATCCCAAAACATTTCTCCAGAATAAAATCCAGGAACAATGAGGGACCTTTGACAAGCAGCCGGCTTCATATCACCTTCCCGGCCGTTAAAGAAATGTTGCCCCTGACGCAAATTCAGGTAAATCAGAGAAGTACTTTCGATGGCCACATACCATCTTTGTGAAATACGATGCACTAGAGATATACGCAGACGTAGAGCCTACATTCTTGTATAACAGAAAACCTTAAGGAAAAAACATGTGTGGTAGAGTTCAACATCTACAAACAACATATGAGCGGGACACATTGCTGCTGGAGGCATCGACACCACCACAGAAATCCCAATACCGGGGGATCTCCGCTTCCTGTAAACATCACTTGTTTACCTATCTGGTGGGTGAACCACCTGACAACACCTGAACACCTGACAACCCGTCCTCAGACCGTTAAAATTTATGAATGCGTCTTAGGGGTCGACCACTGGTTGGAATGGACGGGTAGTGTGTAAACCGTTTTTCATCCATAAACAGAGGATTTGGAGGATGCCTGGAATCACTTTTAGCCTTCGTTTATGAGGACGAGCTGCACCAGGCAGGTTGAGACACGTGTCAGATGGGTGCGAGCAACACATGTGTTGTGGGTGGGTGAGGTACCATTTCAAAAAGCACAAAGGAAAGAGGTTGTAACGCGGCTTGACCCAGAAATATAAGTGATAGAGTATAAAGAATAGTAAACGAGCTGGACTTAACGTTGATGGAAACGACGAGAGAGAGGAGACATGATAGAGATTTATAAAATACTTTAGGGAATTGAGTGGAAAAAGAGGAAATGTTCACAATCAATACCATTATAACAAGAGGACAAAGATGGATGCTTGATAAACAGAATAGTCATTGATATGTTAGAATTTTTATTTTAGTTTGAAGGTAGTGCAAAAATGAAATGAACTAAACGAGCAGGTTGTAGGAAAATGGATCGGTCGTCAATGCATTAGACAACCAGTGGCTGGAGAGGCGGGGTCTTATAGCTAAACAGTTCCATCCTGTAGGTACAAATTTTAAATGCATCACTCACACACACACACACACACACACACACACACACACACACACACACACACACACACACACACACACACACACACACACACACACACACACAGAAGAGTAAGGGAAGACTTGATCACTACCTACAAAATTCTCAGAGGAATTGAGAGGGTAGATAAAGATAAACTGATTAACACGGGTGGGACGCGAACAAGGGGACACAGGTGAAAACTGAGTACCCAAATGAGCCACAGGGACGTCAGAAAGAACGTTTTCAATGTCAGAGTAGTTAACAGGTGGAATGCACTAGGAAGTGATGTGGTGGAGGCTGACTCCATACACAGTTTCAAATGTAGATATGATAGAGCCCAGTAGGCTCAGGAATGTGTACACCAGTTGATTGACAGTTGAGAGGCAGAACCAAAGAGCCAAAGCTCAACCCCCGCAAACACAACTAGGTGAGTACACACACACACACACAGTTGTACTCACCTAGTTGTGCTTGCGGGGGTTGAGCTCTGGCTCTTTGGTCCCGCCTCTCAACCGTCAATCAACAGGTGTACAGGTTCCTGAGCTTATTGGGCTCTATCATATCTACACTTGAAACTGTGTATGGAGTCAGCCTCCACCACATTACTTCCTAATGCATTCCATTTGTCAACCACTCTGACACTAAAAAAGTTCTTTCTAATATCTCTGTGGCTCATTTGGGCACTCAGTTTCCACCTGTGTCCCCTAGTGCGTGTGCCCCTTGTGTTAAATAGCCTGTCTTTATCAACCCTGTCGATAAAGTTGTGTGTGTGTGTTCACACACACACACAACTACATCAACCATCAACCCAGTTGTGTGTGTGTGATCACAAGTTCGTGATCTTGGAGTTGATATCACACCAAACCTGTCTCCTGAAGCCCACATAAAAAGAATAACGTCTGCGGCATATGCGAGGCTGGCTAACATCAGAACAGCGTTCAGGAACCTGTGTAAGGAATCATTCAGAATCTTGTGCACCACATATGTAAGACCAATCCTGGAGTATGCGGCCCCAGCATGGAGCCCGTACCTTGTCAAGCACAAGACGAAGCTGGAAAAAGTCCAAAGGTATGCTACTAGACTAGTCCCAGAACTAAGAGGCATGAGTTATGAGGAAAGGCTGCGGGAAATGCACCTTACGACACTGGAAGACAGAAGAGTAAGGGGGGACATGATCACAATCTACAAAATCCTCAGGGGAATCGACCGGGTAAACAAGGAAAAAACTATTTAACACTGGCGGGACGCGAACAAGGGGACACAGGTGGAAACTGAGTACCCACATGAGCCACAGGGACGTAAGAAGGAACTTTTTCAGTGTCAGAGTAGTTAACGGATGGAATGCATTAGGCAGTGTTGTGGTGGAGGCTGACTCCATACACAGTTTTAAATGTAGATACGATAGAGCTCATTAGGCTCAGGAACCTGTACACCAGTTGATTGATCTGTTGAGAGGCGGGACCAAAGAGCCAAAGCTCAACCTCCGCAACCACAAATAGATGAGTACAAATAGGTGAGTACACACACACACACACACACACACACACACACACACACACACACACACACACACACACACACACACACACACACACACACACACACGACATATCGGTGAGCATAAAAATACTTAAGAGATAAATTGTGGTGGGAGGTGGAGGTTGGAGTAAGATCAGGTTAGTGGCGTGTGGCCACACTAGGAAAATATCACATCATCTCCGGGTACCAGGGGGGGAACATGGCGGGAGAATAGGTGTCCGGGAACACTGGACTGCAGGAATGTTGACCCTCACAAAGCTGGTAGAGTTCTTATAATATATCATTATATATATATATATATATATATATATATATATATATATATATATATATATATATATATATATATATATATATATATAACTGAAAACTCACACCCCAGAAGTGACTCGAACTCATACTACCAGGAGCACAATGCAACTGGTGTGTACAGGACACCTTATCCACTTTTCCATCACGACTGGACAAAAGCTGATGGTAGCCAAGGCTATTTGCCCATCAGCCCGCCGGCACTCTGATGATAATCTTAGGCATAGTATTTTATCAAATCACATCATTCTTTGGGGCATACGTGAGGAACATAAATGCGAACAAGCCTGAATGGTCCCCAGGACTATATGCAACTGAAAATTTTTTTCAAATATTTTTGATAATATAGGTAGATTTGATATTGGTAGTTGTTTATAGTCTATAGGTACATAACTATGTAATAACTATAATAACTATAGTTACTAACTATAATAACTATAGTTATTTATTTATGTATTTATTTATTTATATATTTATTTATTTATATACAAGAAGGTACATTGAGTTTGTGAGGACATAACTGTAGCTACATAACTATGTAGTTATGTAGCTATCTATAGTTACATAAATATTTAATTTAATTTGTTTACATGCATATATTACAAAAAGTATTAAATGAAAGAGACTGAGATTAAATTATTGTCTATGTAAACCGTATTTAAACCTTCATTTGATGTGGCAATTTACTCACGGGTAAAGTTGTTAGTAAACAATGTTATGTCGCCATGGTTACGGGCTCAGTCCAGTACAGTCGTTGCTCTTAAATCAACACAATAGACGGGTAGAGGTGCGGCTGGAGGTATGAACACCGCTTGTGCAGTGATTCCTGGTTTATACAGGATATATATGTAAACCTTGAAGGGCATTTTGCTTCTTGGTGTACTGTATATACATAGAGTTTTCTTAATTCCAGAAGAATACAAGTCCGATCGTACACAAGACGATTCGCCAACGGATTTAAAACCATAATAACCTTAGCCCAACCGAGACACCATACAGCTTAATCTATAGCTAATTTACCAGAGGGCTTCTAACACTAGTGGCCTCGACGAGAACAGGAAGCCGGCGGCTTGTCAAAGGCCCCCCCATTTGCCCCGATGATCTTTTCCAGCTGTATTTTAAAAACCAGCAGAGTTTTGGCGTTTACGGCTTCGGCGGGTAGACTGTTCCACGGGTTTACAATCCTATGGGTGAAAAAAAATCTGTTTCCTGTCCTACATTGTGGTTTGTTGAGCTTGAACCCGTTGCTCTTCGTTCGTGTTACATCTGACCCTTTGAAAAAATTGTCCGGATCGACATCCTCCAAATTGTTCAGTATTTTAAAGGTTTCTATGAGAATAGCAGCTATGTCTTTCTGAAGATGAGGTCTCCATGCCAGGATGCAATAATCCAGGTGGGGGCGTACCAGAGACTTATACGTTTGAACAACTAAATACATCCTAGCCTAATAATATATACAGTTTTTAACAACCAGGAAACCAGCTTTGTCAAATTATCATGTGTATGAGTTGGCCATATCCCATCATGAACTATGTTTCAGACAAAAGTATACTTGCTGATTGGTCAGTAAGCCTAATATTGTCTGCCTCAATAACCCTTGAAAGGGGTAGGCAAGGTGTTCTAATGTTAGGCTTCAAATTTTGTTCAGTAAGCTAGAGTTCAAAGGATGTTCCTTGTGCTTATATTGTATTGGGTCGCTGTTAGTCGAACTGTCGATAGTCTGCCAGTTGGTCTACTGTGAGGGATGGGGGTGTTGAGTGCTCACCTTTCCCAGGTATAGCCAAGAGTAGCCAAGCATCTACCAAACAGTTGTTTATCTGCCCAAGACAAAATTGTTTTCCACAGACACACAATGAATTGGATAGAGGCTTACAGTATTTGTCAAGCACATTAACACTAGAGCACATGTATTCCTGTTCATAGTGGCTTACAAATCACGAACACTTACAGCAGCAACTCAGCAGTCAGAGGAAAGAGAAACTTCATGCAAACTGGTTGCATCAAAAGAAAGATGGCTTTGTGTTCTTGTGAGTAGTGATAATTTGGTGATATTTGATTCTGCGTGTAGTGATAGCTTGATGGTAGGGGTCCTGTGAGTAGTGATGGCTTGATGGTAGGGTGTCCTGCGAGTAGTGATGGCTTGATGGTAGGGTGTCCTGTGAGTAGTGAAGGCTTGATGGTAGGTAGGGTTTCATGTGAATAGTTATGGCTGAATGTGTGTGTGGCGTGTTTTGCACAGGTAGTTTCAGAGTGCGGTGAGGTTGCCAAGACTTCATGTGGCAGCAGAGAGACCTGGGCTGCCATCTGGTGTTGGTTAGGAACATCAGGATTAAATTATTCACCTTCTGGCAATAATCATTGGCCTTTTTTTTTTTTTTTTTTTTGGGGGGGGGGGGGGCAGCTCTTTTTCATTTAAGTTTGTTTTCTTTCAGCAATGATTTCTGGTGTTTTTCCCCAGTTTTTCTGGTTTATATCTATTTCCCTGCACCCCTCATCTTGAAAGTGAGCCAGATTCTGGTCCTGGCTCCTTGTAGGCAGGAGAGGAGTTTCAGAGGTCTGGTGTGTTGCACTGAGGCTTGGTGGAACTAGTTAAGCTCAGTGAGCTACTGTGGGCCCACCAGAAAATGGGGCTTCATTACCTGTACATTACTGTACATTACCTGTGCTTAATTTGTAATGTGCATTGTGTGATGGAAAAATATATAACTGAAAAAATGTTTTGTTAATTTTAATATACAAATGGGGTTCCAAGATTTGGTTTTCTAATAAGTCAGAGCTATTTCCATAATTTCTGTGTCAGATTAGGAAATTATACTAAAATCATTGATTACACTGAATTACATTACAGTACTCTAAATGTTGATATTCTTGTTTGTCAGCCATGTCTCGACGTCGACCTCTAACAGCTGGGTCTGTCCGTTCAACTTCTGTTGTTGGAGCTCTTCGAGTTCGACCTTCCAGCCGTCCAGGATCTGCACGAGAATTGTTCGAGGCATATAATCAGCGGAGAAATGAAGAAGCATGGCGGCTGGAGGAATGGAAAAACACAGTCAATTTCTACAAAAAAAGGGAATGGCAAGCACAATTTTATAATATTATAGCTCAACCAAAGAAAAAAATGTAAGTACTTTAATAGACTTGATTCTGTAACTGTTTGAAATGTTTACTCCTAAAATTGGAGAATGTACTGTCCCTGAAAACTTTAATTTTATTAATCTGTTATCTGGGCTAGCCTCCCCCCTGGATCTTAGGTGCTGGTATCTCAGAACCTCCCAGTTGTATCAGGCTCTTGAGATTTACACAGGGCTACTGGAAACTGTGCCAGAAGCTGGTTCTCTCAGAGGCTAGATGAATCACAGCCACTAGGTGGCAGCCCAAGTTACTTGTCTCAGAATGCGTCAACCTCCATACAAATGTACTTGGTATCAATTTCGTAATGCCTCGGCTGGGATCACTTTCACTGCTACACCAAGCTTAATAGTGTTAACAGTTGTCTAGTGTAGGGTTGGGCTTTGCTATCGTATTAATATTTATGCATCACAATTATATCCATACCACCCACATTGTGTGTCCCTGGCTTTTATTTCACTATGAATTTTGGTTCAGTGTTTCCTTCCCTGGTACAGGCTGGCATTTTTTTGTTCAACAGTAGAGTTGGATTTTGGGTTCTTCCTGTATGAGTCGGTTTTTCTCAGAGGAAGGCTGAGTGTTTTATGTCCTCTTTTTGATGTTTATGTGGGCAGTTGATCTTGGATCTGGGTTTCTCCCTGATTCTATCCTGCCCAAAATACTATGCATGTTAGTGGCTTTGCAAGAATGTAACAACACCAGTGTTATGTACTCTCACAAACCCAATGTACCTTCTTGTATATAAATAAATAAATATCCCATGTGAATAAATAAATTCCTGTGTGCTCACCACCCAGTAGAGGGGGAACAAGGCTTTACAAACTCCCTTGTTCCTGAAGGATTGAGTCACACAGGTACCTTATGTAACCAGTTTCATTGATATATGGTTGTGCTTTCTCTTGAGAATTACTGAGGGACAGCCGAGAATGAGACATTTTATTACATTCACAGCACCATTTATTGTTAATACTATACCGTACTACTTTTAGTTCAGATGAAGAGGAATGGAGACGGAAAGAAGAAAAGGAACGTAATTTGGATAGGAGAAGAATAAGACTAAAAAATTTACTCCAAGAAGATGAGAAAAAATATCAGGAAGAAAGAGAACAAAATTACAAAGAATCCAGAGGAAGGACAGTCCATCATCATTTTGTCTATCCTGAGGTCAGGCATTTTACATTGCTGGTTCTGTAAGTTTATCAGCTTGTATACAATGTTCTGTTAGTGATATGTGTATTGTTCTGCTTCCAGGAAATTAGTAAGAAAGTAAAGTGAAGTGGATTTTACTACAGTGTAAACTGATCTTGAAAACGCAATTTGCAATAACGTCTTAACATGTACTGTACTGTTGTTTATTTTTTCTCATTTAATAGGTTGAGATGCTAAAAAGTCGCTTGGATGATCTGAAGAAAAAGAACCAAGATGAGCGGAGGAAGATGTCAGAGAGCTTGTCATATGAGGTTTGGAGAAAAAATAGCCAACAAGCGAGGGAGGTAAGGGCATATACAGTGCAGTGATTTTTCTGTTAGAAAAAGAATTACTGGATCTGGAGTCTCCCTATGTATAAGATTTTCCCATTTCATTTTATTTTCACTTTTTCATTCTCTATAATTATTGTTTCTGTTAGTGCAAATAATAAAATACATTTTTAATATAAAAATGACTGGCTTGTGAAAAGCTTTTTTCTTGTGAAAAGCTTTTTTCTGATAAAGGAATTCTGCTGCTCCCTCAGGTATAGTGATTCACTGTGTATTGCAGAGTACTCTCTGTCAGTCAAACAGGAAGACTTTGCAAAAGTGCCACAGGAATTATTGCATCCTTGCAAAGTCATATAAAGGTGCTACAGACTTATTGAAAACAGTATTAGTCTAACAAAGAAACTCGCATTCTAAATCCAAGCTCAAACTTTGCAGAGTCTCGGTGACACCACTCGTGTGCTTTCCATTGGCAGACTGACTCGCCTAACAATGTCCTAGCAAACATGCTTTCATCTGCTAGAGTAGTACTGTATTAACAAACCCTTGGAATAATCACGTGTACCTTTGATGTTAAGGAAAAGAAGGTAGTGATTCAATTGCATAAATCTCTGGTGTGTCCCCATTTGGATTACTGTATCCAAGCATAAAGACTACATCTTCAGAAGGACATAGCTGCTCTGGAGAAAGTGCAACACCGGGCAACAAAAATCATTCCAGAGCCAAGTCAAGTCGCATATCGGGAACGGCTGAAGGCCACAGGGCTAACAACAATGCAAACCAGGCATGACAGGGCTGATCTTATTGAAATTTTTAAAATACATGTACTGAACAATTTGGAGGATGCTGATCTGGAAAATTTCTTCAAAAGGTCAGATGTAACACAAATAAAGAGAAACTATTTCAAGTTCAACAAGCCACAATGTAGGACCGAAAACAGGAGATGCTTTTTCACCCACAGGGTTATAAACCCGTGGAACTGCTTACCCACCAAAGCCATAAATGCCAAAACTGTTAATTTTTAAAGTACAACTGGAATAGATCATAAAGGCAAATTGGGGGGACCTTCGACAAGCCGTCGGCTTCCTGTCCTCGTCAAGGTCACTAGTTTTAGTGGCTTTCAGGTGAATTCAGGCAACACCCAAGCATTGGGGGCATGGGCAGGGGGTGAGTGTCTGAACGACAATATACCATTCTCAGAAATTGGAATTTCACACGCTTATAGCATGTCTTTTGTGCATGTGTATTCTGATGCTTCCTGTGATACAGTATAAATTTTAAAGTAGCCCATGAAACAATGCAATCAAATAATGCAGAGAACTTGCTTATGCTGCAGTCAAAGTCATATGTATACAGTTTTCCAGTGCCTGGGGGTAGCTGGGCCGAAGGCATTGACTTGCAAACATTTTTCTAGGCATATTTATTATCATGTTCTAAGTCTGCTTTTTGTTAAGCAAATTGCTATTTCCTAGTGCAGTTAAAGATTTACTTAAGACAGTGATGTGTTAGGCTTATTCTTTTTCTTGGTTTAACTCATTGTTTTATCTCAGATGGAATCGGACAGATTCAATCACTTTGTTCAAGAAGCTTGGGTCAATCAGAGACAGTGGAAGGAGGATGAAAAACAACGGAGGTTAGAAGAAGATCGCAAGAAAGAAATTGAAGCAGAAGCAATCCAGCAGCATCTGGAGGAAGAGGAGCAAAGAGCAGAAGAGGAGAAACTGAAGAAGCAGGCAGAGTGGAAACTTGAATTGGAAGCTCAAGTTGAACTAATTAAGTAAGCATTATGTTCCTCAGAGTTGAAACATTTCCAACTAAGAAGCCTCAACTAATTAGGTATCTCTTATCGGAATATCATATGATTTTGTCATGTTTGTTTTCTCTATTCTATGCTTCTGTATCCTATTTGGTTGCTCCCACAAGGCAAAATCTTTCTTACCTCTGGATAAACACAGCAATAGTCAGGCAGGTCAATATTTTACACTGGTCCAACTTGGCACCTTTCAAACTTTCCTTATTGAATCATGCAGGTGCTAGGGAGACAGGGTAATACTCATTCTAGCCCAAAACGTTGACAGAAACCTGCTTGCCATTAAGGCCCAAAGCCTGCTTCTGGCTCAAATGGGCAATAGAGAGCCAAGAAACTCGCTGACGAATTTCTAAGCTACAATAGCACCTCCAAAAACCAGATCATGTCATTTCAGAAATATTCCAGCTTTGCATGAAAGCCCGATTTCCAAATTTTTTTCATGTTTTGGCTATTAATCACCAAATTTTGTGGGAGATTTTATGTATAGCAAGTGATACTATACATGTTTATGCACATTTAGACAAATAATGTATAAATAATTTTGTGTGCCTATAAATTATAATTATGCATGAAGAAAAATGGTTAACTTGCCATTTGGGGAGGGCTTTCTCAGTAGTTTTCTGATTCAATAACCTAGAACTATCCAAGCCTTCGGAGACACACATGGTCTCTGAGGGTTCATGAGTGCCTACTAGGGACAAGGGCCAGAGTCTGGTTCCCTCTATTAGGTAAAGAAGGTCCAAGAGCTATGAGAAAAACCACCAGAAAGGTGCAGTGCTCCAAAACAAGCTGCTGCTTGGGAACATTTGTAATATTAATTCTAACAATGTAAACACTCTGAGAAAATATTATGGCAATGGATGGGCTCGAATGCTGCAATCTTTCACCACTAGATGGCAACCTCTGTAATCCGGGGCTCCAGCTAGCCCGCCCATTAACCCATTCACAAGAATGGTGTCCATCCAAGTGAGAGCACCTATCCCTGTAGGGCATTTTTGCATACTGACCTCAGATAAATAGTGTTGGCCATCCCTGGAAGACCCATATGGAATTGCTTATTACTATTTAAGATTTTTGTTTCACATTCATGTTCTTTACCATCTCTTGCATGTGCCCTGATTTGTAAGCTTGCTCTAGCTGTTGTAGCCAGGGTTATCTTCTTTGGTGGTGAGCTTGTGAGGTTATCATTACCCTGCTTGTTGATGCTGGAGGTTCTTTTGTCTTTGGGCGTGTGGCATTGTTGCACTCAAACTTCTGTTTTTACAGTTCTTCCCTTCCATCTTATCTGGGCGATGGTGGTGTTAAGGTCTATGTTTTAGCATGAAATCTACATAACATCTGATCTGGAGGAAATGGGCATACAGTATATTGAAATTTTTTGTTGTTGACATTGCTAATATGTTCAAATGTTTCTGGACATGTAGATGGGTGCCCTCTAGTGCTTGGCACCATATGAATTAGCCCATATAGGGTGTTTCTGCTTGCATGTTATAAGGCAGGATGTCACCTCTGTTTGGCTACCTGGATCAATTTTCTTCTCATGCTGGGCTTAGTTTGTGCCAAGTTTGCTTATTTTTTCCTTGGTGCCCTATTCGGGTTTGGATGGTGACAGTGGAGCCCACTGTCTCTTTCAAATTGTTGTCATTATGCTACTTTTAGCCTTCTAAGCTAAAGAAGTCCCCACTTCAGGATGTGGGGACTTCTTTGGTTGATGCTTGGTTGCTAGTCTCGGGCTAGGATGGGGTCATTTAACAGACTCGCAGAGGTTGTGGTATCTTCTCTGCATCTGGAGGGCGATCAGCTTGGTTTTGGGTTTTTGTCCTCTGCAGTGGGGAGGGCTTCTGATGACTTTCGGTTGTCAGTGGGGTTTCTCTTGTTGGACGTTGCCACTGTGTTAGTCAGGTGCCTCATTCTGTGTATCTTTGTGCTCTGCATAGGCATTTAGTGCATGTGGTTACATTGTGAGCTGGTTTCCTCTGCTGTTAGCCCAGTTTTGCCCTGCTACAGGTTATGGGTACTCATTTTCTTGCTTTGTATTTTGTGGTAGGCCTGGCTTAGGTGCCAGCCCCTGAGCTTGGGGTCCCTTTTTTGAGGTTTTTGTGTTTGCTTATGGTTTGGGGCCTTAGTTCCAGGCTGTGTTGACCCACCACTCCCCTGGACAAGGCTTCCTTTTGTTGGATATTTATGATTTGCTATGTCTTGTACCATGTGACATCACCATTGGTTATTACTTGAGTGTCAGAATTCATTTATCAATCTTGTTGCCTTGGTCCTATGCATTGAGGCTCATATTTTTCAGCTGCTTTGTAGAGTTATCAAGCCTCAGGGACATTCTAGGCTCCATGATGTGTGAATATTCACATCATTGAAGACTCTTCTCGGCAATGTCTTTTGCCAATGTCAGCTTTTTAAAATTTTGTAAGTGGACACTTGCATTTACCTCCTGGTACTGTCCTTAGTGTATCTGCTTGTGGTGTGTCAGTGTCAGGATGTGCAGTTGGTGCTTCTCCAAGTGATTCTTTCCCTGTAGTTTCTGTCAACACTACTTTGCAGTCCAGGTAAGTCATGTCATGCTCTAATTTTTTATTTTAGATTCCAATGATGCTTGACTTATGGAGCAACTGAGTGAGAGTGCTTAGAAATCAGGTTTCAAGTGCATGTGAAGAACAATTATCTGAGTAGTATGACAAGATTATTTAGGCCTACAGGCCAAGCTTACATATGTAAGCAACATTCTTACATATCAAGTTATCCCCAGAGAAACTTGGCTTGGAGAATAAAATTGTAACTGCAGGTGTCACTGATGCTACCTAGTGGTTCATTTAGTAGTTAGCAAAGGCAGCCCTTGTTGATGCTAAGTAGTGCTTGGGATTACGTACTAGTTTGAGTATTCTCCAAGGTCTTCCTAATACCAGGGGGCAGCTTAAAGTGCATTTTCATGCATTTAAAGCCATATTTTTTTCAGGGAACGAGAGCGACGTGATCACACCTTAAGGGCTGAGGAGTTGACACTAGAACGAGAAAGATTACGACTTCATGAAATAAATCAGAGAAGGGAACGAATGAAGGAGTTAAGACAACGTAAAGAACTAGAGTAAGTACAGTAATGTAAATTATTCTCAACATAATTTGACAAGAAGAGGCTGACATCATTGATAAATAACTTAATGCATTGTTGGAATTGAAGCTTTCTTTTAGCATTTGTTAAAATATAGCATTAGAAGGAAGATTTATATCATTATTATTACTACCCCCCATTTCACACTTTTATGGGGTGGTGAGGCTCATGCTTACCTACTGATGTTTACTTATCAGTGATTACAAGGTACAGTATTGAAAGCTTGCTCTTTATCTCCTAGCCTTTTGTATCTGATGTGGTTTTAAAAAATTTTTACATAAAAGTTTTTTTCTGTGGAGAGCCCCTTTTGGCTTCCTGGAGCTATCAGACTAATATACAAATCATTAGACAAAGGCATTAGTCTATGGAGTCCAGCCTACCGGGGACCATGAGTCAGAATCTGGCCCCCTCAGAGAGGTGCAGGGAGCATTGGCCCTGGAAAAAACCCCTGTGGTTGGGGGTTTTCCTTATCTGCCATCGACCGGGGTTAGGCACCCAGAAAGGTAGGCATAACAAAACAGACCCTACATGGTAAGAAAATTGCAACTGAAAACCAAACAGAGAGGCAGTTACAAGCAAAGGTCACACTCCATTGTCGCGTCGTTCATCCGTGCACCCGTTCTCCACATGCCAGCAACCCAGCCACTCCAGTTTGTCAGCTAGTGCGAACCGGGGCAGACTTATCACCATTTGTATAGTGATCAAGTGGCTTCCTTGATGGTGTCCCACCTGAGAGGTTCATCTCGATGACAGTATGATGTTTCCTGTCATTCTTTCCGCCATTTTCTCTCTCTCCGTAGGTTGTCTTCTCTTTCTGATCAGGTTGTCTTGCCTTTCTGTCTTGGCTTTTTCAGGACCATCATTTCATGCTTAATACTGTCGCCACATATTGTGCATCGCTGGTGGAGCTGGTCCAGCTTGCATTCTGGGTGGGTGTCGCTTCTGCCCCATTCCGTAAGCTTTCTCGTGCTCTGTTTCACCTCCGGCCTGCTCATGCACCGCCTGAGCCATCCATGTTCATGAACTGGGTGCTCTCCTATCTTTCTTCTTCTCGGTTCGTGGTGGCCCCTTCGGTTCAATTTTTTTTTCCAAAGCTCTGTTTCTGTTGGCATTGGCCTCTAGGAGTTGGGTCGGTGAGCTTCATGCTCTTCTTATTTATTTATTTATTTATTTATGCATATACAAGAATGTACATAAGGAATGTGAGGATACAAATATGGTAATTACAGTCTTGTAAAGCCACTAGCACGCGCAGCGTTTCGGGCAGGGCTTCTTCGGCGTAAAGGTTTCTGCTCCTTCAGTTGGTTTGTTCAGTTGCAGCCTTCTCCTTCTTTTCTGGCGAAGAATGAGGTGGTTTCTTTCTGGAGGGACCCTTTTGTCATTGATGCTTGGTTGGTCAGGCTGGGGGTGCATCACGTGTTGTGTCCAGTTCTGACTCTTCGCCGTTACTTGCACGCCTCGGCTTCTGTGGCTGGGGATGCACTTTGGATTGATCCGGTTTCCCCCATTCCCTGTTCACGTGTTCGGGATCTCCGAGATTGTCCGCAGTGTTATTTGGTCTAGCCAGCCTGCAGTCTATCCTCATACCCATGACGTTAGGAAGTTTGCTGCATTGGCTGCCATGTTTGGCAACATGTCATGGGGCTGATATTCAGGCGCGGGGATTTTATCGGTCGTACAGGGTCCTGGCCGCCTGATATTTGGTTAACGTTCCTGCTCCTGGGCGTTTATGTGTTGCTTTGGGTCGCAGGTTGCAGCCAGTTGTCTCGACTTCGAATTGAGGAGTGTGTGGCGGCTGCCTCCCGGGTAAGTCCCTCTTTTCCTTATCTTTGGTTATGTAGCTCCAGGGAGCTGAAGGGGCTCCCCACAGAAAATCGGCATTGAATGTAATGAAATGCCATTTTATGGGTGAGCCCCAGAGGTTCCGTGGAAACCCGCCCTCCCGCCGGTCGACGGTTGTTTGATACTTAACTTCCGAACTGGAGTGGCTGGGTGACCGGCATGGGGGGGGGGGCTGTGTGGATGAGCGATGCTGCAATGGAGTGTATCATTTGCTTCTTTCCTTGGGATTGGAGGGCATTCTGCTTCTCTGTTAGAATTTTCTTACAATGTGGGATCTGTTTTGTTATGCCTACCTCAGACAATGGCAGATAAGGAAACCCCCAACCACTCCAATTCATCAGCTAATGGCCCAGGGCCATTGCTCCCTGTGCCTCTCTGAGGGGGGCCAGGTTCTGGCTCGTGGTCCCCAGGAGGCTGAACTCCATAGACTAATGCCCTGGTCTAATGATTCGCATATTAACCTGATAGCTCTAGGGAGCCTCTGGGGCTCACCCAGAAAATGGTGTTTCATTACATTCAATGCTTTTTTTTTTTTTTTTTTTTTTTTTAGTTGTGGACAAAAATGGCTTCAAAACTTCTTCTTTCAATGCATTATGTTTGCCAACCACAAGGGCATAAGATTTTTTTAAATTTTTGTTTGGGGCCCCAAGCTATAGCCTGGTACCAGCCAAGCCTTTGGTGTCACATCAGGCTCTGACAAATCATAAATACCTACGAATCATGAATGAGAACCAGAATCTGGGGTTGACCCCCCCCCCCATCCCTCGCAGAGGCAAAAGGGAGCAAGGGAAGTAGAGATCACGACATGATCGAGAAAAAAACACGAAAAATGTGTAGCCCTCCAAGACGAATAATTGCATGGAAAATATTAGTAACCCTGACTATGTAAAGACTTGTCACCATGGTAGAATCACCTGATGGCCACACTGGCAAACTGGGGCTGTATCCTCAATCAGCCAGCACACTGACACTTAGGAACCCTTCAGGTTCCCAAGTGTCAGAATTCATTGTTGTCTCTGTCATGCAAGTTTTTGTCTGCTAGAGGAGGAGGAGGAGGCCCTTGGGGGCTTCGAGTTTACCTTAAGCTGTTTCATGGTAAATCTTTAATTCACAGTGGTAGTTGCTTCCTAACTTTGAGAGATTGATGCTGCACATAGATTTGTTTTCTTGGCCTTCATTGCAGTTTAAGTTGGGATTCTGCCTCTACTTCCCCACTGGTGCATTTCTGGGTCCTGCTAGGTGACTCAGACTTGGCCTCACTCTACAGGTTTCTGTCATCTTGTCTGAATCCATGTGTTTCATGGGCAACCTTCCTCTGGTTCCTGCTGCAGAACTAGAACCATGCTCTGGAAATGTACTCTTATTCTTTTGTGTATGGGTAGGCTTCCCCATTGTTTGAATTTTTTCTTTGTGTCATGAGGTCCTAGGTTCTTCCTGACTTACAGAATTTTTTTTTTTTCTGTATTTGCTATGTGCAAGTGACACACCTAATAGTAAGCCAGCACAGCCTAGGCAACACAGCTGTGAAGGCTGACCTTGGCACACTGATAGAAGCACGTGAACCACCAGTGTGCTCTACCAGCCAGTCACTCCTGACCTGAGTTAAGACAGGAATGTCCCAAGACACCCGATTCACCCAGGGCGAGGGCCACTACAACTGAGTACCTCCTCTAAGGAAAGGATTGCTGAATGCTCCAGGAAAGATAACTCTGACAATGCAAGGACAGCACTAGGGAGTATGCAGAGAAGGTAACGCTGTGCACATGCAATGCCAAGCACACTCAAAACTTGGCTCATGTTACACTGCAGTGTACAGGAAAGCCACCAAGGGAAAACACCACCACTTAGCCAAAAAAGCAGAACACTGGAGTCAGCACTGAAAAGGCAATCTGTACCCACTACATCAGTTACAGAACTGTGACCTGGGACCCTAACTCACAGTGGGCTACTTTTCCCCTCTTTCCAAATGAGTGGGAAAGGTGGGGCGAATGAGCTCACTAGAGTTCTAAAAGAATTTGATTGTTTACTTAGTTGGAAGAGTTCTTTAGGTTGGGTTTGAGACTTTGGTCTCATTCGAAGCTTGCAGTGGTTTATTTTGACTCCTTTACTTTCTGATTGCCTTGCCCAGAGAGGTGGCAAAAATAAATGTCCCTGCTCCCTGCACCTATGTGAGTGGACCAGATTCTAGTGCTGGTCCCCAGTAGGCTTATAGAACTCTATGGCTTATGTGACCTAATAGATGGTACCATTTTAGCCTATAGTAGCTTCAGGGAGCCACCGGGACTTATCCAGACATTGGCGTTTCATTACATTCAACACTGTTTTTTTTTTTTTTTTTTTGCAAACAGAATGGTAAATGGTTAAGTACACTTAGGTAATTACAATTGGGCAACTACACATAAGCAAATCCCCAGTAACAGTAGACACTGGAAAATGGATAAGGTATAAACATTAAAACTTTCCAGGAATGCAGGATGAGTGTCTGAGGTTTCTGCACCACAGGGAAGGATGTTTAGTCGAGCCACATTTTTGTTTGCAAAACAAACACGAAGGGCCTTGGCCAAATTGAGTGCCCAGCCACAGCACATATTGCACAGTTGTTGGTAAACAATACTCTGAAACCAGCAAGAGGACTGCTGGATACATGTTGAATGACCATTAAGATTAAAGAACACCAAGAAAAATACAGAGAAGGTGCACATAGAAGACTCAAGCTCTTAACTAGTTGAAGGAACCATTGCTTTTCCAGCAGTGATTGATGTAAAGAAATCTCTTGTGTACTGGAAAGTGTAATTTACATCAGGGATCCAACCCCTCACTGGAAGCCCAAATGCTAGAGAGTTGTATTTAGCTACACTCGCCAAACCCAGTCTCCTAATGGCCTGAAAGGGCAAGAGGAGAAATGAACCAATAAAAATTTAAATAATAGTTATACAAATAGCAACAGTAGTGTTAGAATCACGTGTTATGAAACATACACGTTTATCAATTGTACTATTATAACATACATGAGGATCAATTGTACTATTACAACATACACACAGATCAATTGTACTACTGCAGCGTACACACATCAAATGTACTACTGCAACTTGTGTATTGAACAATTGTTCTTATCTACTGTTAAATATTGGATAGTTTTTCAAAAATTTTATGTGAAATTTATTATTATTAATATATTCATGTGTAAATGTTCACATTATGTCATACTGTAGAGTTTTTATGTATGGTTATGTTAATATGTCCCTAATAATTAATTTTTGTATTGCTAGTAGTTAATATCTTGACATTGATCCAGGACAAACGTTTGGGTTTCAGACCAGCGGTGTTTGATGAACTTGATTTGTTATGTTTATGTATTAATTAGTACTAGAGTAAATTCCATATTTGCAGATTATTTTGGGCACGCCAGTATCAGCTCAAGTTGAAGAAAAAGGCTGCAGATATTCAACAAGAACTATTGGAGGATGAGGGTATTGTAGAGGACTTACTCAGAGGTTCTACAGATGAAGACCCAAATGAACAGGTAATATATGCTGTACCTTATTTTCATGTTTTATATACTTGGTGAACTTCTTAAGAAATATCACTACAGTACATTGAATGGAAGATAATTAATACTCAGGGGTATAATTTTAAGAAGTGCAGCTTGCTCCTTGTAAACAGTATAAGGTAGCCCTCACTTTATGCAGGGGGAGGTTAATATTCTGGTAAAAACTGTGCAAATCAATAACTGAATAAATCAGACTTAAAGACTTGTACATTTGACCAAATAGTACTGTGTATGGGGAAAAAAATTTGGATTAGATTCCAGAGAGATTCCTCTTTTCTTGGACTACAACTGTCAAGCCGTCTCCACATCTGTATTGTACCTGGGACTTGATCCACAAGGTCAGTCCTCTTTATAGGGAGCTGAGTAAATGAGTGTGTGTGTGTACTTTTGGGTAACATGTGGCACTGTTGCTACCCCACATGGTAGGAAATTGCAAAAACCCGTGACCGAACAGAGAAACAGAACTCCCCAAAGGAAAGCAAAGGAAATAAACAAACAAGGAATTGTCACTCGCCACCGCCACACTGCTTGTCTGCGCCGCTTGTCTTGCTCCGGGGGGAGCCCCAGATGTATGTGCCGGCTACTCACACCTTGGTTTGTGGCTGAAGCGTTCTGGGGCGGATGTTGACTCTGGCTTCAGATTCTAGCTGGATTTTGTGCACTTGGGGTGTTTCCTGCTGTTTGTGGTGCATTGGCCAGGAGTAACAGTGTACTGAGGGCTGCATGTGCTTAGGGCTGTTTTCCCTAAGCGGACTGTGAGTACTACCCTTGGGTTCTAGGGTTACCTTCCCTGGGGCCTTCAGGCTTCACTTCCATGGCTCCCCTCTCCCCCTCCTGGGGAGGATTGGGCTGTGCCGACAAGTGGCGTGGCGGCAATGAATGACGATTGCTTGTTTCCTTTGCTTTCCTTTGGGGAATTATGTTTCACTGTTCGGTCTTAGTTTTTTGCAGTTTCCTACCATGTGGGGTTTGTTTTGAGATGCCTGCCTTTCTGGGTGCCTAACCCCAGTCAATGGCAGACAAGGAATACCCCCCAAAAACAAAGGGGGCTCCTTAAGCCATTGCTCCCTGTGCCTCTCTGAGAGGGCCAAGTTCCTGCTCCGTTCCCCAGTAGGCAGAACGCCATTGACTGAAGTCCCAGACTAATATAGCATATATCGGTCTTATAGCTCCAGGGAGCCTCCGGGACTCGCCTAGAAAATGGCGTTTCATTACATTTAATGCTAGTTTTTTTAGTATGCCATTTGACTAATTCAGTAATACAAAATGTAAACTTTTTCAGATGCAACAGTCCCTCTTTTTGTACATTTAACCAAATAGTTGGTACAAGTGCTTTAATTTTAGGAGAATGGGCTTGTTCCTATCATGCCTGGCTGCTTCCTGTTCATGTTGGGCCTTATGTCTTAGCTGGGGATGAACTTGGGTTGTGTAAGTACTTGTTCATATGTTTAGCTTTTTATGCCTTCCTTCACCAGGCATATATAGTGAGGAGGTTTGGTGGTTGACTAGTGAAGATGCTTCCCTAGTGCCTGGAATGCCTGCCTGTGTGTGTGTGGTGATCCAGGTAGCTAATCTAACCTGTTGGGTTTCTTTTTATTGTCTGTGTTGTCGGTCAGATTTTGGATTCCCAATCCAATGCCAAACTTGATTCTGTGGTTTGTAGTTGATTATGTCATTCTGTTGCATTGTAGACCTGTTCCCTTGTAGTGGTGGCTGTTGGCCTATATCCCTATCCTGTAGGTTCTGGTTGTTTTTGGTCTGTGCCCCCTGTGTCTGACCTGTGTTACTTCTGGTTCCTGGGTTGGGTTTCATGTGGTTTCCATTCTGTGTTCCTGCCAGTTCCTAGGCTGGGTGCCTTCTGAATTGTAAACCCTCTAGTTTCTGAGCTGTGTGGCATCCAGTACCCAGAATGTGTTCTAGCTACTTCATACGCTGTACACCTGTCAGATCCTGGGATGAGGTCCTGTTGGTTCTTAGGTTGGATGCCCAGGGGTTCCAAGAGTGAATGTCTAGTGGTTCTCACTCTGCTTGTCTGCCGGCTGGATTCTGAACTGGGTGCCTGATTGACTTTGTTTGTTCATGTGTTATATTTTTGTGCCCTTTGGTTCTGGATCTCTATGGCAGCTGGTTGCCAGTCTGTATGCCCCCGTAATTGATAGGCTTTTTTCACATTTGTTCCAAGGGTATGTGCCTGCCAATTTATATATAGGCTGTTTGCATGTTGTTTTGCAGGAACAGTACCTTGAAATATTGTTTCAACTGTTTCAAGAACCTGTTGGGACCATAACTCGGAAACCATGCAACATCTGATAGAGTGGTTTTCTGAGTATGGTCCCACTCACACACCACATGTTTGTCAGTTTCTATTTATTTCATGGTTTGATTTTTGGTGATTCCCAGGCTGCATGGCCAGATGTTACTGGGCTGAGGGCACTGGTATGTCTGGCCTGGATGCACGGAGGTTCTCGTACAATGTGCCAAGAGCCTCTCTTCAGATATTTTGCTTGCCTTGCTGTGGACCTTATTTTCTTGTGGGACCTCGGGCTTGGTGATGCTCTGGGTTTTGTCTTGCCCTGCACTGTGTGCTGTGCCCACAGGTACCTGAAATTGGCTAGTGTTTAAGCTCAGGGAATCTAATAAGACACAACCCTAAAGGTGGCATTTTATTACGCTATGATCCACTGAATTTTGTCATATTTCTTTAAAAGCAGGGATTGATTTACTGTACTAAGATGTAAAGTGACTTAAATTAATGTGAATGGCTCAGTTGACATGCATTATTTTTCCAGATGAAGCAGAGAAGAGCAGAAGCAGAATGGATGAAAACAGTTCTAAGGGAGCAACGTCACTTGGAAATAATGCGTGAAAAGGAGTACGAGTTAATATTCAGGTGTGTGATGTACCATACTGGGGATCATTCTCTTAATTTTGGTTAGCAGTACGAGTATTAAATATTAGTGTAGAGTACAGAATCACAGTTCATTTGAGTATGAATTACATAGATGTAATGTAAGAAATAGCATAAGGTTCTCATGCATATTAAAGAAGGTTTTATCTAATGCAGTATGAGTTTAGACTCTGACTAGACAACATTCTTCAGCAAGCAGTTACTGAGAATGATAACAGTGTACATGGTTTTATATGGCTTCCACAGTGAAGAGGCAGAGAGATTGTGGCGACAGAGACAAGCTGAGTGGGATAAAGAGCAGAGAGCACGTGATAAGCTAATGGCTAATGTCATTAGGGGATTACAGCAGCAGGTAGGATTCTCACATTTTCATTATTCCTCTATGAAATTAAATGATCTTTAGTATATTAATGACAAGATAAAGGGTGACTATTTAAAATTACATATTGTAGGTCAGTTTTAAAAATAAAGCATTGGATGTAATGAAATGCACCTCTTTCTGGTCAGCCTTTTAGCTCCATGGAGCTAAATAGCAAGTAATGCTAATGCTTTAGATCGTACCAGGCACCCTGAGAGTTATGCAGAGCTATAGGTACCAAGACCAGACTCTGGTGTTAACAAGGCAAGGAAAGAATGAGGATCAGGATTTGACCCAAAAATCGAGGAAAACTAGCCAGAAAGTCCAGGCAAAACTAAACAAACTACTGCTTGAAAGAACTAAAAAGATGAAAACAATGCAAATGCTAGTTTGCACCAGGTGAACAATCCTAGTTTCATCTCGCCTGGCCACATGAGGTCCAGATCTGCTTACCTTTCTCACTTATGAAATGACTCAATGAAATGGCTTAAGGCACAAGGGTAGGGCATGGGAAAGAAGAGGACTCCGAACCTGAAAATAATCACGGCATCCAAATACACCAACACCAAAAAGTGAAAGCTGAAGAATTCAGCTCTAATTTGGGTAGAAACCCCATTATAACCCAACCAGTAGAGAAAATGCAGTAAACAAACTAAATGCACCGAAATTGGCTTCCGGGCTGTTAAATTATAGATGTGGCAGGTGGTGAGGAATTATCATCTATTCACACACCTAACCCTGACAGTTAGACAATTAGGAAAGTTGCATGAAGCCACAGATGAGATAGTCTTTTAATGCACCCAGAAGGCACTCAAGATCCAAACTCACATGAGTCAGGGTCAGGCACAACATACACGCAAGCACACAACTAACTGTATCAACTCTTCCTTGACTAGTCTCATATTGGGCCCCAAGTACTACCTAGAGGTGAGGCAACTCAAAAGGCGCTGATGCGTAGAGTAGGAATCCATACCCTTTCTAGGAAAATGCTCCCTGGGGGGGGGGGGGGGGGGCGCGCCAAGAAAAATGGAAAACAACTGCCAGGAAAGATAACCCTGAACCAAAGTTGGAGCAATATAACTGCCATGGAACATGCAGTGTGGTTGGTATAAACACAAGCTTGAAGTGAAAAAAATATAACAAACACAAAGTCATGACACAAAACAATCATACCTGCCAGTTAAAATCAAAGTCACTTAGCTTCATAAAGTGACAAGTCCCCAACAGAGGTCATATAACCTAAATAGAGCTAGGTATGCAAGCAAGATGGATGGTGGTTCAGGACTTTGCAAGCCCAGGGTTACCATCTTGGTCAGCCTTGCAAAAGTTGGAGCCTGTGTTGTTTACCTGGTGCCAACTAACATTTTCAATGTTTTTCTCTCTATATATTTCTTTCATGCAGTGGTTTGTTTTCTTTCCCCTGAACTTTCTGGACAGGTTCCTCAGATTTTGTTTTTTTCCTAGCTTAAACTCTGGGAGTTATTAGGAAAGCCAACTTTTAAAAGCACTGATAATAGACAAAGTACCAGACAGTACCCTGGTCATGTGTATACGGCAGGTGTACAGTTTAGGAATATATTTTTGTATATTACTGTATAATTATATTGTTAGTTTGCTAATTATATGTAATGAAAATACATTATGCATTTATTTCTAAAAAAAAAGTCTTTTCTTTTGTGGTATTTTCTTAATTCATATCCTTTATTTGAACATTTTAGGTACAAGACAGTTTTTCAAAAAATGTTCATGAACGTACATTGCTTGATGCAGAAAAAAAACAAATTCAACGTTCAATTATTGAGACACGAGACAAGATGCAACAGCTCGAGGAACAAGAAGCTGAGAGACGACGGACACAGAGATGTGTTTCTGCCATGTCTCAAGTAAGTTATTTGATATTCAAGGAACTCTAATAATTATTTAATAATTTGTTGTTCATATTTTCTTTTTGAGCTTTCTCCTTCTGCTGCTTCCTGAGGAAAGATCTGTGCTCAGTGATGAGGATTATCTGCAGGATGAAGCTGTACATTCATCACAGGGAACTTTTCAACCTATATCTGCAAAGCCATAAAAGTGGTAGGGAGTCACTGCAGAACATTTAGTCTAGTCCTGGATGACCAACAATGGTTTATTTTTAAACCAAAAGCCCATCTGAACCCTCTCTTGACATTACTAGTGACTGCCAAGGGAGGATTTCAGCTAATTACTAGTTGGCCTCTTTGAATATCTTTGAAAATTGTCACCAGGTGGCGTGTGCATGCACGCACGCACAGCAGGGCCTGGTAGCCTGGTGGATAGCACACAGGACTCCTAATTCTGTGGCGCGGGTTCGATTCCTGCACCAGGCAGAAACAAATGGGCAAAGGTTCTTTCTCCCTGAATGCCCCTGTTACCTAGCAGTAAATAATAATTGGAGTTAGTCAGCTGTCATGGGCTGCTTCCTGGGGTGTGTGTGTGTGGTGTGGAGAGAGAAGAAGGAAAAAAAATAGTAAACAGTTGATTGACAGTTGAAAGGCGGGCCGAAAAAGCAAAGCTCATCCCCCCGCAAACACAACTAAGTGAATACTAAGTGAATACACTCACACTCTCTCTCACACACTCTCTCTCTCTCTCATACACTCTCTCTCTCTCACACACTCTCTCTCTCTCTCACACACTCTCTCTCACACACTCTCTCTCTCACACACTCTCTCACACACTCTCTCTCTCTCTCACACACTCTCTCTCGCTCTCTCACACTCTCTCTCTCACACACTCTCTCTCGCACACACTCTCTCTTTCACACTCTCACACTCTCTCTCACGCACTCTCACACTCTCTCTCTCACACACACTCACACTCTCTCTCTTGCACTCTCTCTCTCACACACACTCACACTCTCTCTCTCACACTCTCTCACACTCTCTCCCTTGCCCTTCAAGAAGACCTGGACAAAATAAGTATATGGAGCACCACTTGGCAAATGGAATTTAATGCAAATAAATGCCATGTTATGGAATGTGGAATAGGAGAACATAGACCCCACACAATCTATAAATTATGTGAGAAATCTTTAAAGAATTTTGATAAAGAGATCTAGGGGTGGTTCTCGATAGAAAACTATCACCTGAGGACCACATAAAGAATGTTATGTGAGGAGCCTATGCCACACTTTCTAACTTCAGAATTGCTTTTAAATACATGGATGGCAAAGTACTAAAGAAATTGTTCACAACTTTTGTTAGGCCAAAGGTAGAATATGCAGCGGTTGTGTGGTGCCCATATCTTAAGAAGCACATCAACAAACTGGAAAAGGCGCAAAGACATGCTACTAAGTGGCTCCCAGAACTTTTACGAGGAGAGGTTAGAGGCATTAAATATGCCAAAACTAGAAGATAGAAGAAAAAGAGGTGATATGATCACTACATACAAAATAATAATGAATTGATAAAATCAATAGGGAAGATTTCCCGAGACCTGGAACTTCAAGAACAAGAGGTCATAGATTTAAACTAACTAAACAAAGATGCCGAAGAAATATAAGAAAATTCCCTTTCACAAACAGAGTGGTAGATGGTTGGAACAAGTTAAGTGAGAAGGTGGTGGAAGCCAAAATTGTCAGTAGCTTCAAAGCGTTATATGACAAAGAGTGCTGGGTAGACGGGACACCACGAGCGTAGCTCTCATTCTGCAACTACACTTAGGTAATTACACACACACACATACACATCCAGGTCCCCACTCCTGGACCATCTTGCATATGCTTAATGATTGTGTCCTAAAGCATTCAACAGGTAAGTATGATCTCTATTTGTTATATGGAGCTTTGAATGGTAATTTCAAGTCTTGGCTGATAGGCAGTGCCTGCAGTCACAGCAGGGCCCTAGCTTTGAGAGCATATGTCCATCAGTCAGGAAGTTTAGGCATTTGATGCACATGGTCTGGTCAGCAGTTTTTCACCCATGTGGAGGAAGGATCAATACCACTCAGGTCATGTCAAGATGTAGTTTATGGAGCATTTAATATTTTACTAGATTCCTTAGATTTTGTCTGCCCATAGGATGATATGTATACAAGCTTAGGGTCTGTAGGAACTAGGTCTGGACTTTGCTTCTATCTTGTACTACCATTGTTTTGTATCCCAGTGTTGGGAGTTTTGAAAAAGCATATACATCACTTGGCAAAACTCTGCTTAATGCAGAGTCTGTTTCTCCAGAGAGTTTACGATATTTGTTCGTGGGCAACTGCCTGTTTGCAGGTGACACTTGGCAGTCCTTGTGATCCAAGGTAGGGCTTGAAAAAGGTTTGCATATTTATGAGTGAACTCTGTAGTTACTCTGAGATGGTTTAAGCTTTTCTCCAATACCTCCCTAACACTAGTATGATCCAACACAAATCTTTCAAAATATGTTGTCATTAAAGAATCTGACTGCCTTGACCAACATATTCCTGTCCAATTAGACCTTCAATTATTTTGGCTTAATGAGCATCCATGTGGTGAAACTAAGAAACAGCAAAATTTTAAATTCCATCCACACTTCTGTGGAAATAAACATTACATTCACCTGGGCTCTAGGAGACTCGAACTGTGGACCTTACGTGTGTGAGGCCGAAGCTCTATCAACCGAGCTAGTGAGAAGTCTTAATAAGGAAAGTTTCCAGAAGCAGCAGGATGCTGCTTCTGGAGTTTTCAACTTTAACCTGACTACTACTGAAACTTGGAGAAATTAGTGATCCATGCCCACATCATATAAAAATTCTTCTGAATTTTGGAAATCATATAATTTAAAAATGGATTCAGTTCCAATTAATCCACATTTTGAAGTTCCACTGTACACTATGGTTAGGAAATTGAGAGGCATTGAATATTATTACTGGCCTTCTATGTTCTATATTTATATGAAACTAATGTGCCATATCTCATATTAACTTGCATAATTTCAGCCTTCAACAAAGATAATACAAGAGGCAGCTAATCTCAGAAGAAATCAAGAGGAGGAGCAGCAAAAATTAAAGGAACATCGTCAAGAAATTGAGCGCTTAGAACACCAAATGCAACAACTCTGGGGCCCGCAGTATGCTCCACCAGTAAGTTATACTGTAGCTGAATTTTAGGATTAATTAAGGGTCCAAGTAGGACAGTCGGGTTCATTCTCGACTCACACTAGAGAATTCCGGGTTCGAATCCCAGGCGGGACAAATGGTTGGGTGCACTTCCTATTACCAAATGTCTCTGTTCACCTAGCAGCAAGTAGGTACTCAGGAATTAGTCAGCTTGTTGTGGAGCTGCATTCTGGGTGGGGTCAGTAATTTGACTTTTGGGGGGGGGAAGGTTAGCTTGATATAAGCCTATTGTGTATGAATACACTCTGGCTGCTTTTCTGTATTCCTTAGGCGGGATACCGGAAGCCAAAAACCTCCGGAAGGATGGGACTGAAGAACCCAAGGGAACCCGGACCCGAACCCGGGGAGGAGCCAAACCAATATCAAATTCATACAGGGAAGTGGGATAAGAAAACTCCTTCCCTCCCCTTCCCCATGCAACAACAAGCCCCATGCAGAAGGGTACCAACACATCAAACAGGGCCCAAGTACTCCAAGTCAACTCCTCCCTAGCCCTGGGATTCTCCACGACACGACCCGGGGCAAAGCTGTCCTCCAAATCCTCCACCTCGAAAGAAAAGGCAGAGTCGACCGGAAAAGCAGGGAATAGGGGGGAGTTCGCTGATCAGACCCCGAAGCCCTGATCAGAGGAGCAGGCTCAAATGCCTCTGTCGCCGAACCGGAATGAGCAACCCCTAAGACCGCCTGAACGTCACCACCCTCATTTAAACCCTGCCCTGACTCTGAAACCCTCAGATGTTTGGGAGCCAGAAGCAGGAGGGAAGGAGCTGGGCAAACCAAAGCAGGGGAAGGATGAGGGGGCGCAGACGAAACCAAGGTCGAAGCGACCAATGCCCCCCAAGTCCGGGTCCTTACAACCAAAGTGAGGCAGCCACGGGGCATCCGAAAAGGCAACCAACCTATAGCGTTGCAGCAACCGAAACAGTGCATGCAATGCCTATGCTGCCTGCACCCTAGTATCAGAATTAGTGGAATGGGTGAATTGGAGAACCAGAAAGGAACACCACTCGCAGGACTCAAAGTCAAAGGTGTCACCGACCCAACAGGCAGCATGACGGAGGCAAAACCAGTGAATGTCACCTTGAGACAAGGGGACAGAGCAGCCTTCAAACTTGCATAAGGTGAGATGGGACCCAGAGGACACATCTATTGGACCAATGAGCCCCATTGGGGTTTTCCAGGGCCCTTAGGCCGACTGCTAAGGGAAGCCAAGGCAAGGTACCAAGAGATCAACTAAAAGCTGAACTCCTGCGACGTGTACAATCACAGGGACTTAGTTTGGAGCCACCAGAATAACAAAAGGTGGACAATAATCAAGGAGCAGAACCCCCACCAGGCTACAAAGAAAAAGAAAAACCCACGCAAAAGTACAATGTCTCCAGGAGGAACAGAACCAGCCACTGTGTAATAGGTGACAAGCTGCACAGTACCTTGCGCCCCTACAAGCGACGATACTACCTCCTATCCAAGGTCAAACAGCGGAAATGAAAACTCTAGCTGACCCCAAGGGCAGGCAATCACTGAGCAGCAAAAGAGCCCTATGGGGGTAGTTCCCGAATGACTTGTGGAAGTCAACCCCAAGCCACATGGGCAGTACTTACAGGGCACCTAGGAAAGGTGGCCCTAGGCGCTTGCAGCCTCAGTACTCCATGAATTACTCCTGGCTCGCACACCACCACACAGCAAAACACCGGAAAGGTACAGCACTGCTCAGAGACAGAAGCCAGATTGCCACACAACACATCAGCCTCAGAACTGGGGTTGGATGGCCGGTGCGATGGGTCTGGGCTCCCCCTTTACCCTTTTGGGGATGAGGAAGCTACACAGACAGCGGCGAGGTGGTGGTGGTTGTGACGTCATGCGTGTTTGCTGGTTTTCAGATTGTGGAGTTCTGCTTGATAATTCGGTTTTTGGTAGCAATTTTAACCAGGTGGAATTTGTTTTGAGATGCCTACCTTTCTGGGTGCCTAACCCAGTAAATGGCAGACATAGAATTCTTCTAACCACATGGGGGTTTCTATAGGCCATAGCTCCTCGTGCCTCTCTGAGGGGGGCCAGGTTCTGGCTCTTGGTTCCCAGTAGGCTAAAACTCCAATCGAATTGACTGATGCCACAGTCTAATGCATACATATCAGCCTGGTATGGCTCTGGGGAGCCTCTGGGACTTATCCAGAAAATGACATTTCATTATATTCAAAGCTGGTTTTTTGAGCAATATCAGAGATCTCTGGGGATAAAGTGGCTTTGATTTTATAAACTTGGGATGGGATGAGTGGTTACCTGATCTTAATGAGGGTGACACATCACCTGCTTCCATCTTAACCAGTTGCTACACAGCAGGTTATTCATGTTTATTAGATGTTATTAGTCATACTGTATATATGCTGTAGTCGAGAGGTTAAGAGAGGACCAAGAGATGATATTCTACTCCCAGTCATGACATGTGCAAGTGGAACTTGGGTATGGAAAAGGGCATAGTCAGAGATTCAAGCAGTTGGAATTAGTTTCTCAAAAAAGTACAGTAGTTGGAATATGTGGGATATACAGTATATAGCAATAAGAAAGTACAGTATATGTGATAAGAGTGAAAGGGGTGTGAGAATGTGTTGAGTAAGGTGGAGTGTAACACACTTAGAGGTTATGGGCATGTTAGTAAGTTGCCTGAGAATTGTTTAATGAGAAGTCTACAGGTGCCCTCTTTTTTATATGCCTGGTACCCATCATAGCACATCTGTCCCTGCAAAGACTACTCTCTGAAAGCTCAATAGGCTTTCCTTGGGACATTTGATCCATAAGGGAAGCTGTGATTTGTGTTTAGTTTCTAATTATACCTCTTGATTCAGATTATGCCACCTACCTTATTATAATTATTTTTACTAATTACCTGCCTTGTTATGTTTATTTCCAATGTATCTAACTGGCGTATTCTCTTTATTTTCAGCGCTATGGTCGCAAGAGGTTTGCATGGTGAGCATGCTAATACAGTATATTTGACAGACTTGTAGGTACCGCTGTGAAGTGCCCTACAGAGCAAAGTTCCTGTTTATCCAATAGATGGTTATACAACAAATGTTCATTATTAATAGATGACCAAATTAAGACATTTATTTTAGTATAGTATTCTACCCGTATATTACTGATGAAAGATAGTTTTTGTTTAGCTAACCAGAGCGTAGTATGCTTATATCAGCATTTATCAAATGTGTTGCTATATGGCCTTATTTTGCTATGTTATCAGTTAGTTATTCAGCAATATAATATATATAGTATCAAAATACAGTATACAGTATCAGGCAGATAGATTATAAAAATAGATAATTAGGCAGATAGATTAAAGTAGATTATCAGGCAGAATAATAATATGATGAGGTGAAAAGGTTTTTAAAATTTTCTTGGATTTGATTTTTGTACTGGAAAATAATTATATTTGTATTATTAAATTAATTAGTTTGTTGTCCAAGTTGTTCCTTTTGTTTCTTGGGATCAACACCATATTAATACTGAAAAAACTCGAGACAAGTATGTATTATACTCAGATTTGTATATTCTTTATGTAGCTTGTAATTTTTTTATTTTTTTTTTATTTCAAAATGTAGGTCTTGTTTACATTATATATTATTACTATTTATTTGCATAGCATACAGTGTCACAAAAAGTATCAAGTACTGTACCGACAAAAATAGTCAAGACCTGTACTGGTGGAGATTTCATTTACAGATGTGTGGCTACAAGAGCTGGCTTAGGAGTACATCATCTGTAAATAGCCTCTACATAATATATTACATAATACTCAGAGGATTATATTCCTATGCTTTTTATAGTATACATGTGAATAAACTATAATATAAGCATTTATTATTGACAGGAAATCTTGTGTTATCAAGGTGTATTGTTTCTCTGGGGTTCTCTCGGAAATCATGATGCATTACTGCAAATAGTTTTGTATACTGTATATACCTGTCTAAAAAAAAAATTATAGGATAGTGATATTATAGGTTATTGTGGGACCAATTTTAGGCATCACCATATTGCTTATGCCAAATTTCTGTCTATCTTTTTTAAGAGTAAATATACTGTACTGTATATACTATTAAGTGGTTACGAAATTTATGGTCACACTTGGCATGTCACAAAAGAAGAAAAAATATAAAAGTAATGTGGGTATATAACTGGTTATTTTCCGTTTCTTCACCGCTTTGCGTTGAACTTGCATCGCTGAGCCGTGTTCTTTACACATTTGTGATTGGAAAGGGACTGTTCTTTTGAGAGTAAAGGCTTACTCATTTGCAGCTGTTACAGTGTAGCATATCTTGGTGGTGTCTGGCCAACAGTGTTTGGAAACTATTGTGCTCCAAGTACTGTTATTTCTCTCTTAAATCACGTTTATTATACTTTAAATGTATTATTCTATTTTCATATTCATAATACTTTTTCTATAGTTTCTGAAGAAGTTTAAGCCAGTCCTTTAATTCTTTATTATATAGAGTAAATAGCATTAAAAATATGTGACTACATGTATGTGATGGCTTGTAACACACATGACAGAATGTTACATGTATGTGAAAGCTTCACTGCCACATGGGATTTCCTTAAAACATAGTTTACACTAACATGTAGAAATCCTTAACAAATATTTAACGGTGGATAAATAGTGTTCATCTAAAACATTTGAAAGGGCTTCTACCTTAGCAATTTACCTTGAGGATAGGAAATGGTGATAATGTCTTTTACTTGCATTTTTACCAATTCTACTGTGATCTACAATGCAAATAAATTTTTTATTTAATATATGGTATATTTTCCATGGTTGGAAGTTAACAAAAAGTCATTTTGATACCTGTAATTTTGTTATCAGTAAAATAGAGTTTTAAAGAAAAATTAGATTATTATTTTATTCCATTCCTAATTAATGGAGGTGACCAATTTATCGTGTCATAAATTTTTTAATAAGTTACTAGATCCACAGCATGTGTGAGTGTCTTGCAGCCCTTTGACTATATAAAAAAGATGTCTTTGCTATGAACCTTTGCGTTGCCCAAGGGGTTACTCAGGGCATTATCTGTGTGCACACAAAAATAGCATTCAAAACAAGGTTTTGTCTTCCTACAATGTTAAAAACTCATGCCTTGAGCATAGGAAAAATATTAAAAAATCATGTCTCTTTTCAAGATGGTAAATGTTAACTGTACGTTAATATACAATAAATAATTAGTTTTATCAGGAACAGGCAGCCAGCATGTGTGTGTATGTGTGTACACACACACACACATACAACAACCCAGCCATTGACCCCACACAACCTATAAATTATGCGAGAAAACTTAAAAGACTTCCAACAAAGGAATCTAGGGGTAGTTCTAGATAGAAAACTGTCACCTGATGACCACATTAAGAACATTGTGTGAGGAGCCTAAGCTACACTTTTTAACTTCAGAATTGATTGAGAGGTCAGAAGAAAGATGTATATATTAAATAATATAATAAACGTCAGTGAATAATTTAAGGACATTAGCAGAGGATGAGTATTCAAATAAGTGACATGAAATGAGATGTCGATGCTTTGGTGACGTGACGTGATGCTGCTCTGCTGAGCTACAGCTGTCGTCAGAGATGGATGTACTTTGTTGAACTGCAAGGAGGAAGAATATAGTTCTGTGTTAGTGGTGGAGCAAAGGCTACTTGTTTGCAGGTGTGAGAAAGCAGTTGGGGGACTTTGCACATCATTTCTCTGTGATTTTGATAATTATAGGCGGCCTGGAAGCGAGCATTTGGTTGCGCCTTTTTTTTTTTTCTTTGTGGAACTCTAATTGTGGTGCTTCTTCAAAAGGAAGCAAGCAGGCATGTCTGTTATGGAGCTTGCTGGGTGACTCCGTGTACTCAATTCAGAACTAGAAGAAGCTTTATGAGGCAGTCCTATAGCGATTTTTGTGGGTGGTCTGTGTGAGCGCCATTGTTGAGGACCAGGACCTGAGAGCCCTACGTCATAAATACCTTCGGTAAGCATGTTAAATCGTTTGTTAGATTAGATACCAATGTTTGATAGTGTGCCCAGCGAGCATAGTGAACTTATATAGGGTAGGGAATTTATTGAGCCAGTGAACTGAAATAAGAGAGTAGAGGTAAGAGAACATGCTGGAACGAGGAGCAGAACATCCTCCCTCGTCGAAGGTCAGTGGATGACTGAGTGGTAAAGCCCACAGCAGGGTTGCCAGATAAAGATTGATAAAGATTAAGTCACCCAAGAGGTGGCACGTGCATGAATAGTTCGTAAGTGATGGCCCTTTTGAGCCATTACCAGTATAAAGAGCTGATACTGGAGATCTGTGGAGGCGCGACTGCACCCTGCGTGACGGGAGATGTCTCCCGTAGGGTTGCCAGATTCAAATTGCTAAAAGTAGCGAGCTGACGGTCTAAAAGTAGCGAACTTGTAATAAGAGTAGCCCAATTTTTTGTTTAGTGACTGATACGGGTTTCAAAGTAATCTATTATGATATATAGAGTACATTAAACGATTTTAATTGTTTTATTATCATTATCTCTGCATATATATATTTAACCAATATGATAAAAAGCCACTAGCGCGTGCTAGTGGCTTTACAAGACTGTAATTACCATATTTGTATCCTCACATTCCTTATGTACATTCTTGTATATGCATAAATAAATAAATAAATAATAGGATAACTTACCAATATTTACTGTTTGAAGCTTAATGGGTGTGAAGTCCTTCCACGTCTTTACAGTTGAAGATTACCAAGATCTTGATCTGCATCCACAACCTCGTTCTTGTATATTGCAGACTCATATTTAAGCATTGACATGAGTGGTTAGAATGACGAGCAACAAGTTATGTTTTCTTCAAGATATGTTTTGATTCTCAAGACTGATGTCAAAAGCTCAAGTCCCATTCCCATTCAAGATTTCTCAGTTTAGTTTTCACAGACGTTACTCTCGAAAATATCCGTTCAACCAGGGCATTACTGATTGGCAAGCTGTATATTTTCAACACAAACTCAGCGAGGTCAATCAGTATGGGATTGAAGTCAATCAGTATATCTGAAGTGTCGGAAATTTGACTCCTGAGCGTGATTTTTGAGCCGAATTCTGACTCTGCACCTAATTTCATTTTCAAATTAAGACTTTTTACACCGAAAATATGACAATTACTGAAAACGGCGATAGGTCATATTTTGCCCAAACCCCCCTGCAGTTTTCAAAATATGTGAAATGTCGGAAATTTGACCCCTGAGTGTGATTTTTGAGCCGAATTCTGACTCTGCACCAATTTTCATTTTCAAATTACGATTTTTTATACCGAAAATATGCCAATTACTGAAAACGGTGATGGGTCATATTTTGCCCAAAACCCCCTGCAGTTTTCAAAATATCTGAAATGTCCAAAATTTGACTCCTGAGCGTGATTTTTGAGCTGAATTCTGACTCTCTGCACCTATTTTCATTTTCAAATTACGACTTTTTATACCGAAAATATGTCAATTACTGAAAACGGCGAGGGGTCATATTTTGGCCAAACCCCCTGCAGTTTTCAAAATATCTGAAATGTCGGAAATTTGACTCCCGAGCGTGATTTTTGAGCTGAATTCTGACTCTCTGCGCCTATTTTCATTTTCAAATTACTACTTTTTACACCGAAAATATGCCAATTACTGAAAACGGTGATGGGTCATATTTTGCCCAAATCCCCCTGCAGTTTTCAAAAAATCTGAAATGTCTTAAATTTGACTCCTGAGCGTGATTTTTGAGCCGAATTTTGACTCTCTGCACCTATTTTCATTTTCAAATTACGACTTTTTATACCGAAAATATGACAATTACTGAAAACGGTGATGGGTCATATTTTGCCCAAACCCCCTTGCAGTTTCCAAAATGTCTGAAATGTCGGAAATTTGACTCCTGAGTGATTTTTGAGCCGAATTCTGACTCTCTGCACCTATTTTCATTTTCAAATTACTACTTTTTACACCAAAAATATGCCAATTACTGAAAACGGCGATGGGTCATATTTTGCCCAAACCCCCCTGCAGTTTTCAAAATATCTGAAATGTCGGAAATTTCACTCCTGAGCGTGATTTTTTAGCCGAATTCTGACTCTCTGCACCTATTTTCTTTTTCAAATTACTACTTTTTACACCAAAAATATGCCAATTACTGAAAACGGCGATGGGTCATATTTTGCCCAAACCCCCCTGCAGTTTTCAAAAAATCTGAAATGTCGGAAATTTGACTCCTGAGCGTGATTTTTGAGCTGAATTCTGACTCTCTGCACCTATTTTCATTTTCAAATTACGACTTTTTACACCGAAAATATGCCAATTACTGAAAACGGCGATGGGTCATATTTTGCCCAAACCACCCTGCAGTTTTCAAAATATCTGAAATGTCGGAAATTTGACTCCTGAGCGTGATTTTTGAGCCGAATTTTGACTCTCTGCACCTATTTTCATTTCAAATTACGACTTTTTATACCGAAAATATGCCAATTACTGAAAACGGTGATGGGTCATATTTTAGCTTAGATTGGTCAGCTAATACTAACGGAAGTTCCGAAAATGGTGACCATGTAAGCTAAGGCATATGATAGGTAACAGATTTTTCACCTTTTTTTATAGTTTCAACATTACTTAGAATACGAGAAAGAAGTTATTTGCAAGCTTTCATTAAAAAATTATCGCATCTTTCTTGAACATTTTGAAACTTTTCCTGGGTTGTAAAATTGTTTTGTCTGTTAGTGTCCCGAAGTGTTGAAAATTCGTAACCAAAGTCAACTTTCTCCCGGGGCAGATACATAGAATTGTAGTCCAAATTAACATGAAGCTTTGCATGATGAGGACGAAAGATTCTTCTGAGTATTCCAAGAGTGAAGTTTTCTAAGACAGTGTGAAGGCTATACTGATCTGCTTCATCTTTTTGATAAAATAAATTCATCCTTTCAAAATCATTTAGGATTGGTTTGAGACATGTGAAATATAGCTTATTGGAGGGATCAGCGTACATTGAAAATAGTTGCCTTGCAACATATTTATCACAAGAGGAAAAAAGCTATTTGGTAATGAGTTGTTAGAGAATCCCACTGATCTAACAGCCGCTCTACACTACCGCTCCTTACCAACCATCGTCTTCCTGACAAAGGTATTAACTGTAAGGGATCTTTTCCATCATTTAACAATCTAGAAATTTCTAGATAACTTTCTCCCCTTAATGGAGATCTGTGGAACCAGGTGTAGCTTTTGGGATGAAGTATTATTAACAATTAAGGTTGGGAAATCTATTGCCCTTGGGAGGATTACCTTGCCTTGCGGTTACTTTTTCTTTTAAAGGTTCCTAGGATCAACGTCCCCAGGGGCCGGTCTCTGACCAGGGCTCTCCTGCGGTAAGTGGTCTAGTCAATCAGGCTGTTGGACTCGGCTGTGATTTGTACAGCTTATATTATTAAAGTATAAATTAAATTAATCAGTGAGTTTCTTAATATTAATTGCCCAAAGTAGCCCAACTTGCGTTTAAACTAGCCCAAAAAGTCGCAAGTAGCGAAATTAAAAATTTGGGAGCGTGGGGCTCTCAAAAGTAGCCCAATTCGCTACTTGTAACCCAATCTGGCAACCCTGGGCCCCAGCATCAGACGGGAGCGGCGACGCGTCAAGACATCGTACGTCAAGACGCGTACACAGTTCCATACACAGTTTCAAGTGTAGATATGACAGAGCCCGATAGGCTCAGGAATCTGTACACCTGTTGATTGACGGTTGAGAGGCGGGACCAAAGAGCCAGAGCTCAACCCCCGCAAACACAACTAGGTCAGTACAACTAGGTGAGTACCTGATCCCAGGAGGACCCGCCCAGGATGGGGAAGGACCCACTGTATG